GTTCCCTATGGGCGCCTCAGCACACATGGTCGTCTTATTTCTAAGCTTGTAGACTACAAATTGGTCCTTTGCAGTTGGCCCCCAGTTTTCTCCCTTAGACTGCGGGCTACTCTGGTGCTGCTTTTTTTTGACGTTGCATTTCCACTGTTTTCCTCGATGCTTGTGAGCTAGATGTTGGATACAGGGCTGATTTTTTTCCCAAGTGTCCTAGATTACCAACTCCGTGCTCCTTTAAACATCGATTGTTTTGCCACCTGAGGGCAGAAGGGTTCCTTCCTGGGACCTGAACACTCAGCTGTTGGTGTCAGAAGATCTGAAATTGCTAACTTTGTAATTTGATCATCAGACAATTGGATTGTGTTCATTGGTGTAGACACTCAGATTATTTCCTGGTGCAGAGCATGTTTTACGCTCTAAGTATTGTGGGATACTCAACTAATGCAGGCGTGAATAGCTGTGCCTATATATTATAAGGTAATGTAGAGAAACCAAATCAGGAAATCATTGGTGTGGGGGGGAAATATTGAGCCTGAAGTTAGGCTTGACTTGGGCTTTGCTGGAACAGTGTGTAAAGGAGGAAGCACCAGCACTGCTCCCCAGCCTTCCTCGCTGGAGTATGCACACAGAGCAGGGTTGGCTCCCTCCTGCTGGCAGCGTGGGTGAGCACAAGGGCGACGGACACCTCCCGATCCCTTCGGCTGTGACAACCTCCCAGCTGAGATCTGCTGTTGCATGTTAACCCCTGGCGTTAAGGCTTTAAATAGACCAAACAGTCAATAACTTGATGGAAGCAAAAATTCTTGTACTTTGGAGCTTCAGTACCCAAATGAAGACAAGCATAAAAGCTTGTGAAGTTTACTGGGAAAAATGCTTCCACGGTACCTGCCAGTTCTTCCAGCATGGCTTGGATTTTAGACTGCAGTTGTGCTCCTGTGTGGGAGCCAAGCTAAGCTGACATGAACAGTCCTGCTCTTTGCTGTCCTCTTCCCAAGTGCTTTCCTCTGCAGCATTAAAGCCTTCTAATGGCATTTTGCCATCCATGACAATGTAGTCAATGGATTTCAGCCTCTGTATGAGTCTGCTGAGATGTTATCATCTCTAAGAAATAAAGATGCTCTTTTGGCACCAGCTGTCAAGTGAAAAAGATTTGAACAATCCATAAAACCAAGCAATTCTGAATGCTGAACATAAGGCTAAATAAGAGAATGTAGCAATGTGGGGCAGCTCTCCCAGAAATTCTTCCCTGGCTGAGGCTGCATATCCAGGCAGGCAAAGTCTGCTGCGGTAGTGGGAGAGCTCAGTTAATTCTGTTCCAGGGTGCTGATGCTTTTCAAAGGTGGTTATGCACCTCTTCAGGAAAAAGCAAATTCATGTATGTACTGTGACTCTCTGTGATGCAGTTGTAACGGGCTTCGATCTCATTTTCTAAACAGGAAGAACCAGCTTGTCAGTTTTTCTTTGATTTGAACAAGCATCAGGGAAAGAAACGTCCCTCAGATGGGAAAGAGAGAGGAAACTTCCAACCTAAGCAAGCCAGAAAACCCCGTAAGTATGCAGATGCTTTTTTCCTGAGCTCTTCCCTTGAGGCACTGGACCATCTCACTCTTCATTTTTCTCAAGCTCTTGAGCTGCACATGTCAGCTTGCCAACGTGCTCTGTCGCTATACTAGATGCTGTGGGAATTCAGAGGAATGAAGCGTCCCTTGTTTCTTACAAACCTGACGATCAACAGGTGAAAGAAAAGTCAAAACCATAGTTGAAAAGCTAGTTGGATCTGTGGTGGTTGTAGCTGAGCTGATGCCACTGACCCGCTGAGCCAGCCTGGCCTCTGAACGTGACAACAGGCAGTGTGACAAAGCGGCCTGTTTCCACTCAGAGGGGCTGCAAGAGACTGGATCACAGTGCTGATGAGTTCTTGAAACACCACTTCAGTTGTTCTGTGCTATAAGTTCATGAAGTATTAATGAACTGGGAAGGGAGAAAGCCCTTCTGTTACCTCTGTATTTCTGTGTTGTAAATCTCACTGGAGTTTGTTTGACTTGAAGGAATTGAAATGCCATCTTTAAGGATCGCAACTTCTCAGTGACAGTGTTATTGCAAGCATGTATCTTTAGAAATGTTGGTCTCGATTATAAAGAAATTCAGGCTTCAAATGCAAATGTAGGTGTTGGCCTCCCCTTTTGTTTCTGTGAAAGCTATTCCCACTGCCAGTGGGTAAGAAGACGTTCTTCAAAAATGCCTCTGGTAGAGAAGTCTGATTGCTTTTGTTATGTGAGACTAAGTTGTTCCATTTTTATTTATTGGATTTCCAAACCCTTTGCACAGTCCTTGCACATAAGGGTTCTACAGGCTCAATTACTTCATGGTGAAACGAGCGCAGTGTCATTGCTCTGTACCTGAGTGGAGAAGCACAACTGGCTGTAATGGCAGTCAGTTTCGATGAAAGAACCTGGGTGGGTTTCCTTGTTTTCCCCCATCGCTTTTGTAGGACATAGTGTGCCATTATGCATATTCATATAACTTCCGAAGTCTCCTGAAGTTTGATGTCATGAGAAGAGAGCCTTGTTACACCGTTTTGCTCAGAACTGAACCCCAGAATTGGACGTTTGGTTTCCTGCAGTTCTTGGGAGAGCCGTGCAGGTTTATTGCATTTGCAAAGCTGCTTGTCTGTTCTTCCGCGCAACCTGCAGAGGATGTGAATATAGTGTTTGACCCTGAGAAGAAGCCTTGCTTATCAATGCCGTCAACTTACATTAAAAGTCAGCTCAGGTATCACGATTTGGGTGTGAATCCAGGTGTTTTGAGCGTGATGAATAGGCCAGAACTGACAAATGTGTTTGATGGCGTCTGTCTTCGTCTGTTACCTATGCAGGAATTTTAGCTCATTTTGATTTGCTTGTTTAAATTTGCTGGTGCTTTCTTATTAGTGAGCTGTAACCACTAAATCTGTGGAATTAGTGCTCTTCCACTAAATCGGAGCACTCGATGAGAATAGCAGTCAGCAAGGGTGTGACTGCCACCACCTCCTGGCTTGCCGAAATTTGCCAGAGGCACCAGTTCTCTGACCAAATCCGCTTCCAGGAGCTGTGTCCTTCTGACATCTTCAGCACTTTCATCAGCTGGGAAGGGTGTCTGGAAAATAACAGCTCTTCCAGATCTTGTTCCGTTCCTTGGTCTGACAAAAAAGCTTTGTACTAACACTTGTTTCTCTTTCCTCTCCCAATAAAGCACAGCCCACGGGGCCCTGCTGGTTTTGCCTCGCCAGTCCAGAAGTTGAGAAGCACTTGGTTGTTAGTATTGGCACGCACGTAAGTACGCATAGCATGTTCTTTGCTACATGACAGCAGAATCATGCTAAGACAAGTCAATATAAAATATCAATCTCCAATTTTAAATCTTAAAAAAAAAAAAAAAAAGCCCAAACAAAGTTTATTTGGAGCTGACTCATGGTTTTGTTTTCAGTTTCTCTGCATCTCCCCTATGAAAGGCATAAGTATATAGATAAAGTCTTTTGAAAAACGAAGCATGGCCCAGTTTTGCTCCAGCAGCAGAGCTGGATGACGGTGCCAGAACACTTTTTGCTGTGCCAGCCCCGACGGATCGCTTACGTTGCCATCTGGCAGAACTTTTCCAACATGAACTCAGTGTAAACTGAGACCTGCTTTGGCATCAGGATGCACTGTCTGGAGTTTTGCCAGATCTCCCTGGGATGATTGGTTCCAGTTTTGTTACATATAGATTAAACAGAAGATAAGATAGCTTTAAAGTCTACACTTCGGAGATTAATTCAGTCATTGGTATATTCACTTTGCTTAAAGTTACTGTTCCTGTATAGCATAATCTACACTGCTACAGGGACAGATTTGTCCATGGGTTTATTTTAAAAGCTGTGAACAATTTTCAAGTGGATTTTATTGTCATAATAAGAAATTCTAGCCACAGTGGTGAAGTTCACAGCTGCTTTCTGGCAGACAAGGCATTCTCTGGCATTCAAAAGATTGTGGGGTTTTTTTTGTTCTATTGCTATAGCACTAATATAGCACTATTGCAATAGAACAAAAAAAACCCCACAATCTTTTGAATGCCAGAGAATGGAATGCTCTAGTAATTTGAATGCTCTAGTAATTAATAAATTGCTAATAAACAATCCTTATTAAGTGAAATAGAGTGGAAAACTGTCCCGTTTCTGAGGCAGAATCGCTAGGTTGGGGGATACTCAGAATGCAATGCAGTCAAGAGAGTAAATTTCCACAGCATGGTAAGTAAGTGTTGCTTGCAGTGAGTAACTGGTGCATATTGTTTCACTCTAGTGCTATCTTGCTCTGGCCAAAGGTGGCTTATTACCTGATCACGTCTTGATTTTGCCTATCGGGCACTATCAGTCAGTGGTTGACTTGTCTTCAGAAGTGGTGGAAGAAGTGACCAAGTACAAGTCTGCCCTAAAGGAATTTTTCAGAAGCAAGGGAAAGAGATATGTCCTATTTGAAAGAAACTATAGGAGTCAGCATCTGCAGTTACAGGTATGGTTTTAGTGTCACCCTGGGAGAATATAAACTTGCGCGTATTTGAAAATGAACTGAAAGAGAAAGCTCATCTTCAAATTTCCCTCTGTATTCTGTGCCTTCCCAGAGCGTGGAGAGAAGTCCTACCCACAGATAGAGCCAGAGCAAAAATAAAACCGGTGTGCTGGTTCTGCCACAGTCCTTTAATTCCTCCTGTTACAGCAGCACAGCATTGGTTGTGTTGAGTGGGTGACGTAAACTTTTCCCTGCATGGAACTGATTGAAAAGCCCACGAGGTTTTCAGCTAACTTGCAAAACTTTGCTCTGACTCTGATCAGCTCACGCTGGCACACAAACTGTGGTGCTCGCATCTGTAACCGAAGTAGGCTGAAAATCTAAAGATACCTGCAGAATTCTGGTCATTGTCTACTAGTACCAGCCCTCTGATTAGATTTTTTTTGTCCTTCTGTGTCAATCATGTCAAAAATAAACCTTGTTTATTGTGGTAGTTTCTGTACTGGGCAGATCTGTGACAGTATCAGAGCGGCCTTAAACTACCACAGAGATCACAAAGGAGCAGTCTGTGCTGAGAACTTTTTCAGTCTTTGAGTTTTCAGCTTTTTGTTCAGCTCCTACAGAAAAAAAAAAAAAATCTCATAAGTTTAAGCCTGAACAGATGGGTGCTCACCTTGTCTTGATTGATGATGCTGAGCAGCACTGAGGAGCATGCTAGCTCCAGTGATGGATTGCTTTCTGCAAGTGGTTTGTTTTTGTCTTTTCTTCTTCTTATGGAGATGTTGTCCCCCCTCTCCAGGTGATTCCTGTCCCATTGGACCACTGTACTTCCGAAGACATTAAAGAGTCCTTTATTGCACAGGCACAGGAACAACAGATTGAATTGTTAGAAATCCCAGAGCACTCAGATATCACGCAAGTATGAGATGAGATTTCACCTGTTACTTTCCCTCTGTCCTGTCTAGGCTGCTGTTTCCCCTTGAGGTCACTTGGTATGGTAGGGTTAAGCTGCTGGAGGCAAGCAGACTTGATGTGGAGACTGGCTCTCCGCGAAGTTCCCGTGAAGAGCAGATGCATTGCTCACCTGAAAATTATCCTAGCTACGCGCAGGGCTTGCTGAATTCATGCCTTCTGATACCAAACACCAGCCCTCTCTCAGTGCCGCTGCACATCAGGTAGTTTTAGGCTCCCTCGGATAGGAGTTTCAAAGAAATGTCAGAGAAGTGAATCAGTAGGGGGACATAGGTGGTTGGTTTTTATTTTTTTCTTTGTCCTTCGCGGCCACAGGGAGACTTGATGTGCAGCAGGAGCCAGGAATAGCACGTGTGCATGCTTGTCTCTTTTTAAGCCATTACAGCTCTCGGTACCCACGCGGACAAGCTGAGGGGCTGATTTCTCAGCTGAGAAGCGCGGATGTAGTCTCTCGAGGTGCCTCTCTTGCTCAAAAAATGGGCTGTAGTGGGAGGGGGTGACCTAGCTCAGGTCGGGAACGATCCCAACTGCCGGGTTAACGGACCTGCGGCGGTAACCGCGGAATTAAGCCGCAAAATCATCATGAATGGGCGACCCCAGCGGAAAGCCCTCGGTGGCCTCACTGCCCCGTGCAGCTGCCGTGTGGCGTCAGGCTGAGCCCCTGGGTCGCTCGGTTTGTTTAGCCGAGCTTCCCCGCTCAAGAAATGGTTAGGAAACGCCTGTTTGGTTTTGGTTTTGTTTTTTTGTTTTTTTGTTTTTTTTTTTTTTTTTGTTGTTTTTTTTTTTTCCCCCTCGCAAACCCGCGGTGTTGTTTTCCGCCCCCTCCCCTCCCCAAACCCCGCAGGTGGCGCAGCCGGGGACTCCCTACTTCTACGTGGAACTGGACACGGGGGAGAAGCTCTTCCACCGCATCCGCGGCCGCTTCCCGCTGCAGTTCGGCAGGTCGGTGCCCACCCCCCCCGCCCCGCCCCGCCCCGCCCCGCCCCCAATTCCCTTTCCCGTTCCCCTCCCCGCGGGGCGCGGCGGCGCTGACGTCCCCGCTGACGTCGGCGGTGACGCGGGGCTGTGCTTCGCAGGGAGGTGCTGGCGAGCGAGGCGCTGCTGGCGCTGCCGCAGCGGGCGGACTGGCGGCGGTGCGCGGCGGAGCGGGCGGAGGAGGCGGCGCAGGCCCGCGCCTTCCGCCGCGACTTCCAGCCTTTCGACTTGGCGGCGGCGGCGGTGACGGCGGCGGAGGGGCGGGCGGCGATTGGCGGGGCGCGCGGCGTGACGCGGCAATAAAAGGGCGGAGTCGGGCGTGACGGCCGTGTGGTGGCTGCGGCGCGATGGAGCGCGGGCCCCCCGGGCCCGGCGGCGGAGCGGAGCGGGCCCCCGGCGGGGCGGCCCTGCGGGGGCAGCCGGCGGGCGGCTGCGGGCCCTGGGAGATGCGCGACCGGTTGGGCACCGGCGGCTTCGGGAACGTCTGCCTGTACCAGCACCAGGTGGGGCGGGGAGGGGAAGGGAAGGGGAAGGGAAGGGGAAGGGCCGGGGCGGCTGACGGCGCTGTGTCCTGCAGGACTCGGGCGCCCGGGTGGCCATCAAGTCCTGCCGGCTGGAGCTCAGCGTCAAGAACAAGGACCGCTGGTGCCATGAGATCGAGATCATGAAGAAGTGAGTGCGGGCCGGGGCGGCACGGCGCGGCCCCGGAGGGGGGGACTGGGGCATGGGGGGGGGGGGTGGGGTGGTCGCACCAGCCCCCCCTCCCCCCCGGCCCAAAACCAGCCGGGGTGAGGGCCAGCCCGTCACCCAGCAGCTCTGCACTGGTGTAGCTGTCACCCAGGATGTCCAGGCGCTTCCCTGGGGCACTAGCTCCTGCCTTCGCTTCGCGCCGAGCAGCGCGCAAGCCCCCCGCGCTCCGGTGCTCTTTGTCCGTCCCGAATTCCTCCAAACTGGCGCGGCACTTTGAGTTTTAAGGTGGTGACGTGAGGACACCCCCCCCCCCCCCCCCGTGTTCTCATACACTCTGTTCGTCTTTGATCTACCAGCCGGGGATTTAGGAATTGCTTTTTTTTTCCTGTCACGCTCCTGCACGTACAGAATAATACCCCTTAACGTGTTATTGTGTGAAGCTACGTCTTCCGTGCTGCCCACCATCCCTCTCCCCAGCACGTCACTCGGAGGTACCTGGGAACCTGGCCAGGTTTGTCCTCACAGACATGAGCTCTGGGCGTCCGAGTCTCCTAGATTGTTCCCTCATCGTGAGAATTCCTCCTCCTTTTGAGAGAGATCCTGGAGCATGAAACGCTCCGTCCCACTGGTGGGAACAGGGAGGCCACTCGGTTTTGTTCCGAGTTGTCCTCACCAAGGCCTGCAGTGCCCCTGCTGCATAGAGCTTTACCCAGCTCCCACTCGGCCTCTTTGTCACCCTTGCCTGCGTGCACTAACGTGGGAGGAGACCACTTGCAGGCAACCCAAGTTTGTAAGTCGGGGCTTGGTGACTGCTGTTCTTGTTAGCGTTTTCGCCGTACTCCTTGTTGAAATACAAGCACTGAGCCACAGAGCTGCTCTTGTGGTGGCTCCCAGAGGATTTGGAAGGTGCATGCGAAAGTAGTTTGTCTTCACTTCTTCCTGGATGCGTTGGTTATTCCCAACGGTAACGTATATTGCAGACAGTCAGGAAGCAGCTGTTTGAATTCAGTTACAGAAATGAATCCTTCCCCACGTACACATGGATTCTGCCTGCCTGGTTCTGCCTCCCTGGTACAGTTACACAAGCGTTAATGGATTCCTAGGAAACCCTTGGACCAGTGAGAAACTGTCCCCACATACAGAAACAAGAGGCGCATAATGTAATGAGTTCACCAGGAACGTGCAGGAATCCAGAACTTGAGTCTGGATCCCCATCATCAAAGTCCTGTACCTTGACTTTGAGATGTTTCTGCTCATCGCTGGTTTGTGTGTTCTCAAGGTATGGATTTTATGCTTTTGGATACTGGTGGGTACCAGTTGAAGAGAGTACTTCTCAGCAGGGATACGTTTGGGGAAGAGAAGTTGCACCTGAAACGTAAAACGTGGTTGGTTGACAATCTGTTGTCTCATTCTTCCAAAAGAGGAATGGGAGTTTTCATCCAGCTTTCCATGTGCTTAGGTTGAACCATCCCAATGTAGTAAGAGCCTGTGAAGTTCCCGAGGAGATGAACTTTCTGGTTAACGATGTTCCTCTTCTGGCAATGGAATATTGTTCAGGGGGCGACCTCCGGAAGGTAACGTCCACCTTGCTTTGCAATATGGAGCAGAATCAAGTGATGTTAATGCTGTTTCTGTAACCATGGCTGTCTGTGAAACCATCTGTGTTCTGCGGCACTTTTCTTCTTAGGTACAGGTGCGGGGAAGTCAGTGTAAAGCGGGGCAAAAAAAACACGTGTGGGAAATGAGGCTTGTCTTTTTGAAACCAGATGACACAGAGCAATCCAAGGGCAGATACTCTTTGATCCTGAAGCAGGGTGTCCTTTCATGGAACTGCTTTAGCATTACTACAGCTTCCCATAGCCTCTGTACTCACACCCAGCATGTTTGGCTTTGCTGCAGTGAGTCTCTGTTTGGAGTCTGATCTGATTTTGATGCACGCGTATCGAGTATTTTATTGCTCTTGACCCAGGGAAGGGTCCTTTTAGTACTGGGTTGGGGCCTCCAGGGCTTCAGAGACTTTCCCGATTCCTGCTGAACTGGGAACTGCCCTTCTGCAAAGCTGCAACACCCCAGAGTAAAGGAACCTTCAGTGGTTCCCCGTGCAACGGCTGCGTGGCCTGGTAGAAAATGCCTTTCCATTGCAGCAGCATTCAGGTTGTATGGGGTGAAGAGGCAAATCCTTGCTGATTAAGGTTTTCTTCGAAATCACCTCATCTGAGTGATCAGGAAGCTCATTTTCCTCCTGCTGTTTTTGTTACTGGTGTTAAATAGCACTGGAGGAGCGTAAGCAGATGTTGAGTGCAATAGCTGCATATCTGTGATAGCAGCTAGTGTATCGGGAACTTACTGAGCCTTGTTTTGTGTTTTCAAGTTGCTTAAAAACAATAGGGACAATTTTAAGAGACAAGGCTGACAATGAAAGGAAGTGGGTATATATGAAAATGGCGTTTGGATGTTGCAAACACATGTAGCTGAGCTCATTTCGGTGATGCTTGGGTGTTGTGTACGTTTGTAGTAGAAGTTCTGAGACTGTCTGAAGGTAAATTAGAGACCCTGGCAAAGAAATTTGAGGTTAGATTAGCACTACTTGCAATGTAGTATTTGGTAATTTAATTTATAATGAAACCATAGATGTTCCATAAATGCTGGGACAATTAATTTAATCTGATCACATGTAATGCTTCGTTCCTTAAAAAAGCTGCTTTTTTTTTTTTTAATTATTTTTTTTTTATTTCTGATCCTGCTCTTCAAATCCTTCTCTTAAACTCGCTCGGCATAATTTGTGTTTAATTTCTCATTGCACGTCTGCAACCTTCCATAAAGCCTGGAAAAGCATCTGCTTCTGTCTATGGGCCACGCACATTTTTAAGCTTCTGCTCTTTCAGGGTAACAGTCTAGGCTCGGAGCTTGATTTCTGGCTTTGCCCCTCTCCTCCTTTGCTGTTCAGCACATCTACTCAGAACTTAAGGAGTGTGATGTTGAAGTTTGGCTTTGCCTCCATAAAGGTTTGATTGCTGGTTGTGGCTGAAGTGCGGGAGGCAAGCAGAAACATGAGGAGGACTGGCTGCAGTGCCTCAGACCTCCATAAAGCCTTCAGCGTAGTAAAAATCGGATCATATGCTGATTGACTCAGGGTGTATGTGGGTAATCACTGAAGTTACTTATTGACAGATTATTAAGACAATGATTAGGAGGGGATTTCCTCCAGTGATTCTACCGCACCTTTTGCTAGAAGAGAAGAATTCAGGGCAAGGGCGCAGAGAGATGAAGAAGCACTTTAGAGTGGAGGCAGGGTTGAGAGTTCAGGTCATGGTCCATGCTGTGGACACTCCAGTTATCCAAAGGCCATTGATCTGTTTTTTAGCTCAGGATTAACTAGGTGGGTGACCTGGAAGCCAGTGTGCTGAAGCGTCGAGCAGGCACTTCTCACTGTGAGAGTGCACTTAGGAAGGAGACCGTGTCCCAGGGCAGAGCCAGCCAGCGATCAAACGCTCTGAGCTGAAGAAGGTGACCTGTGTGTAATGGGGCAGCCTGTGGCAATAGCACCGTTATCGGGGAGCGTGCCCTTTGCTGGTTTTAAGGTGCCTGGCCATGAGGTGGGTGGCTGGTATTGTACTTGAGCTGTGCTGTTTTCTGTGTCGTGTCAGCGGGGGATGGAAAAATGTTGTTCTTGACTGTTAGCTGTTGCACCGTGGGTCTAACCATCTTTTTCTGTCCTGTAGTTGCTAAATAAACCGGAAAACTGCTGTGGACTTAAGGAAAGTCAAATACTTTCTCTGCTTAGCGACATTGGTACGTAGTCTAATGCCTTCCTTGTGATTGTTTTTTGGGGTTTTGTTTTTTTTTTTTATTATTATTATTATGTGTAATGACATTTTGCTTTTTCAGCTGACCTGGAAAAGGGGACCGATGGAGAATAGATGTGTTAAAAGCAATCAGGTCTCTATTCCAGAGCAAGGGCCTGGTTTCCCTGCTGATCACAACGACAAGAAGCTTGCACGAATGACGTATCTGTGGAATGGGATTAGGAAAGCTGTGTAGTGGTCAGTTGTAGGCAGCTATGACCTTAACGTTTTGTTTTGTTAAGGTCACGGTTTTCTGCTGAAATCCCGTTTTTGTTCCTGGCTCTGGAGATGTCAAACTGCATGTGGCTTGAAGGAATGCAGCTTTTACAAACCAAATAGCAAGATCACAACGTGAGAAGTGCCAGAGTTGCCCTGTGGCTTCTCTCTGTAGGATTTGCTTAGTAGGAGGGAAATTTTGGTTGGTTCAGTGTGATAATACAGAGGAGAAGATAAACTGGAGTGGAGCTGAGAGCATGGTAGGTAAGAGCATAGCAGAAGAGGAAGCCAACCATGCCGTGGCTAGTCTTAACAATCTTCTGGCTAATGATTTTCTCTCAACTGAGGTTTAATTAGGTAGGTGATCCCAACATAAATGTGCCCAAATGTTGGGAAGCTTCTCCTTTTGGAAGAGCAATTCTGTTGGTCTGCATTAGAGTTGTGGGCAGTGCAGTGATGGAGATGGTTGTCTCTTTTACTCAGCACTGAGGAAGCTACATCTGGGTACAGTTGTCCACATCTGGCCCCAAGTTCCAGAGAGATGTGGAGATCCTGGCAGGGCCCTGCAAAGGCTGCCTAGGGCCTGGAGGACCTGCCCCACCAGGAGATAGGGTTGTTGGGTCTGGCTGCGGGGAGGCAGAGGAGGGTCAGAGAGCAGCCCACAGCTCCAGAAAAGGCAGGTGCAGAGGTGATGGATGGGACCGAACTGCTTGGTGAGCAGCGTGACAAGGGCCACCAGCTCTGTGTTGCGCCACGGGGGGGTTGAAACGCAAGGTTGGAGAAGAAACCTCCTTTCCCACTAACGCTGCTGTTGTGCTGTGTATGTCCCTAGGGAAGGTCCCAAGGCAGCCTACAGGGAGGCAGAGGTGACGAGATGAGTATTGGACAGATATCAACTTGATCTGCATTACTGAAGGCGTCTGATACCATGCGGATTTCAGACTCTGCGATTTGGAAAGGGAGCAGGCAGCAAATCCATACAGGGTGGGAGTAGCTCAAGGTGACAGCACTGCTTGTAGGGTACAGTTTAATTTGATAGCTTTGGTTGCCTGCTCTAAAGCTATTTCCCAAGGCTGTGGTAGTCCATGAAAACCATGCTGCAACACAAACTTGATAGTATCCAGAAGCGTTTCATCAAACATTGAATTTTTCAAACTGTTGAGCTTTATCTTGCTCGATGCCAAATTCTTGATCACTGAGACGGTGAGAAAATAAAAGATGTGAGACTTGAAACTGGCCTTCCTGTCCCTCAGGAAGTGCCTGGCTTCTTGGACACCCTGAGGAAAACAAGTCATCTGATTGAGGGTGATGCCTGCAGAGTTTCGCCAGCAAGTAGGCTTTCCAGGAGAGCTCCTCAGTAGAGATCCTCGGTTTTTTAGTTCTCTTACAGACAACTCATCTCTACTTGTAGTGATGGAGTAGTCTGGACATGAGAAAGCATTTTGGGCGTATTGGCCTGGGCTTCTATCCTTTCAGTGTTCAGAGGGCTTGCGATTGAGTTCCTGAAATCAAGCGTGTCTGTGTTTCTTCCTCCTTGTTCCCCTTCCATCTGCAGAACAGGGTCTGTTGTCTTCATAAAAAGTTGCGTGTCTTTGGCAAAGATTTGAAAACGCAGTGGAGAAGAAATGCAAGTTAGAAGCTGTTAAATGTGTAAACAAGTGGTAAATCTGTGGAGACTGGGGACTTTAATGGGAGAAAGTGAACTGCGGGCAAGGCATGTTGGCTGAACATTTCTCTTAAAATAATCTCATGATGAATTTACAGGCACGGCTGGTTAGTAGATGTGCAGTTGGCACATCTTTTGCACAGGAAGATTTAAAATACCCCATGACGGAGCCGAGAAAATACAATACCTGCCTTGGGCCTTCCATGGGACCTTTTCTTTTATTTCCGCTTGCATACCTCCAAGATTGAAAAATCACGCCTTTGAAAATTTGAGGTGGTGTGGTTTTTTTAAAGTCACCTTTTGCAGTTTCATCTGTGGCAGGCGCTTGCTTGATAATCTTTTATTTAGCAGCCAGTGTTTTTATGTGGGTGGACCACTACTGAATTTTCCCCTTCCTGCAGGCAGGATTTCTCATTTCCTTTTTGTTAGTGGTTCCAGTCCCCTCAAGGCAGTTCAAGCATGGACTGTTGCTACAAGGCAAAGTCCAGCCCTTTGCATTTTCTTGGGTGTGTGCTCCCATCCCCTCCCCTCTTGCAGCCACTCCTGTAACCAGGCAAGGAGCAAGCTCCGGAAGCCAGCCCAGCTAAAACCTGATTATTTTTTACTTAGTAGTTTCCAGCTGGATCTGTCCCAGGATCAAGCTGATCATGTGGTGCCGTAAGTGCTTGTGCTGCCATGGAAATTGTGTCTGGGAAAGGAGAGTCTGGGAACCTGTGTTCCTTCTGGGAACAGCACCCACGTAGATTGGCTTAAAGCCATCGTGGGATTCAGTTTTTAGCAGTGGGAGTAACAGAAGTGATGCTACTCTTGAGCCCGCCTGTCCCCCGCCAGCAGAGGGGAAGCCTTGAGCCCCTAAGTTCAGTGTTGCTCATACTGACTGGGATATTGGTGGTGGCATCTCAGTCAGCTGTTCCACGCAGCGTTAACCAGAGGCTGCCCAGGAGTCTTTAGCTCCATCCGTGCTTCTGCTTCATCGCGGCTGGACGGTCCCCTCCCTGATGGGGTGGTGTGCGTTGTGGTGCTCTGGCAACGGTGGAAGCTTACTAGAAGCTCTGTAAGCCACTATTTGGCAGTAGCTTTAGCTCAAAGAGAAACTGGGCTTGTTTCAGTTGCTTAATTAATTTCGGTGCTTTCTTTCATCAGCATCTTGCATAATGTGCTCCCATATATAAATAGGTCTTTTTGTTACCTCGTGCTGATTTACCAAGATCTCAGGCTGCAGGACACGCGGAGCTGTTTCAGGCTGTCTGCACTTTTTGGAGACCTCTGTTGCTTGTCTGCGTGCTGTGGTTCATTTTGTAACTCTACAGTTTGGGAAGAATTCAGCTGCCTTCTCAGTTACGTTACAGATAAAAGATGTGACCTGCAGTTATGCCACGAGTTCTGAACTCTGTAGCGACCTCCATTTCTGCAGAGCAGAGGAACAGAGCTAGTTCAGTCCTAGCATAAATCTGATGAATCTTTTCAGTAGTAGTTCTTATTGGTGCTTTAAAATGAAAATTCATTGCTGTCAACTCCAAAGTCATGGATGTTAGATTTTTATCAGATGCATCATTAATCAGTGTGAATTTATTTTCTATTAAATCAAAATGTGTCTTTCAGGGTCTGGTATCCAGTATTTACATGAAAACAGAATTATACACAGAGATTTAAAGCCTGAAAATATTGTTCTTCAGGACGAAGGTGGGAAGGTAAGCCAGGTGGCCACTGTCAGTGGTGTTCCCACGGTCATTTCTGCAGGTTGTCAGCAGCTTTGTCCTACCTGAGAGAAATGGAAGGGAACAAGTAGTTTGTGGCCTTGAACTGGGCTGAAAACTCAGCGGTGAATTTGCTAAAAGTTTTACATTGTCTCGAAGCCACAAATCCTTTTTTGCATATTCTTAAATCCTTGTCATTAAAAACAAAGAACTTTCGCTTCTGTTTAAGAACCCTGCCTGCACAGAATATGAATTATATGAGATGGTAGCATATCCCAGCGTGCGTGGCTTTGAGGGCTGCTTGTAAAATTCAGCCAGTTCAGAGTCAGCCTAATGGATTTCTTAGTGAAAATTGTTTTCTCTGTTGTTACTCTCTAAACAAATAACTTTCAATTCCCAGATAAAAAGCTAGATACTCTGTTCAGCCAAGCTGTAACTGGCAAGCTGCTTTAAATTCGAGTCTAAGCTGAGATAGGTGGACAGTGCCAGCGCACGTGGTGAAACAGCAAGCCTTTACACTGTGTCACGTGTTGAAGCTTCGCCATGGACTTTCTCCAGAATTTCCATTCTGATTTTCTTCTTCTTGAGTGTATGCTGTGGATGTTACTGCACAGGTTTTTGTATTGTTTGGTAGGTTTTTTTTTTTTTTGTCTGAATTTGCTCTTTTGATGAAGTAGTTAAACTGTCTACAGATTGTTCACAAAATAATAGACCTGGGATATGCCAAGGATCTGGATCAAGGAAGTTTATGCACTTCATTTGTTGGGACATTACAATATTTGGTAAGAATTGTTTTTTTTTTTTTTTCATGTATAATAGAGATGTGGTATTGCCACATTTTATAAAATCACAGACTTGGGTGTCAGAAGGAAGCTACAGAGGTCCCTTGTCTAGCCTCCCGCTTGCAGCAGGACTGTCACCAGCACTGGGTCAGGGCAGCTGTGGCTTGGCCCAGCCAAACAGTGAAACCTCCAAAAATGGTGATCATGTACCTTCCCAGGGACTTGTCCCAGGGCTATCCCTTCTCTAGGGGAAGAAGTGTTTCCTCGTGTCCGGCCTGAACCTCCCAGGTGGGGGGGATCTGGGGCCATTGCCCCTCACTGTATCACCTGTTGCTTCCAAGATGAGTTTGGGCCCCTCCGTCCCTTCCTGTGCCACGGTGGGGGACTGCTTGCCGCCCGGCACCGCTCCAGCCTCCCCGCAGCCAGATCCAACAAGCCCAGCTCCCTGCCATCTCCTCCGGGCCCCGACCCACCGGCCAGCCCGAGCGGAGCCATGTCCGGGGCCCGGTGCCGCTCTGGAACCGCTGGGCACGTCTCGGTGCAGCTTCACCTCTGCAGAAACGCAGGAAAATAGATGACCTGAGATACCACTTTCAGAGTGTCTTTTTGTAATCCTTTTCAGGCTCCAGAACTCTTTGAGAATAAATCCTACTCGGCTACTGTTGATTACTGGAGCTTTGGAACGATGGTGTTTGAGTGCGTTGCGGGATTTAGACCGTTCTTACATAATCTGCAGCCATTCACCTGGTAAGACACTAATTCTGCAAGGGGTGATGCAGGCAATAGGGATGACAGCTCCTGCATGCAGTGAGGTAACAGCATGAACCAGAATGATACGTTTATTGTTAGTTTGGTGCTGAGGCTGTTGGTCTGCTAAGCTTTGCTGAAGCCATTGGTACTTCGGTAGTGTCAATGACAGTTTGGCTATTTATACATATTGTAGTACGTGCTTATTACATTGTGTGGTAGCCTCTGTTCATAATAATTCCTTCCTAAGTGAAATGTGTATCAAAAAATATAATTATAAACCAGTCTGTGTGTCTGTGTCAAAAAAAATGTAATGGGAAGGAATGATACAGTCCTGTGTTCGCCTAGGCTGTGAGGTTACTTGGTTTGAGCGATCAATAACACGCATCGAGATGGAGCATGTTTTGCCTCGTAAACACGTTTGTAAGTTAGTTTGTTAACTAACTTGTGTTTGTTAACATAAGTTTGTTATGTGTTTGTAAGTACCTTTACAAAAGCGATGACTGAAAGACTTTAAGCTGCAAACAGAGGTTTCTGCTTGCCCTTTGAGGGCTAGAAGGAGGGGCAGAAAGGTACATTTTTACATCTCCACTTGCAATACCAGGAGAGCATGTAAGCTTGGTTTTTAAAAGGGTCATTCTGCAACAGAAAAAATACAGAACTTGCTTTTCTGTTAGCATTGAAATAATAATGGGAGAAAAGGTAAATTTGAGCTATAATGCAAGCGTTGGCTTAAAAATTACTGCGTGCTAACAAAAAACGCACTAGTATGTGGTAACAGTTTCCTTTTTAATTGCTAGTCCTTGGGCTTTTATTATTTTAATAGCTCAATATTTGTTGCCTATTTTCCAACACGGAAAACTTGATTTCCTAAAGTAGTAGAAAACCAGTGAGCGAAACGCGATTAGAAACGGCTCTTCCCTCTCTGTGAAAGGAGGAAGGGAACAGCGCGGGCCACGCGTGTGGAGCTTCAGTTCTAGCTGTGGCCGAGGGGGGCAGCGAGCAGGCTGGCAGCCTCCAGGAGCGAGAAGCATGGAGCTGCCTCGCAGCTGACTGCTGGCTTGACGCGGGCAGTCCCGCTCCTGGCACTGGGCAGGGTTCAGACGGCTGCTGAAGTGAGCCACGGTGGGGAAACTGAGGCAGCGCCGCTGGGGGTGCTTTCCCTGGTACCGGATCCCTTGGCGGGCTGTGTTTTCTGACACTTAGGAGGTGCTTCCCTCGGATCAAGGTAAGGGCAGTGGTTTTGCCAGATGACTTGCGAATCTTACCGGTCTCACTGAAGTGTGGAGGCTGCTTTTGTCGTGCAGGCTCGGCCTGTGCTCAGTGAATGGTTACCTGTTGACCCTCTTGTTTGGCGCTGTCCAGACCTCCTTGCAAGCAGGTGCAATAATGTTTCCAGAGACAGAATTGCTCTGTCAGAGCAAGGGCTTCCCTCTTCCACTTGGACGTGTTCTGGGTGGGTTGTTTGGCAATGTCCTCTTTGTCCTGGAAGAGAAGAGTTTGTTTTCTAAAGCTACTAGACTGCAGCAGTTTTTTTTGTTGCTGTCCTGTTCAGTTGGCCCTTTGCAAAAGTAACATCCTCAGTATTATCCACAAAGGATTTTATTTTCTAGGCACGAAAAAATCAAGAAGAAGGATCCAAAGCACATCTTTGCTTCTGAAGAGATGAATGGGGAGGTTCGCTTTAGTACCCATTTGCCACAGCCTCACAGCCTCTGTGGGTAAGTGTGTCCTTGGGGCTACGTGTGATAATTTTTGGCTTGTCTTAAACTGAGGGCTTCTCCTTTATCCCAAGCGCCGAGGAGCCTTCCTTCTTTCTCCTAAGGAGTGTTCCAAGCTCTTGGCAAGCTACCATTTGCTGTTAAGGAATAGCCCATAGCCACACGGCCCTCTTTTGATACTTGGTGCTCTCCCGGGGCGGTTCACCCTGCAGTTTGTGGGATGATGGCAGTTCACCTTGCAGTGTGAACTCTGTGACTGCTTTCCATCCATTATCACAAGGCCACTGAGTAACATCCACCTGATAACTTGATGGTATTAAATCTCAAACCAAGCACTCGAGTCAGCTGCCTCATGAAAGCAGAAGCTTCCAGTACTTGTGTTGCGAAGATTGCTGCGAGTCCATCAGAGACCACCAAGATGGTCAGAGCCTGTTGAACAGAGTATGCAAGGAAAGGCCCATGAAGCTGGGCTTCTTCAGCCTGGCAAAGGGAGGTCTAATTTTGACGTCTTCTGTCTATTGGGGCGTTACAGAGACAACAGATCTAGGCTCCTCTCAGAGGGGCAAAGCAAAAGGACCAACGGCAATGGCACAAGTTACAAGGGAAACAAAATTTGGGTGCAGGATAAAGGTCTCCCCGTGCTAGCAATGTAACCCTGGGACAGGGCCCCAAGCAGTGGGGGTTCTCCATCTGAGGGGACTGCCCAGGCTCGCTTGAGCACTGTCCTGAGCAGCCTGCTGTAGCTGCAGCGTTGGCCGTGCTCTGGGCTAGGGCTCAGACCAGAGACCTCCAGTTAATTCAACCTGAATTAATTGGCCTGTACCAAGTCAGAAGTCAGGCTCTGATCATTTGGCACTTACTTCGCACTCGTGTCTTCAGATATGCCCAGCAGTGCAGCACAACTCATTGGCGCTGGCAGATTTCTAGGAAAAGTACTGGAGTTGAGAATGAAATAAATGGCTTTGTGCCAGTGCTTTGGGCTTTTTGCATTGCATGTCCTTAAAGACATTCTTTCCAATAAACTTAGGTGCTTTTTGTGTGGATAAACACGGAGGAGAACCTTCCAGGCAGCTCTGCAGCACGGGGATGGTTCTTCTGCAGACAGGGCTTTGAAAACTATTTGGTTTTATGTGTGTCACAGATAGTTTTCAGAGGAAAAAGAACAAAAAAAACAGCTCCTGCCCTCATCCATTTTGACACACATTACTGGTGTGTTGCGATACTTTTGACTTAGTGAATAGGAATCAGAAGTGTAACGGGCGTGTGCTGCTGCTGGAGACAGTGATGACTGTTATTACAGTGGGGATGCTCACTCTGCCTGTGGTTTCCTCTCCTTCCAGGCTTTCCCAGCTGTCAGGATGAGCGACTGCAACAAAACTGGTGCTCTTCACACATGTTCAGCGGATGTTGCACACATATGGTCTCTAACCAAAGAGTTGTAACCTTATTGCTGTTGTGAGACCCTAGTTTCCTAGGTGGACTGAGTGTTGTAGAATATCTGCCTTTTCTTACAGCCCTTCTGTTTTAGTTTAATTATAGAACCGATGGAAAACTGGTTGCAACTGATGCTGAACTGGGATCCACAACAGAGGGGTGGAGGTTTAGATCCTGAGACCAGTCGTCCAAAGTGCTTCCTAATAATGGATCACATACTGAATTTGAAGGTGAGTGTGGGTTGTTACAGGGTTTAAAGACCTGCTGAAAACATCTCAGAGGACGGAAAGTGTGTTCAGTGGAGCAAAGCTATAATCCTGATACCACCCAGCTTCAGGATCATGATAAATGTTTTTCTTGGTATCGGGAAGTGAGTAGATATACAACTGATCCAGGACATATCTGGAGGCAAAATATCACCAGCAATATTACTGTCTAGTTATACACTTGGAGTAGGAGAATGACCCTATATTACTGTCTGTCATCTCAGGAAGGACTTGGCAAGATCAAATAATGGTTTAATACTTACTAATTACAGTATTCCTGAACTCCACCACTGATGCTGTGACCTCCAGTTCCATGTACTGTAGTAGTACCTGTAGTAGAACAGAGATTACATTCACCTGACTATTCACCTTCAAGTAATTATTGAAGCTTTGCTGGAGTAAGAATAGCTGAGGCAAGCATGTGTAGAAGCCAGAGGACAATTTTGTCTGATCTGGAAGGATTCCAAAGGAATTAAAGCCTGAAACACAAAATACTGTGCTCATAATTGGGACTTGTCAAAATCAGTATGTTGTGGTGTGGCTTGGGTCCTACAGTCTCTCCCCAGTAGAACTATAGTGAGGGCTGTGAAAGCGATGAGAAGACGAGCACTGGTATGTAACAGCTTGTTTGCATAGAGGGATTGACGGAAATGGGACTCCCTGTCTTGAGAGCAGTACTGGCCAGCATCAAACAGCAAAGCTCAGGGTGGCCTTTACGCTAGCTTGTTACCATCCTTTTGATTTAATTAAGCTGCAGCATGGCTTGTGAAAGCTATTAGTGAGTTTGATTGTAATTTTCTCTGACATTAAGTTAAAAGCTACAGGCCCAGGCTTTGCGTTCTATTATGTGGGGCTTTACTCCTCTACTTGATTACTGTAGTCATTAAAACTCAAATGATGCTCTCAGTCTAGCACGTTAATTGCTACATACTCCTTCCTGGGCCTTTGTGTCCTTTGTCTCTGACAGCCAGTGACTTGTCATCAACTTGTACTCTTTTTACAGATAGTACACATTCTAAATATGACCTCTGCCAAGATTGTTTCATTTCTCTTGCATCCTGAGGAAAGCCTTCATTCCCTTCAGATTCGGATTGAGTTTGAAACTGGAATAAGTACTGGAAATCAGGAACTGCTGTTGGAAACAGGGATTTGCCTGGACCCTCGGAAACCTGCTTCCCAGTGTGTTATTGATGGCGTAGTAAGAATGATTCTGTTCGTTTAAGGTCTTTCACGTTCTTGGGGAATTTAAAATCCTAGGGAAGATAAATTGCCTTAATCTTTTCCCACTGGAGACAGTTTGCTCTGTAAAGGTAGTGACTCTTAAGGTCTAGTGTTATTTCCTTTATTGGGTAACGTCAGCAGATTCCTATAGTTATACTCTAACTATTTCAATAAAGTAACATGCTAGCAAACTGTCTTGCATTTCTGTGGGATCTGTTAAAATCAGTTTAAGTGTCTGTCCACAGTAATTAGTTCATGATGTAACCAGAACCCTCTGGGTTAGTAGGAGCTATGTTTGGGATTTCTCTTGTTTATGTTCTCTTTTCTCACCAGAGAGGCTGGGATAGCTACATGGTCTATTTGTTTGATAAAAGCAAAACCGTCTATGATGGACCTTTTGCTTCTCGGAGTCTGTCTGACTGTGTAAATTACATTGGTAAGTATGTTGGAGGACACCTGGGAACTGAAAGTGCTGCTTCTCATGTAATGTGAAAGTAGATTTGCCTTACAGATCTCTGTGTGTTTGAAGGGCACTGTCTATTTCAAAGAGGACCATTTAAGAACCTGGAGCAGCCTAATAAAGTTTCATCTACAGTGCTGTATCCACATTTTGTAGATGTAAACTGTTCTGAGAATTTATTACCTGCCCTTTGGAAACTCTCCTATAGAGCAACTTAGGAATTCATTTAAGGTTTTTGCCCTTGTATTAAATTCTGTGCACTGAACGGCATCTACCCCGCCCAAACACCTAAACCTAAGCATTTCCCCGCTTAAACACAACAACGATGTGAATGAAGACTTGGGGGGTAATAAGTGCAACCGAATCTTGTAGCCTAGAGAGAAAAACTTTTGGTTATGTCTGCACACTGCATCCTGGAAAGAAGATTCTGATTTCATTTGCACAGCCTTCTGTTCTGCTAAAGGGTCTTGTCCCTTCACACCCACAGAGTGTTGCAGTGACATTCTGGGAGCTGTTTGCAGAACTAGAGTGATAGCCCACATAGATGCCCTTTGGTGGTATCAAGGATCAGGGACCTCCTTATCTTAGGGTTTAGTATCTGTAAAAGTTGTGCACATATCCCTTCTCCTCCTCCCTGTGCACAGGTACACACAGGTTTCAGCTCCTTGCAGTCCTGTCACCTGAGATTGGATGCTTTCGATATTTGTGAGCAGTTGCCCTCCTATGGCTCTCCTAGATTTTGCTTCTGAGCCCCGTATCAGCATCCCAAGGATACAGATTACCTTTTTGCCCTGTACTGTCTGTGACAGTTGCGTTTCAGCTGCAGTCCATCTCTTGTGTCTCACCTAAGTGAAAGAACAGGTCCCTCATGCTGTGCTGCTGATAATTCAGGCCTTGTATGAGGAAATCCACCTTGCTCTGATCACAGAGCCAAGCTGGTGTGTTTGGCCATGTTGCACCAGTTGCAGAACTGCTGTCATTCCCCTGTGGAGGTTATGAGTTAGGGCTGGTCTTGAAGAGACACTTGGCAGAGGTTCAAAACCTCTTGTACTGTCTTCCCAACAGTCTTCAGCTCTAGCGATAATGTGTCCATAACCCCATAGCACTGATCCTGCTTCTGGTCTCACCAAGCAGAGCCGAGTGCCTGAGAAAGTCCAGGCCCCTCCTTCCTCTGAGTTGTCAGGAGTAGAACCTGTCTACTGCTGCATGGACACTGGTGGGATCTGTTCCAGCTGGTCCCTGTTAGTTCTGGTGCTGCTGCCTGGCCCCGGCATCATCAGCATACTTTTGGACGATGCATGGAAGCTGCTTCTCTGCATACAGCTTCCCTTAAATGTCTCCTGAAATGACAGCAGTTGTCTGCAGGACCTAATATACCTTGCAGTATACCTGTATGAAGGACCTTGTATACCTCTGTGAGAGAGAAAATAGTGTCAAGGGACAGGAGACATCTACTGGCATACTGCATGTAAAGGAAATGCCTTGTGACATACAGTTACTGTTAAGTAGCTTAATTTTCCTTGGCCTGGCTCTGCAGAAGTGCTGGTTTTCCCAGTCACTTCTTACTGTCACTCAGTTTATTCAGATTCACTTTTTTATTGTGTTCAGAGCTGTTTTATTCTGGTGAATATTGCATGGCATCATTGTGCTGAAACTCAGAGCTAAGGCTTTTTAGAGCATGTTTGCTGATATCCCAATGTTCCCTGTCTGTACAGGGCAATACACATACAAATCTTGCGTCTTTTCCCCTTAAATATCTGCGTCAGGAATCTGTGAGGATATGTACAAAAGATTTGAAGACATTTTCAGATGAAGCACGCACATCAGGACAGTGACCACTGACAGTTGATTAAATGGAGTAAATAGATTTGCTTTGCTAGCTTGGGAAAGTGCTTTAGATAAAGTTTTTGGATAAAACCACCCACGGGTCCTGCCTTGTGCTGTGTTTCATGCGGTGTGTCCCATGTCTGCTCGTACAAATAGGCCAGAGTGCTCGAAGAAATCTGTTGCTCTTGTAGCTCTGAGTTCAAACATGAGCTCTGTTGCCTGGCTAGTAGCAGGCTGTCAAATACCTGGGGAGTTGTGACATGAAAAGCTTATACACGCTTAGGCAGCATCACATAAAAACTGAGCAGATCTTACGTGGCTTGATCCCTTAGTTTAGGCACCTGAAGCAGGAATTGGGAATGCTGTAAGCACTGAAGTCCTTTTCTAGTTATCCTTTAATTTCTGTACAACTGTGTTTTTCTTGCATTCAGTACAGGACAGTAAAATCCAACTGCCAATTCCTCAGCTGCGCAAGGTATGGGCGGAAGCAGTTCACTACGTGATTGGGCTAAAAGAAGATTATGGCAGGCTTTTCCAGGGCCAGAGAGCTGCTATGTAAGTTGTTACTCCTCATTCAGAAGACTCATTATTATGCAAATACAGAGACTGTTTGCATGGAAGTGTACATCGTGTTGAGTTTTGGCTACCCAGAGTTTTACAGCCCTCTGCTGCTCTGTATTTTTACATTATAAAACATAATTGGCTTGGGAGCTTATTCCACTCCAGGAATTTTACTGCATAGTGCCTGACATGGACAATAACTGAAAAAACTTGAACCTTGAACATAGTTCACAGACTCAGAGAATGGCTGAGGTTGGCAGGGGCCTCTGGTGGTCACCCAGTCCCACCCCCCTGCTCAAGCAGGGCCACCTAAAGCTGGTTGTCCAGGTCTATGTCCAGATGGCTTTTAAATATCTCCGAATATGGAGACTCCACAACCTCCCTGGGCAACCTGTGCCAGTGCTCGGTCACCCTCACAGTAAAAAAGAGCTTTCTGATGTTCAGAGGGAGCCTCTTGTGTTTCAATTTTTTGCCCATTGCCTCTGGTCCTGTCACAGGGCATCACTGAAAAGAGCCTGGCTCCATTCTCTATGCACCCTGCTCTCAGGTAGTTGTACATTTTGATCCCCACTCAGCCTTCTTCAGGCTGAACGGTCCCAGCTCTCTCAGCCTTACCTCATAGGAGAGATGCTCCAGTCCCTTAATAATCTTCATAGCCCTTCACTGGCCTCTCTCAGTATGTCAGTGTCTCTGGTGTGCTGGGGAGTCCAGAACTGGACACAGGAGTGGCCCCACCAGTGCTGGATAGAGGGGGAGGATCATCTTCCTAATGCAGCCCCCCCCGGGTAGTCATTTCACAAGTGACAGAATGAGTGGAACTGTTGGTGATATTCATAGGGTTTCCTCCTGTGATTGAATCACAGAACAGGCAGTGTCATAATTATCAAGTTAATAAAAAGGTGCCAACACTCACCAGGGGTAACGTGCACTACAGGACCCTGTAAATGCTAAAAAATACTCTACACTTCAAAGACTGTTTAGCTGAGCTTGACAAACCAAAATGGGAAATGAGGAAGGGCGTTCTCTTTTCCTTGCTGAGGACCTGCAGCTTCTGAGGATGAGAGATGGAGGCTGTGACCCCACTGAGACTCCCTGTTCCAGGGATCTTACACAATTTTTTGCTAGTTATGTCTTTCATTTAGGTAATGTGACAGCACTGGTCACATAAGTCCAGATACCCTTTTCAACTAACGTGCTGTTCTTATTTCATTTGTTAGGCTCAGTCTTCTTCGGTATAATGCCAACCTAATCAAAATGAAAAACAATATGGTGTCAGCATCTCAGCAACTGAAAGCAAAGCTGGAATTCTTCCATCAAAGCATTCGCCTTGACCTGGACAGATACAGTGACCAGATGGCTTATGGCATATGTACGTACTGTGTAATACTTGCCTGAGTGTCTTGTCTGATCCTATAAAGTCTGATCAGACTGACTATGAAGGGCTGTGGGTAAGAACTAGCTTAAAAGAAACGGAATGCAGGAGCTGCCATTGTGTTCCTTAGCATCTTTATGTGTATGTTTTAGCTGGGGTAGATGCAGGGGAAGTTTGGCAGAGTCAAAGGCAAGAGGATAAAAAAATAAAATGTTTTGGAGAGCTTCAGTGACAGTGAAACAGGTGGTCAGCTGTTCCCCACTGAGAACACCAAGCTAAGAAAATTGGAGTATTAATAGTACTGGTGACGTAAATGTTTGCTATTTATTCATTCAGAGTCTGATTCATTTGGAGTTGTCGTGGGGCTTAAAGTGGAGAGCAGAGTTGCTGCCCTTGATGTACAGTGAAAGGGCCACTAACCATCCGTGGCAGAACAAAGTGGCAAAGTGACTGTAGAAACAGCTCTGAGGGAGTGATCTTGCTGTGCTTGATGTCAGGGGGCAGCATGAGTCAGCACGAGAGATGAGGTGAAAAAAGCACCAGCTACAGTTTTCATGTCATGGAAACATCTGGGTCTTACAAATACTGTTCAGGGAGAATAGTAAGATTTACACATAGTTTGCATATATGGCTAAAAATTGAAACAAGTACAAAATTATGACTGGGCTGAAGGTTGATGGTGGAAAATGGAAAAACTCAGTGAACTGGTTTTGGACAGTCTGTGTTTAATCAAAAGTGGCAGCTATTGAGCTTAATGGTGGAGTTTAAAGACCCAAACTCATTTTAGGCTGGTGATTGCAGACAGACAGTAATATCCTCCTGAAGGGTTTGTTTGTGAGTTAAGCTCAAGTGTGAAGTTGTTAAGTTGCAACTTCACTGTCTCTGTGATCTCTGGGTCATGACTCCTGCTTAGAGATTCAGCGTCACACTCTTTGTGTTCAAATTTAACTGATGTATGTAAAGTTCAGGTCATGCTTTATTTTTGTGTCTGTCTCTCTTTATAAATTAACAACCCTCTTCTCTTAAGCCTCGGAAAAGATGCTCAAAGCCTGGAAGGAGATGGAAGAGAAGGCCTCTCAGTGTGCACAGGTAGGAGATATTAAAGAAGCTTCATTACCTCTCTGTGAAGGAGATCACAGCAGGAACTTAAAAGCATCTCATGTGCCACTACTCTGTCCCTTTAGTGTGTTTCATATTCAGCCTGCTGTGGGAATGAGAATATCGTTGCAGGTACATTAAAAAAGAAACAGTCCCCAGGTTGTTCTATATAGGAAAGTAGACTATAGAGACATGTTATTTATTGCCCAAAAGAAATGGTGTTGCTATAGACAAGAGTCTTCCTGGCTGAGTTTATTGCACACAAAAATTCCCATTGGTAAAGCTGAAAATAATACCAATCACTTACTGTGCATTGATTTCAAAGCTGCAGTTCTTCATTTGGGAGTACAGACATAAATTTCTGGTATTCTGTAAGTAAAAATACAAATTAGTTTTCTTAAGGATGACTCTTACTGAAGTTTAGAGCAGATCTAGAGCCAGTTCTTACTCTGAGTAGTCCTAACAGTTAACAGTTATTTTCACCTGTGATTTATGAAAGTTGAGCTAACATAATGACTTTCTCAGAGAGTTAGTTCGGTGAGAAAGGCTAGTTGAAATTTATCTGCTGCATAGAATTCTCATCTGTCTTTGGGGAATGAGCATTTTAATTTTACCTCTGCTGAAAACAATGAGGAGACAGAAGTCTTTTTGACAGAAAATAATTCTGCCTGCAGTTCTGTCCAGACCTTTATAGGAAAGGAATATGCTTTTATCTGTGAAAAATGGGGACAGAGTTAGGATGATTGTAGTTTATTGTCAAAAGCTGTTTCTTCTTCTGTTCTGTTGAATGCACTGAATGAAGCGTGGGAGAGGGGAGCATTCAGGAGGAGTGCAAGGAAAAATCAGCACATTTGTAATGTTTTTTTCAGAGTAGAGGTCTTTAAAATATCTCAAAAAGTACTCTCTTTTTTGTGCCCTGTGATAGTAGCTAGCTGCAGGAGTGCCAGGAACATTGCATGTTCTGCTGCTCAGGACTGTCACGTGGTTTGCTGGGCTGCTGTCTTGAATTTCTGCTCTCCCCTGCAGGGAGTTTTTTGTATTGGCTCTCGTAGTAATACAGGGCACAGTGATTACGAGACAAAAATCCCAGACACCATTTAGAAACACAAACAATAAATTACACTGCCTATTTTTTTTCCTCTCTGAAGGAATAGACTGGATAGGTCAGGTTCTGGGATCCATTACCTATCTTCATCTAAGTCAAAAGGTTCTTGGAGCCTCGATTCTGCTTGCTCATATGATGGAGATAGGGGAACTGGGATTCCCACCTGAATTCATCTCTGCTTAGCTCCTTAAATTTTGGGATCTTGTTGCTCCTCATTAGGAAGCAACAAAGATAAAAGCGAAGCTGCTTCTAGCAGAATAACGCAGAGCTGTCACTGGCTGTTTCCAGAAAACCAGGAACCTCAACAAATACTTTGCAGACCATCAGAATTATGTTCTGTCTTCAAGCTGTGCAGTTCACATGTATAGTCACACCACGTCCATTTATCACGAATGGAAAATATTTTACTTTGTAATACACAGTGGTGTCTCAGTCTGTCTGGCAGGCAGCTTAACTTCTGCAAATTCAAGAGATACAGTTATGCTGTGTGATGAGTGCTCCAGATGAAGACAGGGTTTACTTCACATTTTTCTGGCAATCTTACTCTCCTTCGATTTATGTGGCTTCTCGCTGCTGCTGCTGCTTCTTTGTGGTTCATTCTTTACCTGCAAGACCTATAGACATCCCTTTCAGGTCAGAGGGTCACATCCCATTTATATAGCCTCATACCAAGTATTTCTGCAGCTTCAGCAAGGGCTGTGTTCTGGAAAATGCTCAATTTTCAGGTTCTACAGCCCCAGGTCAGAAACAAAAAGCTAACATACCTCAATGTACTTTACCTGGAAGTCAGATCAGTGCCCACAGCCCAAGGCACTAAGACCCATTATGGTGACCAGTGCTTTCTTAACTGTGGCTGGGGGTCTCCAGTGCACGTCTGGCACCACACACCTACTCCTCGTGCTCAGAAATGTTGTTGGCTGTTTCACCTAACTCGCTGTGGGGAGATGGCATAAGATTGGTATCTTTTATATTGCTTTGAGGAAGATGTGAAATACCAGACCAAAATGCATATGGGAGGCTAAAATGTGAGAGCACCCTCTGTCCATACTGTAAGAGTAGGAGAAAAAAAATCTTCACTGCTGGAATGTATGTAGAGGCAGAGTATGTGTGTGTGTGCAGCATGCATCTCAAAGTGATACGATTTATAAAGAAACAGATTTTTTTCTCATCCAGTGTGGTTGTCAGGGATTTGGATCTAGATGATACCGTGCACTGGGGAAATAATAACAGTAACCTCAATTATTGGAGCAACAGTCATGTCAAAGAGCTTTTTTCTCCTAAACTCTGCATGGAGTCTGCCCGCTATCCAAATAAATATTCTGGGGATCTTTATTTTATTGCTCTCCTCCTTCGGTTTGATTTGTACCTACATTTTGCCATTAGGCTGAAGATATTGGCTATCTGGATGAGCAGATCATGGCTCTGCACACAGAGATTGTAGAGCTTCAGAAGAGTCCGTACGCAAGGCGCCAGGGAGAGGTCATGGAAAGCTTGTAAGTCCTTTGCCTATTATTTTTATGTCATGTAAGTGGATTTTGTGTATTTCAGTGTCTGAAGGATTTTTTTTTTTTATCTCCGTTGGTGGTTTCATCAGCACTTTTGTAATGCGCTCCTCACTTTTTGCAAACTGAGTACACAGTAGTTTGCAATTGGTTTAAAATCATTTTGCTGGTAAAAGGGAAGGTCCTACCACTTGTGGCTGCATGTTCCTCCTTCCTCTTGAAGTTCTAACGATCACTTGGCAGCGTTATAAGTCAGAATACACAATGACTGCACCTGGGGAAACATGGAAAACACAGCGAGGGAAGACAGGACACTTCTTTCTCACTGACTTCGAAATTTTGTCTTAGAAGAGGATAGATCTAACATGTATCTTGGTCTCAGCTGAAAAATGCAGAGGATTTCTTTTGTATTGGAGAAGAGTGAATTTATAGTACTGAGTGAGAAAATGATGAGAACATTGTAAGATCCTATTAAAAATCTTGAGTGTGTTTTCAAAGCAAGGATAATTAACAGCTCATAGATAGTTGAATATTTGGAAACTTGAATCATTATATTTTTTAAAAGTATTAAAATATGAAAGACCTAAGTGATATTACTGATCTTAAGAAGAGGTAGGAAGCAATTATTGTAGTTTGGGCTGTTGCTGAGAGCACAAGTGGCAATTATAAAAGAGAGGGATCAGCTAGCCACCAAGATTGCATAGCCACGAAATCCATTGTTAAGAAGAGCTCTTCTGAATGGCTCTTGAGCATTCTGGGAGGCAACATGCCTGTTCCTGGCATGCTCTCCCTGCTCCCTCTTTGCTGAGCTAGATCAGCTCAGTGGCTTTTCATCCGTGTGTAGCTGCAGGAGCAGCAGAAGTGGTGCACAGGGGAGGAAGTGGTGGAAGGGAGAAGCCACCTCTTGCAGCAGTAGCCCACATTCAGAGCAGCTTAAACTAAACGGGGACCTGCTTCTTAAAACACTGTCTCTAAGTGCTTTCACCCCTGCCAAGGCAAGGCTGCATCAGCTATTTGCAAGGTGCTCAAAGTCTGCCCCAAGCCGTTAATTATTCTGGTCTAAAGCCGCTCCTCTTAATGAGGAGTGGAGAACAGAGTGAGTCTTCTGCTCTTTAGTTTTTGGGGCTGTAGCAAAGCATACTGCAGAGCACTAGCTTAAGGTTTTTGATACACGCAGCCAGGAGACGTGCATGGATTCTGAGTAATGTTGCAGATTTACCTGACGGTGCTGGATGCTAATGTTCTCTTTTTCCCAGGGCAGCAGGAATAAAGAGCACCTCTCCCCCTATCCTTGGCTGATGCAGGAGTTTTGAGATGGATAACTATCCAGCATGCTAGGAAGGCTGACTCACATAAGCAGAAGCAGCTTTCATGAGCTCTTGAAACAGTGTTGAGGTGATGCAAGGACAGCTAAGGGGAAGAAGAGGCCTGGTGAGGGCCCAAAAGCAGAGTTAGAACTGCGTCTTGTTTCTGACAGACTTTTAATTTAGAACAGTGAAGATGTGTTCAGGGGTGGAAGCCTCAGTGTTTGACTGCTTTTGAAATATTTGAAAGTAGTAACATTTATTTAATTAAAGAGAAACACTGTCCTCTTGTTTGTGATGCAGCTGTCTCTTTCCATTTGCAGAATATCACTAAAATTCAGGCAAAAAAAATGCAGAAAGGAACAAGAATTTATCAGGCAGTTGTGCAGAATTACCTATAGTTACAAAAATGAAGTTTTATAATTAAGGATACCAGAGAAAGAAAACACAGCTAAGCCATGTGAAAATTTGAAACTGAAAATAACCTTCAGTTGGTATGGTTATCTGAGAAGAAAATACGTAATCAGAGAATGAGAGAGACAGCTTTGAGGGAAGAATTGGTTTCCATCACAGAAAGCTCCAATGTGTGAGGTTGAGAAAGGCATAACTTAATTGCAATGCTTATTTCCTTGGGTCACATGCTTGTTGATATGTGTATGAATCATTTTCTTCTTTCTGAAGGGAACAGAGAGCCATAGACCTGTACAAGCAATTGAAAACAAGACCTCCAGGTATGGAAGAAGATGGTTCAAAGACTCTTTCACACTCATATCCCCTGACTAATTTTTCCGAACTCAAACGCAGAAAATACTGTTTAGGAGAAGGCAAATTACTGTATTAAAGTTAACCAGACTCAAGGGCATACCTTAAGATGACTTCTTCTTTTTGCTGAGCTTAGAGCTCTCCAAAATCCTATAGCGCTGTTCCTCAGCCATGGGTTTGTCTTCTGGTTTTCAGTCTTGGAGCATCTGCCCTGAACACGTGTCTGCCTTCTGGCATTCTCTACCTTTTTTCCTGCCCCCAGTACTACTGCTTTACTCCCTGCAGACATGGGAAGAACTGCTCTTCCTCTGTGGTCACTCCAACCCAAGGGCAGTCTCTTTTCCCCCCTCTCTTCCTCTGTCTTAATTATACTGAACGGAGCCCCGTGTTTGGGGATTATTACATTCTGAATGTAGTAACTGCTGAGCAGAAGGATGCACTTAACCTGTTCATCCAGCAGCTACCTGCAGTCCTTATTGAAGCCAGTATTTAGACAGCAAGAGTGGTTGGAAAACATTGGTATACATTACTGCAGAGAGAAGAGGAGTTAAGGAAGAGCTGTGCCTGATGAGAGACTGTGACAGATTTTCATTATGTTTCAGTTTGTTTGGCTGCACTTGTTAAGCCAAATCTTTCCTTGTCTCTGGGCATTTGGTGTCCAGAGTGGTTCTTCCTGAAGAAGAGAATTTTACTAATGTAGTGATCAATGGCCCTTTCAGATCATGCCTACAGTGACAGCACGGACATGGTGAAGATCATTGTGCAGACAGTCCAGAGTCAAGACAGAGTTCTCAAGGAGCTCTTTGGCCATCTCAGGTACTTTATGCAGGATTTAAAAACAAACAAACAAACAAACAAAAAACAAAAACAAAAAACCACCAAATGCAACTTGCAGCATTTGTAGCTTTGTAGCAGAAAAGGAGAGGGAAAATCATGGATGTCAGAGCCCAAAAGCTCCATCCACAGGTATACATTTCTCATAGCAATATTTATTCTGCTCCTTCGTGTCTGTGTTGAATTTCCGCTTTTTAAAACACATGACTAATATGTGTAGCTAATAGAGAAGGAAAGGAGAATGCAATGGCTTTTTACTGCTAGTATCCAAGAGTTCACTTTAAAATGAGATAAATTCTGCCAGTGTTAAGATTGGGATTAAAATTTCATGGGGAAAAAAAAAAATAATAGTCTAACAGCTGAGAAGATACCACAGAATTCAATAATTCTTCAAGTAGCTCAGAAAAAATGTCATTATGCAGATCTCAGTAGACAGCAAAGCGTGATTTCGTTTTCATGTGTGGCTTATACTTAGTAGATCCCATGAAGAAGGTTGTTAGCTATGGGATGGTCAGCCCACAGAGACCAACACAGACCAGGGAAGATTAATAAAATGCTGTGGTTGAGTTGCTGTGCTGTCCATTATCATCAGGATCAATTTTTGCATTTCAAATAAGAGCTTATAATGTGGGTATTAATAGTAGTGTTGTCTGCCTGCTATTTTGAGTCTTAACTGGACTTGGAGAAGTCCAGGGGTCCCTCCAGTCTTGCAGGTTTTGTACCTGCAGCAGTCATAGCACTGTGATAAGAGAAAGGGGTGTTCTCACAGAATATTTTTGAAACCCAAGGTGAGGCTTTTGCTTTTGCCAGAATATATTGCCACACAAGCTGGAAAGTAACTTTGTGTTTGTTTTTTATTATAGTAAGCTCTTGGGCTGTAAGCAGAAGATCATTGACTTGCTTCCAAAGATTGAAGTGGCTCTAAATAACATCAAGGAAGCTGACAACTCAGTGATGCAGATGCAGGGAAAAAGACAAAGAGAGATATGGCATTTGCTGAAAATTGCTTGTGTAAGTAGCTTTTGGACTGTTTATTTGCTCTTCCTTCCAGTGCAGGAGCCAGGGGACATCAAATGAAACTCTGAAGAGACCAAAAAGGGGAACTTCCACACGAAATGTTAAAAAGCTGACACAGGTTTAGAAAGGGGGTAGACAAATGCATGGAAAAGAAGCCCATTAGAAGGAGTCCTTGGTCCCAGTAAGTCATCAAATTGCTGGTGGCTGGAATACAATAGACATGCCATGCCATGCACCTTGTTCTTAGTTCAAGTGTTGGCTGCTGTTGGAGGCCATACACTGGGATAGATGAACTTCAGCCTGATACATTAAACCTAACATGATTTTAGTGCTGCAGAAGTGAAATAGGTGCTTTCCTGGTTGGTTGAAGGTGTTATAAGACTACACTGCTTTTTCTGCATCACTTACAGTGACCATACAGCTGAAGCAATCTCCTGATTTCCACATGTCTACATTCAAGGTCCTCATAGGAAGCATGTATGTCTTTCACCTGCCAGGAGAGTTGCTGCTGTGCATGACTCAGTTTAGGGCACGGGACCGCCTCCTAATTCTGCAGTGTAGAAGACATGTCATGTACAACACAGGTGACTTACCTGCAGGGACATCTGGAACCAGCTCTTTGCCGAACCCTGGAGGGTCGTGTCAGCTGGCTTGCCAGCCAAAGGCACGGCCTAGATTGTGTGTATGTGTTTACAAACAGTGCTTCTGTTTAATTGCAAGTCTTGCATATGGAATATTTAAGCCTGACTAAATTCTTCCTTTGTCTGTCCGTCACAGCAGATGAATTTCTTTTTTTCTAGACTCAGAGCTCCTCTCGCTCGCTGGTAAGCTCCAGCCTGGAAGGGACAGCCTCGAGTCCGGCAGCCATGTGGCTCCCACAGAACTCCTCAGGGAACGTACCTCACCCTCTGTCATCTATGGCAACTCCTGAAGATGGGTAAGAGCTGTTGGGGAAAGGAGGCTGCTGCAGAGAAGTCAGTGTAGCCATTCTGTATGCGCACGCTCTGAAATCGTGTCCTCTGCCGCGGGACTCTCCGGTGCTGAGGGGGCCAGAGGGGCATGTCTTGACCGTGTCCCACATGCTGGGGTTAGATATGCTGGGCAGGGAGATGTCTCTGAAGGCAACATGATTCACCTGCTGACTGGAGTTTTAGTAACTTACCTCTGGCCATACCGCAGCAAAACGCAGCAATGAGATTTTTGAGCCAAAAGGCACTTCCTTGTCATGCCCAGGTTCTGGTGAAAGTCCCACATAAATCAGACCATATTTCTTACAGCTTCTCTGAAAAAGTCTTAACTCAAATGGAGGTCTGAAGTCAGGGTCAGTACTAATCAATCCATGTGGTTCAATATCTGGGGGCTTTTTTTATTCTTCCAAAAAAAGGTTTCAGTAGCTCATATGTTACTAATGCTCTAAAAAAATCAGAATTTAGGTCTAACTCTTTTTATTCAGAAACCTCCATGCTCAGGACCAGAGGGTCCTGAGCAAGTTCCATATACCGCTCTTGGCTAAAACACTGCACTATTCATTTCTTGCATGTCATCTTACTCTGTCTTGGGGTTGGATTTGGTTATTAAGGCTGCTCTCTCTGGCTGAGTAAGAGAGTTGTCAGGAGCTGTGGTTTTTTTCTCTTTGCTTCATTAGCATTTTACTTCCAGTCAGCATGACAGAAGGGAAGATGCCCCTCTGAGACTGCTCAGCCCTGGATCCACAGCAGTGCTGGATCTGGGAGGGGCTGGGGCAGGAGTTGTGAACATCACCATCAAACCATTTGGCTGCCTCTTTCTTTTCAGGTGGTCAGGGAAGTACCTAGGTTCTGAAGATTCACCTCTTCTAAGTAGGCTTTTGCTGGAAGTCAGTTGATTTTTCTGAAACCTTGAGCAACCTTTTCTGTTTCCTCTTTTCTGTCTGCTGCTGTGGGGCAGTTTTTGCTTCTGAGTAATGTGATCACCCTTTAATAGGCGCTTTCCTGAGCAAAGTGCCTTTGAATCATGTCAGAGCTCCTCTTTGAACCGTGACTTCACTGTATGAGGCACTGTACAAAGAGTCAAGAGATGTAAGCCTTATGGGGAGTGGGCAGTGATTTCAGGCTCGCTTCTTTTGTTCTGTTAAGGCTGAGTTTCAGTGTGTTTTGTGCAGTTCTTCTGTAGGGAAGGAGTGCAAATCCACACTTCCAGGGTGGGGATCTGCAGGATGCCACCTCAAGGCATAGTTTTGTGCCCTACAAGGTAGCTCCTACAATTGCAGAGAACTCCTATAAATCATTTTTTTGGGGTGGTTTGTTTTTTGTTGTTATATTTATTATTTTTTTTTCCCCAGTACAGAGCCTTTTGATGTTGGTGTTACTTTGTGTTTTAAATCTGTCATGCCTTCCCTTCCCTGCAGGGAAAATTTTGTCCAAGTGATAGAAGAGAATATGAATTACCTCGAACTCTTTAGCAGTATTTTGCAGGAGGCAAGACAGGAGCAGAACAACAGCATAATGGTAAGTCTACTGGTGTGTCTCTGAGGACCTGATTTTTAAGAACCACATTAGCCAGAGTCCTCTGGAGGTATGAAGAACTCCTTAAATAGGGTCATTTGTGATGATGTGAATTGCTGTTGCGGGCATGTGATGTCTGTCATTCCTCCTGGACTCCGCTAACATGCCGGTCCTTATGGAAGGTAGCACTTGGTGCTAGTGTTGGCTAAGTGGTCTGCGTGGCAAACTGGGCTGTTCTGTGGGACCCCTGACTGCTAGAGCTCGCTCTGGATGCCGATTGCATTCTTAACTGAAGAGTCCTGGTTGGCATCCCTGCGCTGGAGTGGGCAGAGTTCTCCATGTCCAGCACCCTTTCCTGATGGTTAACTGAAGCTCTCCTTATAGCAGAAGTGGGGCTTTGGAGAGTCCTCAGAAAGCTCTTTGCATAAATTGGTACTTGAAATAGCAAGAAATGACAAAAGTAAATAGCACCCAGACGTTTTGACGCAATCTAAAACTGTTCCTGAACTACTAATTGAGGCCAGTAAGTTACTGCTCAGAAGAGATCGGTTACCAGAAGAATGAAGAGCATCACAGAATACTGGTCTTTTAGACTGGTCTCAGCTGATTTTAGAGGCTATATCATAGAAGCACTTGTATAAATACAGTGAGAAAAGGGCAATTAGGCATGTAGATTGACCCGTTTATAATGGAGAAGAGTCAATACAGCTTCTGTTAGCATCATATTGTCTCACAAATGTATTGCAGTCCTGTAATGAAGTCAGAGATCCACTGATACTCCGTAACTTGGATTTTCAAAAAACTTCTTAAAGATCGCTTTAGGAATAACTTCCATTCTCATGGGATAAAAAAGTTGAAGCTGTTTACCAGTTGTAACTGCTGAAATAACAAGGAACAGAGGGTTGGAGAAATGGATTTCCTAAAATTCCTAAGCATTTTAATTCATAAACATTTTAATGTTTTAATGTTTATGAATAATAGTAAACAGTGAACTGAGAGCTTATTGGAGTCACTAAGCTAGTTGGGATAGTGAAATGAAAAATTACTAGTGGGAGTTGCAGATGACACTAGTAGCAAGGGATCGAGCAGTATGAACAGGGAAATAAAATTAGCTGCTGATTAAGGCAAAATAATTACGTTAGTGGGGAAGACAGCCTTAATTATGCATATCCTGGTCTTCATCCACTGGTTAATGAATGCTTTGTATGTCTTTGTTCCATTCTGACAGGGTTGTTATCAGCTGTGTAACATAATCTTCTCTCCTGTCTTGTCTCCTTGCTGTGGCTGGAGACGAGCGAAAAGCTGTATGACTGGCTTCTTACCTGTTAATCATCCATGTCTCTGTCATCTCCTGTATCTCATTCCAAAGTGCAGCATCTGTCTCTGGCATGTTTTAGCCTAGAAAGATTATTCATTGTGGTGGAATCATGCTCTGCAGATCAGCTCCTGTTTTGTTATGTTTGGTTTCTTTCCTCTTTTCCTTGCATCAGGGGACAGAAGTTAGGCAACAGGAAAACAGGAGAAAATGGGATTTGTCCTGTTCAATTCACCTGAGGAAAAACATGAAAAAAGAATGAATACTTCTAAGAACGTTCTCTCTGTCCTTGCATACGTTTGACTTGGAGCCTTTCGTTCTTTTTCATTTGTGCTCTTGCACTACCAGTATGTCCTGTGGTGCAGTAGGGACCCTGGCGCTATGTTTTGCGCTGGCACAGAATGTAATTTCCAAAGCAAGCACAGTCTGTGACATGCCTGAGCACTGCAGTAAGCATGAGGGATTTTGTATGGGGGGCAAACTCTGTCGTGAAACGGTGAGGTTACTTTTCAGCTCTTAGATCAACATCATTCCCCGAGAAGAGAGAGATGCTGGTTACCGAGCGCCCCTTTGGTCACCACCGCCTTGGAAACAGACATTCAGTAGCTGTTCCCTTGCTTCTTCTTTCAGAGTTTTGACTGGAGCTGGCTGAAATAGCCGAAGGAGCGCTGCTCTCTGCGAGGGGCCTGCACGCTGGGAGGCTGCGGCCTGTGCCGTGACAAGCTGGGGGGGAGCGGCCCCTCCGTCCCCGTTGTGTTTCGCAAACCTTGGCGCTGGCAGAAACGAACCGCGTTTCAGGGGCTTTTGCCTCGTTGGGCTTTTAACTAAAGGAGTAACCCGCTTGTTGGGGAGGGAGGCGCGGCGGCAGCGCCGGCTGCCTTCACCAGTGCTGGGCAGGCGGGGGGTGCGCCCCGCCCGGGCTCTCCCGCCGCTTGTCTCGACGCGTGTAATATGAATGTATAGATTTATATATATTATATATATATATATATATTTTTAAATAGGATTGACTGCAATAAACGCTGTGGAGAGGCTGGCCGCGCTCCCTCCTTGTGGGAGGGGAAAGGGGGGGGGTGGGGTGGGGCTCTGCGCGCCGTGACGCCATCGGCGAGCGCCGGGCGGGGGGGCGGGCGGTGCGCATGCGCGGCGGGAGCGGGGGTCTCGGCCGCACGTGGGCAGGCGGCGACAGGTATTTTTGGGGGGGGGGGGGGGGGGGGAGGAGCACACACGGCACCCTTGAGGGGCGGCGGGGCGAGCAGCCCTGCGGGCCACCGGCTCCTCGTAAGGGTGGGTGCCGGCCCCGCTGCTGCCCTCCCGCCGGCGGTGGGGTCCCCTCGGCGGAAGGGCTGCAACCGGCGTGAGGGGAGTGGGGAGTGGGGGTGGGGGGCGGTGGCGGGAATCCGGCAGCTGAGGAGTTTTTCTCGTTGGGAAAGGAGCGGAGGCGCCGTCGGAGAGGAGGGGGAGTGAAGATTTTCGTGCGCGGCGGTGAGGCAGCACGGGGCGGGGGGGGGGCCGGGCGACGGTCTGTGTCCCGCAGGTGATGCGAGGATGAGCATGGCCCAGGCGGGAGCCGTAGTCGCCGCTGCCACAGGACTCCTCGTGTTCTTCCTCTACTCCTCCATCCACAAGGTTGAGGAGGGGCACCTGGCTGTGTACTACAGGTACTGTTCCCTCCCAGCGCCTCCCGTGATCTTCCCCGAGCTCCTCTCGCTGCTGGGATTCATCCCTGGCCCCAGATCACCTCCGGAGGTGACTGCGCTCTCCCGCCTTCCCCTCCTGGCTTTGCCCCGGGGTGGGCAGACTTGTTTCTGCTCTTTTGGGCCTGGATAACCTGGCCCTGCGCAGAACCGTTACAAATTTTGGTCTTTCTGAATCCTCGGCTACTTTTCCTCCCTCTCTTTCCTCCCCTTTTCTGGGTCACGGTTTGGATTTCAAACCTCAGAGGACCAAAGCTATTGGTCGGTGCAGTCTTTTCATGTCTGTTGATCTCTTCCTCTTACATCAAGGGCTGTCACCTCTATCCCAAGACTGTCGGCCAGCCAGAATACCTGCTTCGTTGTTGCTTTGAAATGGGTCTTCTCCCTGGCTCTGGGGCTGATTTTCACCTGGGGCTTGTAGCTGCCCCTAATAGCATCTGTTGGGCAGCTAACTCATTGTCATTCCACAATACTGAACGGTCACAGTCACTAAATGCCACCTCTTAACTAGATGTTGCTTCAAATTTGAGTAAAGGAACGGAGAAATTTGGCACCAACCTGTCTGTATTTTGAATTTCTGCTATATTTCTGTCCTGTCTTTTCCACCCTTCGCACTCACCACCGTGGGCCAGTTTGCTTTGCACTGCTCTTTAATTGTGTTTTGAACACCACAGGCCCTTGTGGGACGCTGCAGGAGACCTTACTGCACAACAAGGATCGGTCACTTAGGGCTCTCCTCTGTCTCTCATGTCCCTTAACCACTTGCTGGTCTGCACAAGAGACTGCGGCTTTTCTTTGTGCTTTGGGTGAGGGACTGTGCCGAATGCCTTGTGGAAATCCAAACTGGCAGTACCAGCTGGATTTTTCTATGGTTACCAGTGAACTATTTAGAGAGGGAAATCTGTGTTCTTGAAGCTCTCTGCAGTGTTGCACTGATGGAAGAATTTAGCAATATCTTCCTTCTCTAAAAGTTAATTGCTCGCAGGTCTGAAGTAAATGATTGTCAAGTTGTAGCAGGCAAGTATCATACACGGTCAACCCTGTTATAGGGGAATTGGTGGCAAATTTGGTGCAGGTGAATAATGTAATTTGCACTACAACAGCTGTGTAGTTGGCAGTTTTGAATGTACTCACTCACTCTCAAAGCTAGCACTTACTGTTTTCCAGTTGCTTGAGCCTTTTTCCCTGTTTTCTTCTCTCTCTGTAGGGGTGGTGCATTATTAACTAGTCCGAGTGGACCAGGCTACCACATCATGCTCCCGTTCATTACCACGTTCAAATCCGTGCAGGTTAGTATTTTCTCATCTTGGAAGAGAGTTCGTGGGAGCAGATGTTGGTGGGGCTGTCACTGGATGGGGGTGACTTGGGCAACTGGTGTCTGCAGGGGGGCTCAGCCATATGGTAGTCAGAGCAGCAGCTCCTAGGCAGCCCTTGGTTCCTTCTGCCTTAGGTGCCAGACCCAGCTGTGCACCGGGACTTGTCCTTTTGGTGGAATGTCCACAACGTGTGTGTGTTCCTTGGGAGAGGAGATGTTTTGCTCTGGGAGGGTGGTCTGTGTCTGCAGCCCTAATTATTTCCCAGAACTGCAGGCCTTAGTGCTTCAGGAGCTGAGAGTAGGGAGATGAGCACAACTGCTTTTCTGCTTCCCAAAAGACAGTTGAAAAGAAGTCTGTTTTCTGCCCACACCTGCAAAAGTCGGGAGGGAGGCAGAGGATACATTTTTGACTTCATGTTCCTGTGTAATGTCTGTGAGAGTCTGGGTGCAGCACGATCCTCCTGCAGAATGGAGAGGTTTTGTGAGCACTGGTTGTCTTTTTATTTCAGACCACGCTGCAGACTGATGAAGTGAAAAATGTTCCTTGTGGGACAAGGTATGTTTTTCCTTTGTATTTCTTCTGGTGATGAGCAGATGCACTCTGTTGTGTAGTTTGCAGCTAGTCATTTACAGTGCTGTGACACAGAGGCTGGAAAGTAAAAGCACATACCCTAAAAGTAGTCCCAAACATACATACATCACACTTGGAAATAATAGAGCAGGGAGGTATGGGAGGGCATGCTCTTGCTTTCTCTGGAATTGATATTCAGAGGGTATTTGCGTTTATAGTGCTGTTCTCTTGATTTTTCTTGGTTTCTTCCCTGAGTTACTCTGTTAGCCCATTGCTTGTGCTTTGGTCTGCTCTCTGCTTTGCAGTATTTCTAGTCTGAATCTTGGGGCTAATACAAGTGCTAACCCCAGCAGTGGGCAAAAGTAAATGTGAATGGGAGTCCTCCTGATGGGAGATGGTTCATTTCAAAAACAGCTCAAGAAAGTGAGTCTCCTGGAATCACTTGGCAGAATCTGTTTCTTTGGGGTTAAAACCAAACTGGTGATTCTCCTTGTCTTTTATCGTTGGGGTACTCAACAATATTTCTGTTCAAAAAAAAAAACCAAACAAACCCAAAAAACCAGTATGACTTGAATGATGACACACAACGACCATGTTGGAATTAAAAGTAGAACGTTAGTGGCAGCGTTAATGAAGCGGGGTTAGTTTTGATCTGGTTTAGCCCTTATTGAAATGAGTTCTTGAAATTATTCCTATAGCATCAGACATCACTTGAGCCTAAATATTAACATAAAGTTCTCATGGGCCTTAGCTGGTTTTAGTTTTAGATCTGAAACCTCTTTCAGGAGTATCTGTAAATAATGCTAGAGTTCAGCGTTGCAGCCAGGGCTTTATGGTCTGGTAAAGAGTCTAGATCAAGCGAAAAGTAATTGCAGGAAGGAGGAGTAGGACTCATTATGGTCTCTATCTGTATCTTTTTAATGGCACAGTTAATAATATGTCATCAGAGCAGAGTTTTAGTGAGGTGTTAATGGCGGCTTTTAGCTCATAGGTAGTATGACTAGGAGTAATACTTTGCCTGCTGGATGTTGTAAAACAGCTTCACGTCTCTGGGCCAGGGATGGTGACCTGCTGTCCTGCAAGCCTCGTCAACAGACCAAGCAAAGCTTTCTGCTGAAGCTTAACCACGTTAGATGTGCTAACATGGTCAAAATTAAACTCTGCTGCTTTGGCCCTGCTTGAGCAGAGAGGTTGGAAAAGATGACTCCAGAGGTCCCTGCCGGCCTCGACTGTTCTGTGCATCTGTGATTTAGGAGCTAAATATTCTATTTAATTCTGTATAGTTAGTTCATTAAGTTCCTGTTACGTTGCAGGATTCATTTGTGTACAATACAGGTGGCTGTGAAGTTACAGGTAATAAATATGCTTTAAAACACCAAACAACTGGTGAAGCAGTTCTTAGTTAATAATTGAACACACTTCAGACCAAAGGTCCCAGTAGCCCTGTCCATTTTTAAGGTGTTACTGCAGGAGCCTTTAAATTTGCTGCATTTGGAATCAAAGTCTACAGCTGCTCCATGCCAAAGCTTTGAATCCACATTTCCATAATAAAGCGTTAGCTTAGAAAGAACAAATTGATCAAATCTGAAACTTCACTACACCGGTTCAAAGTTCATTGCAAGAATAGATCCTAAACAGTTTAAATTTCTGTAGTTGTATCTTAAACCATCAGATTTTAAAGGCTAGGTTTCCCTTTCATCATATTCCTGTTCCCTGTATCCTCATCCACATTAGGAAGCTTCTGAATGGCTGCATGGGTGTCCCATTCCCAATTTTTGCCTTACTTGTCCCATTTATGCTTGACAGCATTAAGGCAATACATTAAATACAGATTTTAAAACACTTTGGCACCAAGTGACTGTTTTTCATCAAACAGCTGTCACCTCGGTGACAAAAACCGTTTCATTACAGCAGGTAGAATATGTATCTGCTCTAAGCTGTAAATTGCCTCGTGTCTCAGATTTCTGACCTTCTCCAACACGAAAATGTGTGCACAGTTCCTTGTAAAGTTGAGCAGTTTTCTCAGGGCAGGTCTGCTGATCTCCAAAAACAAACTAGTTTTAAAAGAGCAAAGTATTCCAAAGGACTGACTCGAAGAATTAATTGAGAATGAATATACTCATGAGTATATTAATTGTGGAATAAGATAAATGGGTTGAAAATGGTGTTGTGGAAATACTGTATGACAGAATTAGGTAAGTAGCATTTTTGTTATAAACTTAACTGGAAAGAGCCATGGTAAATATTGCGCAGGTTTTTGCAATGCCAAGAAACAGTGAATAGCCAGGACACTAAGCAGTAATACTGCTCAAGCATTAGATGTTTATTTGCTAAGGTGTGAGAGTCATCCTGTGCGTGTGCTGCAGATCTTTGGCAGGAACGTGCACAGAGCACTGAAGGAATGCTGTTCTGGGACAGATCCCTGTTTGTTAGCCAGTCATGTGGAGAAACATGTCGTGAATATTGCAAGTGGATGTATTGCATTTAATCCCTGTCTCTCTAGACAGACCAGATCTGACCTTTAAGCCCAATTTTTACATGCTCTGATTGCTTAACCTAGCCTGGTCTTTGTTTGTGGTCAGCTCTAGCAATAAGCATTAAACCTTTGCCTTTTTTTATGGCCTGTTTTTTATGGGAATGTCCTTCAGTTTTTCCCTTGTCTCCTGGCCTGGCATAAGCTAAAATCCTGAAATGTATGAGGCTTTCTAAGGTTTACTGAAATGCCTGCTAGTGTATGTTAGTCCGTTGTACACTTTCACCTTGTCCTGTAAAGTCGGGCGCTACTGCTGCCTAATCATGCTTAAACTTCTTCCAGGTGCACGCAGTCTGTATGTTGATCCTCCTTTCAGACTTTCTATGGATGTCTTGTTCCTCCCTCCCTGACCAAAGAGCCTGCTAAAGTCAGTGCTGCTCTGCAGTGAGGGACCTTGTGGGGTGTGAGTAGCCCTTAGAGAGGCTGCAAATGCTGGTGTTGGAAAAGCTGTGGAAACTGCAGTAAAGAGTTACAAGCACTGAGAATCTCCCCATGAGAGCATCTGGCAAGAAGCAGGCTTCGGATGTTTTGAGAGTGGTAGTGGCTTATTTTAATGGAAAAGACATTGTCTGAACCAGCATTTAAACCATAGGTGCCAAAGGGCAAGTAAAGCAGCTGTGGATGATGAGAGGATTTGTACAGTTTCAGGTCGACAAGGTGTGTGAATCACCCCGTATCAGCTCATGGTGCTCTGCCAGAGCAAATGTCTCGAAACTGCCTGGGACAGTTTTTCCTGCACCCCAGGACAGAACAGTTCACTGTTCTGGACCAGGCTGTTTGAGAAGAGGTCTTGTCTGAGATGCTTACTTTTAAGATCAGGGTGTTACAGTCCAGTTTGGCTCCTGGTTTTACAGCAGCAAGGTCCAGAGAGCCATCCTCGCTGCACAATGTGAAATGATGATGGCTCCAGCAGCTGGATAGATGGGTGGAAAACGCAGCGTAAGTGCTTTGTGGGCTTGGTTTAACCTGAAGCCCCCAGTGGGGAAATAGGTAGCCAGCACATCTGGGCTCTGCGTGGCACCTGTTTCCTCAAGGCCATTGCCTGACCAACGGGACTGATATAATTGTTATGCCCCACCCTGCTGACCCATGCTGGTTGAGGTCCTTGGCAGGGTTGCTGTGGGTGGTGTTGGTTGAATTAGATGGGCAGCAGGCAGTCCTCTGGCCCGAGGTGCCAACCTTTCTTGCATGTGAGGTGGCGAGGGGCTCTGGATGAGTCGTGTTTAGGAGGCAGATTGTCTCGGGTGCTCTCTTCCTTCTAACATCCCCATAAAACTGAAATGCCAGAAGGACCCCAACATAAACGTGCAGCGGAGGAGATTCCGATGAAAGAAACCCACCTGCTCTGCTTTGGTTCCTCGGCAGCATATCTAGAGCATACTCTGAGATGGTGGCTGGGTTTCCCTGTCCTGGTGGAGATGTCATAAGGTGACGTCAACAAAGCAGGAGGATGGGAGCAGGTTCAGAAGATCCTGAGGAATGCTGTCGGACGACACTTGCAATGATAAATAGTCATTTTATTGGATGTGGTGGGACAGCTAGAGTGCAGAACAGATGAGAGAGAGAAAAGCACATAAACTGTAACATTATAACTGCTTGAGCAGCCTGACATGCCTATAAAGTATCCATAAGTCTGTCTTATTTAAAAACAATAGTAACTCTTCTTGAGAGACACAGCAAGAACGACCATGGCCTAAAGAGAAATCTTGAGTGAAAAAGGGATTAATACTCTTACATGTAGCATCTCACTGGGGAAATAAAGCTCTCTTTAGCCACAGATATCTCTTCTGCTGGATCGTCCCTTCCAGCAGACAAGTGCAGTCCATCAGTGAGGTTTTTAGCTCGTGGTTTGCTATGGAGCCAGCAGGTCGGGAGAGCAAACACAGGCTGTGTGTGGGAGACCTCTTCTAAAAGAGCACAGATGTGGGCAAGTTCAGGTGATTTTTTTTTTTTTTTCCACAGATTTAGCTTTCAACTGCCAGAGATTAAGATCTACAGAATAGGAAACAGAGTTTGTCACGGGGTATATGTTTGAGTTAAAGCACCGCAGAGACGAAGTTTGGAAATGTATGAGGTCTGCTTCTGGAGATGAGTTGTCTCTAAACAGTTTCTGCTAAAGCTTCTCGTTTGTTATTTGCCTTTGCCCCGAGGACAAAATCGCAAGATACCACGCTTTAAAAATACTCTCTCGAGACTTAGGAGTTGAAAATTAAGGAGTTGAAAGTCTCGAGACTTAGGAGTTGAAAATTTTCTTCCATGGTAGAGTTGTACCCAGGCATCGGCATGACCTGCTGAAAGCCACATCAGTAAGAGCAGAGGCTAGGATCAAGCCCTACCTCTGATTCCCTTCTTTTCTCTGCTGGTCTGGCAGCACGTGATCCCTTGGGTAGAGGACTGCCTGCAGGCTTCTTCCAGTGAGGTGTCTGGAGCTTCTGGACAGTACACACACCTGGGCATGTGTGCACAGTTGCAGTGTTACTGGATAGCCATTTGCAACATGACATTGAAGTGAAGAATATGAATTAAAGTCTGTTATGTGCTTTGTTTCTTCCTTTCTGATGGGGCTTGTCAAGTTCCTGCTGGAGCTGGTAAATGTGTGAACTTAAACTCAGGGCTTTTCTGTTTAAAATGTATTTGCTACCTAGAAGAGCTGCGGTGCATCTGCAGTTTGTGTCTACTCCGCTGGTTGCAGGTGTTGTCTGCCGTCCTTGTTGCCTTCCCTTCATTGTGCTGGAATCCCTCTTTCTGAAAGTTGCAGCTACATTCCTGTTCAAAAACGTGTTCCTTTTGCTGGCTAAGTAGGAGATAAGACTGAAGCAAAAAGTGCTTTGCAGACCTGCTGGAGCACGCTTCTGATTTATGCAGAGAGAGGGACCAGTCTGTACAAAGCTGGGGTTTGCTGCCACCTAATTGCAAAATGCTCAGGAAGTCAGAATTGTTCTGGGTAAGTTTAGTAGAATTCAGTAAAAGAGGGATAAAGATGACTTTGCTTTAAGTATAGACCGCTGTTAACAGTTACAGTAATAGTTCATTAATTCTCTTTTTCACTTACAGTGGCGGTGTTATGATCTACATTGACCGAATAGAAGTTGTGAATAAATTGGCACCGTATGCAGGTATTTCCCGTCCTGTTTCAACAAGCAGCGCTGTGACTGTCTTCACTCATCCCGTAGCAGCTCTGTCTTGGTTTGCAAGACTTCCATTTTCTGTGTCTTATTATTCTTATGGTTCCCAATATCATCGCACATAGTTCCATGCATGTGTCTGCAAGCTTTTTGAAGAGCCACACATTTGCAAAGGTGAAGGTAAATTCTAGGATTGCTTCTCCCCAGTACGTTTAGAAATGTGACGGGTGCTCAAGCAATCCTATTTCTTGCTGCTGAAGAGTAGACCACCTGTGAAACTAAATACACAGGACAGAGTCCCCAGGTGCTTGCCAGCTCAGCTCCTGGGAAAATTACAGAGGCAAAGCCCACGTAGGAGCCTCTTACATTCTTACTTCACCAGTTGCCAAACCAAAGATTCAGTCTTTTGTTTTTTGAGCAGTGTAGCTTAATGCAAAATGCTAGTGTTACTGAGGCATTGAAGGGTGAATTCACGTTGTAATTGTGGGAATGATATTTGTTTTCACTTTATGGTAGTATCTGTTCCTATGCATGCAGGTCCTGGAGAAGCTTTACTGTTTCATTTGATTATGCAAATCATAAAACAGGACCGTGTGGTATATCTTGCTGTAATTACTCTGCTGTTTGAAGTCATGCAATCCCAGCAGCACTGGTGGAGGGGACCTCTGCAGGTGTCTCCTGACCTCCCTCACACTCACAGCAGGCTTCTCGCCAACAGCTGGGCAGTGCAGCTGTGGCCTTGTCCTGCCAAGTCCTGAAAACTCCCAAGGCTGGAGATCCCCCACCCCCTGTCCTGGTGCTGCACTACTTTCCTAATACTTTGAGCGGTTGTTTTGCAGTTACAGCATTGCAGAAAGCAGTACATGTCAGTGGTGACCTGTGATAATTCTCTTTCTTCCTCAGTGTACGATATTGTGAGAAACTACACAGCAGACTACGATAAGACCTTGATCTTCAATAAAATTCATCATGAGCTGAATCAGTTCTGCAGTGCCCATACCCTGCAGGAAGTATACATTGAGCTGTTCGGTGAGTGGATGGCAGCTGGATGCACCCAGCAAGGGCTGTGTAATCTCCCTGTTCTGCTGTCGAACGTGTTACAGCAGGCTCCTGTGAGCAAACAGCCACTGTGCTGCAGTTGCAGTCTAGAATCCAGCTTCTTATCTATCCATATGCCACTGCCCGTGTGACTTTACTCATTAATGATTCAGATTTCTTCGTCTTTCCACATCTTCATGTGGGAATTTGATTTCAGTCCTTTTCCTCTTAGAACTGAATCTGGATGCACAAAGTAGCCACTCTGCTCTTGTGCGTGCCGTCATGCCCATTGCCTTCACTGTGATGATGTTTTTGTCTTGAAAACTTCTACTCTTAGGCCCCTGTTCTGTTGCTGATTTGACTTTTTAACTTTAAAAGCTTCCTTCTGGCTGGTTTTAGCAAGCGAGAGCTGGAAGGGAAATGCTCTCAGTTCATTGCAATGTTCTAGTTTTTCACAAGGGGGTAGCAATGGTCAGGAATTAGCAAATTTAATATTTTGCTTCTTGGTACCGACTTGTACCTCCAAAGGTGTAACAGCATCATGTTTCTTCTTGAGTGGCAGAGCAGGGGAAAACGAGTTCATGGAAGATAAAAGGTTGTCAGGGTTTTAATATTAATAGACTGTAGATCTTTGAATGTTGTACTCGGACTTGCCAAATATCTGTACTCAGGGAGGAGTTTTCTGGTAGTACATGCAGCTTATAATCCATTCATAACTGGCCATTTCTGTGGAAAGATCTTCCTGGAGCTTGGAAATTACAAAATGCGTTTTTTTCCATAGCAGGTACTGGATCCTGCAGGTTGCTAGAGACTTAAGGCAGAGATTGCTGCTGGCAGCAGGGATGGTGTGGCTCTGGCTAGGAAGGTATAGACTTCTACCACAGGCTCTGGGTACTTTTGCTTGCTGAGATACTGAAAGCCATTCACCATTCGCTCCAATACTGTGAGCTGATCAGTAGCTGAACCTCTCTAAAGACACTAGTGTGTGGCTTTCCTTTCGGGAACATGTTCCAGGGGGTATAGAAAAGGAAGCAACATACTGAACGATCTCAAAAAGTGTCTTTATCTTACACCGTAGAGATACCTGCTTTTCAAGGCCAGCTGACTGTCTGCCACACAAGCTGTAGGAGAAAAGATAAGCTAAGTGGTCTCTCTCTTGTCCTCCAAACACAGATCAGATAGATGAGAATCTGAAGTTGGCCCTGCAGAAAGATCTCAATGTCATGGCACCAGGTCTCACTATCCAGGTAGGTTCATTCCCTAATAAAGATTATTATGTTTTCCACCTCTGATTTGCTCACCTTTCACTAGATGGATGAGGTTTCTTGCTTCCCCTTTCCACACGATGTTGAAATAGTTGAGCCTTGAGTTGAGGTTTGTCAGTTGAAGACTGTCCAAATGACAGTGACCACTTCTAAATGCTGGTTTTATGTTAGGGGAAGACTTGTAGGATAGAGAAGAGGACCTTTTAGGCCACAGACCTACAGGTATTGGATTTAGTTTACATAGAGGAAGAAAATGTTTTTCTTTAACTGCCTTTGGCACCCCTGCAGTGGTGGGTGCTCTGTTGTGCCAGCGCAGTTCCTACAGGTAATTGAAAAAGAGAGAGAGAGAGATCTTCATCTTTTCTGCTCTTGTGCCAGAGATAGGGAAAGATGTTATATCCTAAGGGATTTTCTGCTTACACTTAATGTTAGAAAATCATGGTTAATCTTAGCTGGGCTCTGGGGACATACTGGCTTCTTGGCGTGTTGAAGTTCAGGGCAACCAACTACGAAAAATACACCTTAGGCTCGCAAGGGCTAGGATGAAAATCTCTGGAGATTTCCATTGAAGGGAAGAATGAGACCAAATCCGTTTCACCGTTTGTTTTGCCACATTTAGGTGGGCTGGCTGGCGGCCTGCAGGGAGGGAGAGCCTCCTGTTGACAGCATGTGTAATGCTATGGTAAATACCGTGCTGCTTCGCGGCTCATTTGTGCATAGGTTTGCTCTGTTTTGATGAGGGTGAACCACAGGCAGTGTCTTATCACAGAGAAGTCGAGATGGCACCACTTTTCCAATTATCCAACTTGACTTGCACTGTACGTCGCAGAGAGGTTGCCTACAACAGTTCATCATCCATCGAAATCATTGTCATAATGTAAAGGCCCTTGTTGATCTCAGGGTATGGAAGGGTGTAAGCAAAGCTCATGACACTTTGCTGGGACACGTTAACTACAGTGCTAAATCTGATCATCAGTGTACATTATCCCGTCTCAGTTTGGCATGTCCAGTCTTCACTGTTGGTCGAAAGTTGAAGGATATGCTTCCTGCATCAGCCCAGCCTGAGTTCACCAGACCATCAGTTTGAAGGGGTCCCATAGCTAGTGAGGAAAGTGGTTCATCTGTAATGCTTAAGACACTGTGATTCTGCCCTCGTGTTCTGATAGTTCCCTTTCAAAACAGAGCTGCACCCTTGTCTCCAGTAAAATCGTGCCTCGACGTACAACTTGCCATGTTCCCGTGTCTCTTGTCGGGAAATACCCTGCTCCTCCAGTGAAGAACTGAGCTTTCTTTAAACTCTGCACATGCAGCTGTGTAATCCAGATTAATTTAACTGTACCTAGGATTTAATTGTTTTGTGAGCTCCAAGGGAAATAATTCTGTATTTGGGCACGGTTCTTTCCTCTTGAAGAGCACATTTGCACACATGAGTACTTCAGAGATAACTGACATTTCATTTTTGAAAGAGGCGGCAGAAAACAATCATCGAAAACATGCTGTTAGAGGAAATTAACGGCATTTATTTCTAGGCTTATTAAAACTATTTAGCGTACATGAAACTTTCACGAGTCCTCCAGGTTGCCTGATGCAAAACTTTTTCCTAACTGGAATGGTGACCACAGCCTGAAGGGGAGACTTAGTGGATGGTCAGAAGTATCTAGGGACCGTCACAAGGGAGGCTCCTGCGCTTTCCCTGTGAAAGCAGCACACCCTGGGGCTCGTCTCAAGTGTCTGGACAGAAACACACACATCCTGAGAAACTGAAAATCCATGTGTATTTGCAGTCCCCAGGGCCTGGTGGGATATCTTGCATGAGTGCAGTGCTGCTGTAGGTGGGTACAGCCTCTCTAGGGAGGACGGGCTGAGAAGGTGAGGCGTCAAGGTTGTGCTGCCTGCAAATGACTGGCTCCAATCATGGAGCTTTGCTTTGGGATGGATGATGAACAGCAGAGATGAGAGCCAATATAGGTAAGAATCAGACCAATATGGAGGACCACATGGTCCTTGTCTGCTGCAGACCACCCAGTTGGTAAGATGAAGTAGATTAAAGCTGCCTGTGGAAGACCAGAGAAAGCCTTGTGGTCACAGACCCTAGTACTTGTGGAGGTCTGATGGCCTCAGTGTCTGCTGGAAGGGCAGTAGGACTGGCCACAAGCCATGCTGGATGTTTCTGAGGGGTGTTGAATTTGGGTTTTGGCACTGGTGAGCAAAGCTGACTGGGGGAGATACTCTGCTGGATCTCTTAGAAACAAGGAAGAACTGTTTGGGAGGTGAAGTCTGGTAGCAGTATGAGCTGTAGCAGCTGTAAGGGGGTGAATTCAGGGTCCTCGGAGGAGCAAGGTGAACAGATGTACAGGCGTGGGTTTAAGGAGGACAAGACTCAGTTTGTGCAAGATGTGCTTGACAGGGTCCTGTGAGAGACTGCCATGGTCAGCAAAAGAAGTCAGGAGTCCCCACTTCATTGCCAAGGACACCCCAATCTGTGGAAAGTCAAGCAGGTGAGAGGAGTCTGGCATGGATGAACAAGGAGCTCCTGACTGAGGTGGGAGGAGTGAAGGTGGTTGAACTGAGCGTATGAAGACAAGAGTTAGGAAGACCAAAGCTCAGTAGACTTGGACCTAATGATGGCTGTACAGGGCAACAGAGGGGGCTTCTGAGGTGCATCCTGAGCAAAAGGAGGGGCAAGGAAGCTGTGGAGCAGGTCACGTAGTGACCAAGGACATGCCAAAGGCTGAAGTACTCAACACCTTTGACTTCTTCCTGGCAACATCTGCCTTTGGGCCTCCCCATTCCTTACGTCAGCAGCAGAGTCTGCAGGGGTGAAGCATTCCCCACAGTAGAGGACAGCTGAGCAGATGGACACACACAGGTCTGTGGAACCAGGTAGGATGCATCCCAGGGTGCTGAGTTGCCGGCCTGTGCCATTGGGAAGCCTCTCTCCTGTCTTTGAAAGATGCCAGTGGTCAAGGTAGGTCCCTAATAACTGGAAACAGACAAATGTCACACCCGTAGTTAAGGAGGAGGATTGACAGAAGTACCATGCTGTCAGCCTGTTCCCACTCTCTGCAATGTTTACGTTGCCATCGTGGTGGCTTTCAGCTGCACTCTCCAGTTTGTTGGTATCACTCGTACTGGGTTCCCCAGTATCCAGATGCAGCCTCCCCAGTGCCAAGTAGAGGGGCATAAAAATTGCCTTCAGCCTGCTGCTGAGCTTTTGCCAGCGCAGCTCAGGATGGGGCTGGACTTCATGGCCATAGGGGAAAAAAGATGTCATATAGTCAGCTTGTCTTTTGATTCGTTCATGCTCTTTTTTACAAAACTGTTGCTGAGCCAGTTAGTCCCAGCATGTCCCAGTGCCTTAACGTTTGATTATTAACACTATTGACAGTGGACAGTAGTGTTTCTGTGTAGTAGACTTAAGTAGATTTCACCATTAAATACATTGAGCCATTGGCTTGAAAAAGAAGGCACCAGTGGAGATGTTCGAAGACCTGGCAGCTTTCCTGATTGCTGAGGAATCTTTGCCTGTGTTGGAAAAGCCACGCTTCTGGAAACCGATCTTTTGTTTTGGTGCAGGGGTTATTACGGAGGTGGAAAGAATATCCCCCCCAGTGCACCCTGCAGTGGCTGGTGGGGTGAGCTTTCTGCATGTGATACCTTTGTAGGGACTTGGAGAGGCTTTGCTCCTTGTAGGAGCTTAGAAAAATCCTTTCACTGAAGGATGTTCTGGTCTGATATCCCATAAATCTGCTTTCTTTGCTTGTTCACAGAAGCATCAGAATTGGGGTTGTTCAGCCTGGAGAAGAGAAGGCTCCAGGGATACCTTATTGTAACCTTTCTGTATATAAAGAGGGCCTGTAAAAAAGGTGGAGAAAGACTTTTTACCAAGGCCTGTAGTGACAGGACGAGGGACGATGGTTTTAAACTGAAACAGAATAGGTTTAGGTTGGATATAAGGAAGAAATGTTTTACAGTGGGCATGGTGAGACACTGGAACAGGTTGCCCAGAGAAGTTGTGGATGCCTCATCACTGGAAGTGTTCAAGGTCAGGTTGGACAGGACTTTGAGCAACCTGAGTGGAAGGTGTCCCTGCCCGTGGCAGGGGGGTGTTGGACTGGATTATCTTGGACAGTCCCTTCCAACCCAAATCATTCTGTGATTGCCAGGTGTCCTGCTTTGACAGGCTGGCTCCTTCTTCCCAGGCAGGGTGTGTTTGCCAGGGCCAGGGTGCCTGTCACATGGAAACGGTTCCCTTGATGCACTGTGTACAAAGACTTGCCTTGATATGCCCATATCCCATTCCCCTCTGTGGAAGCCCTTCGGTTCTTTGCAGACTTACTGACCCCAGAGAGAAGCAGGAGGTTCAGCACTAAATCTGCAGCGAAGATGGAGCAGGAGGGTTGTCAAGCAGTTGTACAGCCATGGACCTGTCAATCTGCATCTCCCAAAGCTCAGTAATGAGCCAAACATCATGCCAGATGAGCAGCAGCAGCTCCTGGTCCTGCCTCTCTGACATGCACCTGAGTTGTGGTGTCAGCATTGCCATGCACATCACTCTTGATGATCCACAGTTGCGTACAACAGCAGTTCCCGGTTGCCACCCATGCCCTCCTGCTCTCTCCTGCCTTCACCCATGCCCTGCCTCTGTTTTGCACGTCTTACCCCTCCAGTTTCATTTCACTGGGTTTGTGAGCTGCTTTCTTGAGCAGTACTGTGGGAAGTGTTGTCTGGTGGTGTTTGAAGAGTCGTTGGGGTGCAGAACTAAGCTGCTTCTAACAAAGGTGGTGGATCTCTTTAGCAGTCCACGGGCCTTACCTGATCTCTTAGGTGCCATAGAGGGTGCAAAGACAGGAAATAAAAATGTGAGGCACCTCTGTGCGAGTGGCTGTGCTCAGCTGTGTTGTACAAGAGGATTGAGAACCATTATGTGTGGTCTTGGATCAATGTGGGAATGTCCCGAGCCCTACATCTGTTTTTGCAAAGACATTTCTTAGTTACGCAGCTCGCATCAAAATGTTTAATGCTCTCACTTTTTTTTTTTTTTCATAGGCTGTGCGTGTTACAAAACCCAAAATCCCAGAAGCCATCCGAAGAAATTTTGAGCTAATGTGAGTAGCTGTACATCTTAATTGTATGAATTGGTTTAGAGGGTCCAGCACAGGCATAATGCTATTAGAAAGCTCTTACCTGGTGCTCAGAAGGTGAGAGGTGGGCTCTAGTCAGTGTGTGCTTGGCTAGGTACGCTTGTGCATTCTGTTTTTCCATTTCCATAGCTCTTTCACCGTGAAGCCTTTCAGCCCTTCACCAAGACAGTTGTTAACACGTACAGAGTCCAGATCAAGGCCGAGTTCCTACTCCTTTATGTAGAGGGGACACTGATGGGCAGTGGAGAACCTGTAGAAAACTCATAAACTGAATTCAGGGCTCAGGGCTCTCGATGTCTCGCCCATAAGCTTCCTTCCAGCAAACTCACAGAATTGCAGGCAGATTTTAGTCTGGTGTGTTCGTGTGGAGATTTCCTGTCCAAGCCCTTTCTCAAAGCAGGGCCGGCAGGTCGCTGGGGGCCATTGTCTGGATGAGTCAGGGCATCCCTCACCCCTCAGGGCCCCGTCCCGGGGTCGCCCCGCTCGCACGGGGACGGGCTGTTTCTTTGGGGTTCCCTGTGCTGCGGCTTGTGCCGGTGCCCCCGGGGCTCCCTCCCTCCCACCGAGCAGCGCCCGGCCCCGGCGCCTCCGGGGCCCCTTTGGGCAGAGGGAGATGTTGTTGGATCCCCCTCCACCTCCTCGTCTGCAGCTGAGCAAGCCCAGCTCCTCATATGCCCTGGCCTCCACCCCACGTCTGCAGTAGTCCTGCGCTAGACTCCTTGTCCTGAAGGCCTCAAACTGTATATAGCGTCCAGACGTGGCCTCACCAGTGTCAGACAGAGAGGGGGAATAATCCCTTCCTTCGACCTGCTGGCTACACATGCGCTTGTACAGCTGGAGACAGAGCTAGTCCTCACGGCTGTGAGGGCACGATGCTGGCAACTGACCGGCTTCTTGTCCCCCTCGCCTCCTGTGCCCTGGTTTGCAGAGCTGCTCCCCAGCTCCGTTTCCCTGTGAAAAAATGTTTCTCACCCTGCAGGGAGGCCGAGAAGACCAAGCTGCTGATTGCAGCCCAGAAGCAGAAGGTGGTAGAGAAAGAGGCAGAGACTGACCGGAAGAAAGCGCTTATTGGTACGTCACCGGTTAGGAGCGCTAGCGGACGGGAGCCAGACTGAATTCCCATTCCTACGTCCCCCAGTAAGCTGGAGTAGGACGTTGTCTTGCATCACTGAAGGAGGCACAGCCAGGCGGCACCAGTTGGGAAAATAGGAGTGTTTGTGCTGCTGTATCCACGTCCCCCCTCCCTCCCCGTAGCAGCAGCGCAGCGAACGCCTCTGTCCCACAGCTGGCCAAGAGGTAACAGCCCTGCCAGAAGAACTGCTTGGGCTTGAAGCTAAACGTCCTTGTGCCAGGGTGACTCACACCTGTAAAAGGGATGTCAACCAGGGCAACTCTAGAAGCATCAGCACTGTGGTTTTTTTCTGTAACTCTACTGCTTGTAGTCCAAACTGGCACTGTGGGATCCAAGCAGAAAGGGAGGCAGCGGAGAACAAGCTACTTGCGTGTCAGATGCTGCTGGGGTCAGGGTGCCGATGCTCAAGCCCCGAGAAGTGAATGTCTGAGCTGAGCCTGTTGTGATTGCAGAGGCAGAGAAGGCTGCTCAGGTGGCCAGGATTCACTATCAACAGAAGATTATGGAGAAGGAAACGGAAAAGCGAATTTCCGAGATTGAAGGTAACCAAGCTGCTGGGGTCGTCTTCCAGCTAAGGGTGGTGGCAGGTAGAGGAACCTCAGAACTGGGCTCACAGGCATTGCCATCCTGCAGAAAACAAGAAAGGGTGCAGTAGCACAAGGTTAGGCACCGGGGTCATTCCTCCCCTTTGCAGGTACCTCTGGGACAAAGGCTCGGGTGCTGGATGGGATGGGGTTATTCACTTGCTAACGCTTCTTTTCCTGTCCGTCCTCTGTTGCTGTCTTAGACTCTGCATTCCTAGCAAGAGAGAAAGCAAAAGCTGATGCAGAGTATTACACTGCTCGGAAGCTGGCTGATTCCAACAAGGTGAGCGCTTGAAAGCCGGTCAGATTACTCTTTTCCTCTGCACAGGAGATTAGGTTCTGGTGGGCAGCACTGGAAAAAACACTTGATTTAACAGCCCCTGTCCCGAGAGGCAGCTGCCTGAGATGAAATCTAATGATGTGGGGCCCGGAAGATTGTCTCTTACGGTCTCTGGTTTCTCTTTTGGTAGCTGAAACTTACCCCGGAGTATCTGGAACTAATGAAATACCAAGCGATAGCTGCGAACAGCAAGCTGTATTTTGGAGACCGCATCCCCAACATGTTTCTGGATTCCTGTGCCTTCCAGCAAGCCAATCTGAGGACTGCCCAAGAAACCAGCCTTCCTTCACAGGAGGCCTCGGAGACCCCTGGAGAAAGCCACCTCAGAGCAAAGGAAAGCACTGGCTGACAGAGGTAGAAAGGTAGCCGGTATAGCTCAACAGCTAGCCCAGCTGTGAATGGGGATGTTGCCCTGTGCTGGTGGGGCAGATGCAGCACACGCGTGGACATCTTGTGTATAGGTGGCAGTTGGGTTGATTTTCTTCTAGCAACACATTGCAAGTGCTCTGCCTCTTCCGTTTCTTCCCCTATTAAATTGGTGCTTCCAAATGAGGGATAATCCTGTACTAACATACCAATACTGGAATATTAAAAGACAGACACCAGGAAAGCCTTCCGCAGTAGGTGCAGTTATTTAGCAAGCATTACCCTGGAGGTAGGAGATGTGGCTTTGAGTGCTGTGTTGCCGCACACTGGTCGTTCCCCAGTGCTCCTCGCTGAGGCCGAGCGAAGAGGTTTCCTTTGTCCTGCCGATGAAGCTTTTGTTTTGTGGACTCGGAGGCAGGTTTCCACCAGCGCTTTCTAACTCTCCTCAAGGACTCCAGTGGAGTGGGCTCTCCTTGGCCAGCGGAGTCTGTGTGTTCCTGCTCAGGGCAAGGTCTGGTGAGGAGTGGTTTGGCGTGGAATAGGTTTATTTGAATAGGATCTGCGTAGCCATAAGCTTCTTTCCTGTAGGCTGGGTAATGGCTTGGAGCAAGCAACTTCTAACAGGCTTCTGTAACTCCCCCTCTCCAAGCAAGAGCCTCACGCTGGCTGCCTATGACTGACTGTATAAGTACGTTTCAGCTGGGTGGCTGGGTCTCACCTTGCATCCTGAACCAGATTTCAGAGGACGTGGAGCACCTCCGAGCAGCTGGTTGGGAACAGAGCTGGGAAGTCTTTGCTCAGACCCCAGCCTCCCTGCAGGTCTTTTCGCCAGGGAAAGGCGGCTGAATTTCTACTGCTCTGCCTTGCTGGCGATGTGAAGGGGAAGAGAAGAGTGAAGGGACCCCGCTCTGCAGCAGATCAGATGTTTGACACCTCAGCTGCAAAGCAGGCGAGGGCCTCGCTGCTCCCCTGTGCAAAGTCCACTGCTCCAAGAAGAAGTGGGACCTGCCATATGTGCCCTTGAACTGCTGTGGTGGGGAGCCTGCCGCTGGTCCTCTGGTCACTGGCCACGGTTTGCCGAGTTGCAGGGCTTTTGACTGGTGAGCGGTGCTGGCGGGATGATCTTTTCTGCTGGTGTGTGTTGTAATATATCCCACCCCTGCTCCTCGTGTGCTGCTGCAGGGTGAGAGAAAGATGTGCTCGGGGGGGGGGGGGGCGCAGGGGGGGAAATCTGGTACGATCTGCTTTCCACTTTTCCTCTGTCCTCCCCTTTGCCTGTGAGGACGCGCTTCTTTCTAGGACCTGTTTCTTGTCATGTTCTGCCACAATCCCAGAAGACAGTGTCAGGGGAAGCAACTGGCAAGAGCTTGGGCTGAAATGCCGTTCCCCAGCTGGTGGCACTGCGGCATTGCCTGCCTCTGAACCCACCACCTGTCCAGAGACCCCCTCTCCTCTGCCAGCCTGGGATATCTCTGCGTTTGTCCTGCCTTCCTGTCCCCCCGGGTGCAGCCCTGGTGCAGTTTGCTGGTTGGTGACGACGTTCCAGGTGCTCGGCCGGTCAGTGGTGATGGGCGGGCGTTGAGACCTTCTGTTCCTGGCACCGCCTGCAGCCTCGTGGCAAAGGGAGGAACGTGCTTGGTTTTTGCCTTGGTGAAACATTCAACCCGAAACAAATGGCCTGAACTTCCATCTCCGCTTGCGGTTTCACCGGATGAGCTGTGTGGGCTTCAGGCTTTCCAGTGTTCTTTTGTTATCCTGTGTAACTTGGCTCGGAGGATGGCAGTGTCTCTCCTCAAGGAAGTTTGGTAACATACAATGCCTTACCGTGTCTTGGCTCTGCCCTGGCTGCATCTCCTCCATCTCTGGGGCAGAGCAGGGATGCACTGACCCTGCCTCAGCTGCCGCTGCTCACTAGCCATGGCACGTTGCAGCAGTTGCAGGTGGTCTTTCTTTCCTCCAACTGTTTGCAAACTCCCAAGGCCCAGCGGGGTGCTCTGCTCCAGCTGCTCTTCAAACCCAGCCAGGGACCAGGACCCTGCCCCAGTGAGAGGCCAGCTGAAGGTGCTGAGCACCAATCCCAGCTCCCAGGGAGGTTGTGGGTGAGCGTGCTTCCTCGTGCTCGGAGGATGAGGGATGAGAGGAAGGGTAGTGCTGTTGCCAGGAGGAGAGGTTTCTCCCGGTCCTTGCTCTACACACCCGGTGCCTGGGGGCTGTGGCACAGCCGTGTTGCTTTGCAGGTTCCAGCCTGGAAGCGCTAAGCCAGGCTTTTCAGTGGAAGGGGCTCATGTCTTCACCTGCTGAGGTCTTGGGCAAATGGTGCCCTCCTGGCTCAGAGCAGCCTTCAAAAGGCGCTGGTGGGCAGGGGAGCAGGAAGGAGGTCTGCATGTCGCCGCGGAAGGCAGCTCAGCCAGCGGGCAGGGCAGAGCTGAAGCCCCTGGCTGATGGCAGGAGGGGAGTGGGCAGGCACAGCGTTAGCCCCCTTAGACCCTGTAGTGCCCTCCCCAGGGGAGAAGGGGACCAGGGCAGAGGGGATGGCAGCACGTTTCGTAGCTGTGGTGGTTGAATTGTCTTCTGGAAGCGCTGTTGGGCTTGCAAGGTCCCCTTTCCCCTGGGAGAAGGGCTTCAAGGAGCCCGTGGAGTCGCATTTCTTTGACCCTCCACCTTCTTGGTGTTGCTGGCTTGCAGCAGGTGCTCTGCAGCAGAAACACAGCCTCTCTTCACCCCAGCAGCAGCCACTTTTGGTTGGATTTTGAGACAAAGGCAGGCTTTTAAGAACGGAAGTACTCCTGGAGGGGACATAAACTTGTCTCCGTGTGGCGTTCACCTAGTGCTGGCATCAAACCCTGGAGATCAGGCTGGGTGGACAGGGTAGGTTCTGCCAGCCTGGAGATGACAAGAAGCAAGGGCAAGAGGGGAACCGCTAGAAGCAATAACCAGGCAGCTCACAGCTCTCCAGCAGCGATCAGAGTGAGCTTTCTGCGCGAGGGGCGGGAAAGCCTTCCCGGCCAGAGCGGGAAGGGCTGCTTCCCTTCAGATCTGAGCCTTGCTGGGCCTCCCCGCGGATGTGTGGCTTTGCCCTTGGTGACTTTCACTCTGGCTAAACGTCATCCTGCCCTGGATGGGTTGGGTATGCATCAGCCACCTCCTACCCCCCTGTGGCCTGAGGGTCACCGGGGGATGCTCCTGTGAAGTCCTGCAGCAACACGTGTGTGGTGCTCGGTACCTTCTGCACAAGCCTCCTCCATCCCTCTCTGCTTCCTCAGCTGCTGCTTCAGAACCCTGAGTAGGTGTGCAAGAGGAGGAAATCACCATGGCTTTAACTCCCCAGTCTAGGCTTTGCCTTTCTCTGAGCTGGGAGCTGCAGGGAGAGAACACGGGTGCAGCCAGGAGCGTGGGATCGAACTAGTTTTTTCTGTCTGTTCAAAAGGCCTGTGTGGTCCTGTGACTAAAGGGGTCCGCCACGGGATCCCCACCTTCTTTAAGGAAACACGATACATATGTTCCAAGTTTACATGCACAGAAGTTCTTTTGATAAAGCAGAATAAAATTATTTTGTTACCATTTCCTTGGCGCTTTTCTGTGTCCTGGGGCCAGCGTCGCTGTCGGCACACGGAAGGGGGACACCCCCAGTAACACCTGCAGCTCCCCGGCTGCAGGGACTGCCACCCTGGGACCCCCCCCCCCGAGCAGCCTGGCCTCGAAGGCAACCCCAGGCTGGCTCTGAGCAGCGGGGGCAGCACTCCCAGTCCTGCCGTGTTGCTGCTGTCCTGCTCCGAAGCGCCTAATGTGATCTGAGCCCTGCTGGCCCTTGAGCTGCCCTGTTGCTTGTACCCATCACTGTGGGAGGGTTTCCGAGCAGGGATGGCTGCGAGCGGTGCCCTTGGGGCTGGTTCCCTGAACACTGACACCTGCAACCGTGAACACTTGCCTTGGGCCAGCCGAGCTGGTGGTGGCGGTCACCGTGGCCGGCTTTTGGTCACGGAGCCAGCCTGGGGGGCCTGTTTTGGCAGCTGGGGCTGGGGGCCGGCAGCCCGGCGTGCCGGGGCGTCGCAGGGACTCGCAGCAGCCTCTCGCCAGCCTCGCTGCGCTGCTGTTTGACCCCTGTGGCTCTGGCCCGGGTTTTGGGAGCTTGGCTCAAACCCTTCTCCCCATGCCAGAGCCACCCTGGGCCCCGGGGCAGCTCCCTACCTGCTGCCACCCCCCCTGCCCTGCTGCCTGCGCAGCCCACCGCTGTCGAGAGACACCCTGTCACACCACTACCTCCAGTCTTTATTGGTATAAAAGCCTTCAACCTGAATTATATCAAAAAACGGGGAGGGCTGGTTTCACAACAGGTGGCTCAAAATGGTCACGTAGGGGTCATAAGTTAATGGCTGCAGTAAAAAGGTTCCCAGGAAATTCCCTTTCAGGAGAACAGTAACTCAAGTGGTAACTTCAGAGATAAAAGAAGCCCCACGGGGGAGCCAAGCCTGGCTTGGACCTGCCAAAGCCCCTGGCGAGACACCCCCCCCTCCCCCCCTCCGTGTGACTGTCCCCAGCCGGGGTGGTGGCTCTGGGGCACGGTCCCTGCGCTGCAGCACTTCTCCTGCTCCATCGAGCCCGGGGAAGGGGCGGGAGGAGCAGGACACATTCAGGTTGTCGGGAGAGAAGGCAGCAGCTCCCAGGGCACAGGAGAGCCTGGCCCAACTCCGGGCCGGCCTCAAAACCAGAGCTCGGCATCATCCCCGCTCCTGGTCCCCTCACAAAGCCCCCAGCTGACGGCTCTCCCTGCGCCGGCCACGAGGCTGCGAAGTCTGTTAAGGCACAACTCAAAATATCTGTAAACACAGGTGCCCCCCACCCCGGGGGAGGGTCCGGTGAGCGATTCAAGTAAGGGTGGAAGCAAGACTGCGGCTCTCCCGGCTGTGCCGCTCAAGCACCAGAGCCAGCAACTCCTCAGCCGCAGTGGTGGATGGAGCATCCTTGGTCACCTCCTGGCCGGGGGCGGCTTGGGGGCCACCTTCAAGGGGACACCCCTCTGAAAGGCTGAGGGAGGTGTCGGTGGGGAGCGAGGGAGGGCTGGCGGCCCCTCGGCACGGCGCGGCACCTTGCTCTTCAGTGCCGGGAGAGGCTTGCTGGGCGGCTTCGGCTTCGCCTGGAAGGAGGAGAGGAGAGACCCAAGAAGTCCCTCGCCTGGGCACCAAGGAGGGACACGGAGGGGGACAGGCAGCAGAGGAAGGGGGGGGGGGGTGTCCCCGTTCCGCCCCCCCCCCCTCCTCCTCCAGTCATCAGTCGCCTGGATGCTGTGGGTGGTCAGGCCAGGGGACACTGGACAGGCTGCAGCCGTGGCTTTTGGAGGGGTGGTTACCTGCGGGGTCCGTCCTGGAGAGGCTGGGGATGTCACCTGCAGGGCCGGTGCCAGTGGCTGTAGGGTCAGTGAAATGGGGGGGGGGGTGGGGGGGGTGGGAGGGTGGGGGGGGGGCCAAGGGCTGCCCTCCCACCCACGCCGTGAAGAAAGCCGCCCAGCACCGGGGCTCAGCTCAGCTCCCCCCCCGCCTCACCTGCGGGGCCGGGCGGCGGGGCCCGGGGGGCCGAGCATCCCGGGGGGCCGCTGTGCTACTCAGCAAGCTGGGGTGGCCAATGTCATGGCGGGACAGCTGGCGGCGGGGGGGTCGCATCCGGCCCCCCTCCTGGAAGAGAGGGTTGGCAAGGCCGGCAGCAGGCCTGCCGGGGGTCCTCCTGTGGGGCACAGGGACAATGGGGGGGCCGCTCCGGGCACACCCCGCGCTCAGCCTGCCCAGCTGTGGCTCAGCCCCGCTGTGGGGCAGAGGAGGGGAGGTGGGGGGGGGGGGGTGGGGGGGTGTGGGGGGGTGGTATTACCCTTTCTGGAAGCGCCTCATCCCCTTGCCTCTGAGGAGCACAACGCCACTGCCGAGCAGGATGCTGGAGAGCACCAGCACGGCCAGCACAGCCACCAAGACCACGCCGCTGCTCCCTGGGGAGACCTGGTGGGCATCAGGACGGGCACCCCCGCGCCGGGGCCACGCCGCGGGGATGGAGCCATGCCTCCCAGCGCCAACCCCCTCCCCAGGCTCCGTCCCCCCCCCCCCAAGGCCAAGGGGGGCTGGTGCCCAGCCCCGCACAGCGGGTACCGCACCTGCCACCATCCCTGAAATCTTCTGCTCACAATAGGGCGCTGCCCAGCCCGGATCGCAGTGACACTCCCGCTTGTGGTTGCACACCTGAGAGGCGGAAGGAAAGCGTCAGGGTGGTGGGCATGGTGTAGAGGCCAGGGCCGCTGCCCGGGCCCCGTGGCCGCTCTGGGAGAGGACAATCCCACAGCATACCCCATGGTTGTTGCACTTGGCCGAGCAGTTCTTGTTGCCGTAGACCAGGAGGTTCTGGCATCGCCCGGCATAGCAGACCTGGGGGCAGGCACGGGGGTGTGTGTGGGGGGACTCTGAGCCCGCCCTGGGGTCCCGCAGCCCCGCCTCAGCCGCCCCAGCGCGCTCACCATCTCCTCGCCGCACTTGGCACCGGTGGGCACCAGCCGGAGCTTGGCCACCACCTCGTTGGCGTCGTTGCCGGCAATGACCGCCTTGCACTTGAAGCGGCCGAAGAAGAGCGAGTAGGAGCCGCCGCCGAGGACAGGACTGGCGTTGTCGCTCAGGCACAGCAGTGTGCCGCACTTCACGTCCCTGAGGGAGAAGCAGTCACGAGCAGCAGCAGCAGCCGGGGGTGTCACGGGGCTGGGGGACTTCGCTCGGCCCCACGGTGCTGTCACCGCGGGCACGGCCACCACCCCACTCCCCAGCTCCTTACTTGGGGCTGCAGGGCCGCTTCCCGTACTCGGTGAGGCAGTGGAGGTGAAGGTGTTGCTCGCTGTTGTGCTTGAAGCAGACATCAGGAGCCACCTGGGCTTCTGCGGGACGCACGGAAAGAGTCACCCCGGAGCCGGAGCCCACAGGAGGCCAGCGGCACCGGCACCAGTGGCCACGCTCTGGGGGTCAGCAGCCGCAGGACCCCAGCTAGGGATGCAGGAGGGGACCACAGCCAAGCGCTGCCCTGGCCCGAGGAGTCAGGGCTCCAGGCAGGTCACCCAGGAGGGGGGGGTGAAGAGGGGGGGGGGGGGGGGGGGGGGGGAGCCCGTTACCTGCGCCCCAGAGCGCGCGGCACTGCTCGCTGTGTGAGGGGCAGGCGCCGTTGTAGCAGTAGCCGTTGCCGTTCTGGCAGGGGATGCCATTCTCCTGGAAGACGTCCTCCGGGCACTCGGCGCTGAGGCCGGTGCAGTGCTCGGGCAGGTCGCAGTCGTTCTTGTTGGCCCGGCAGAGCGTACCCGCAGCCTTCACCTGCGCGGAAAAGGCGAGGCTGGCATTTCCTCAGCGCCCTCGCATCCCCAGATGCACGCAGGCACCACAGCCCAGCAGCACCCTCAGCTTTGAAACATCTCCCGGCACCCCACGGATCCAGACACGGCAGCTTGTGCCACTCCGGCACAAAGACATTTGCCGCTGACTGAGCTACTGCAACGGGATGGAGACACCACCAGGCCTTGGACTGGGTCTTCCCACAGTTAAGTCTCTCCCTGCAGGCAACACCCTGTGCTTTGCTTTTAGTCTGGACTCGCCCCGGGGGTCCTCTGCCAGCCCCCTCTCTTCACATCAAAGCATTTGTTATGCCTGTGTGCAGGAACCCAATGCATGTAGCTCTTATTTTTCTCTCGGCTGAATGGAGCAGAAGCAGCAGGTTGGTTTCCCAAATCAGGAACGGGCCACGCCGATCTCTTCTGAACATTACCCAGTTCTTCCACACCTTTCATCCTGCACCTAACCTAACAGAGCCAGGGGACCTGGGCTCCAGGATGCCAGAGACAAAAGGCTGCTTCACTTTCCCCACCGCTTCCCAGCCCAGACGCTGACTGTCCGCGTAGTGGGCGCATCGAACGGAAAGCGCGATTCCCCACCAAACCGTCGGGTGCGGTGTTTGACCCCGGGCAGGCTGCTGCAGAGGCCCTTGGGGCTCTCCAGCAGGCTGGGGACACACCTTGCCTTTACCGGGAAGCTCCGGAGGAGCTCAGGGCGGGACTGCCCACCCGCCAGCTCCCTTCCCTGCCACGCCGGTGCCCCGCCAGCGGCAGTACCTTGCAGTCCTGGCAGCAGTCCCCCCGGGCGCACTCGGCTCCCTCTCTCAGCTGGCAAGTGGTGGCATTGCAGCAGCGGTCGGAGCACTCCTGCGAGAGACGGAGGGACTGAAACCCTCCCAAAAGCCCCCTGAAAGACCCTTCCCTTCCTTTCCGGGGGGCCCCAGCTGCCGCGTCACTAGGTGCCAATGGCAGCGTAGCCACCACCACCTGAGCCGTGGGGCAAAACCACAGCATCACCCCAGGCGTGAACCACTCCTGCCGCCTTTTACCCCCATTGCCAACACCAAACCAGAGAACCGGACGAGATCTTTCAGAAGATGGGGCCTGATCTGGGCCCCTGCTCTCTGGTAGCACCCTTTGCACACCTCCAGGAAGGAGAAGACAGGAGGGTCTCTGAGCTCTCTGCATCGGGAGAGCCTCCCTTCGGGTCCCAGAGCAGGGCTGTGACCCAGGGATTTATCCCAGAGACATCTTCTGGCCATTTGTCTCAAATCTGCCCCCCCTTGGTGATGCAGTGACGGGGCACTAGTGTTGGGGAAAAGCTAAGCACGGCTCTTGAAAGGACAGCATGCCATGATGCCCCCCTCCTCTCATCACCTCTTTGGAGGATATGCTGGGGGGGATGTCAATCTTTCTTAGGCACGCTCATGCTAAAATCACAGCCGGCTACGTGACGAGGCGGGTTGGGGCACGCAGCCAAGTTAACCGATATCCTTCACAAGTAATTTTTCGGCAGAAGCATTGGGCATGTAAGGCTTGCGAAGCACGAGACCTAGGGAAGAGGCTTGCACAGCCGTTTCCAAGTCTGAATTACAAGTCTGCTGCCCACCCTCCTTCCCGGGCTCGCAGGGAGCGTCCCTACCTCCGGCATGCCGCAGTCACACTGCTCTCCCCGCTCCACAAACTGATTCCCGCACACAGGCCCCCCGTACAGCTCATCCGCCCTGGGGACGTTCAGCAGGCAGCTGGTCCTGGGGTCCCCAAGGAACTGCCACATGTCCTGCTCGCTGCAGCGGCTGAAGAGCTTGGGGTAAACCAAGCTGAAGGGGCACAAAAACAGGCGGGCGTGAGCAGAGGTGAGAGCCCGAGGGCCCTCACACCCACCAGCCCAGGGAGAAGCTGGAGGGCCACCAACAGACTCGAGGGCGGCAACAGACCTCTGCGGTGCAGCTTCAAGTGGAGTGTCCACCCAGACTTGACCATCTCACGGGCTTCGCCCCCATCAGGACAGCGCTGGAGGACACCTCGAAATTTTTGCTGCCCGGGGAATACTCCTCTTTCTCCTTCACTCACCCAACACTCGCCGCCATGACACATCCTCCATCAGCTTTGGAGACAGGGCAGCGGCAGCCAGCAACGTCTTCGTCATGAGACATCCCCAGGTTGTGCCCCATCTCGTGAGCCATGGTGGACGCAGCGCCGATGGGATTCGTGCTGTGGTCCTGCGGGACAAGAAGTGCAATGTGGCTCAGAAGCTCTCCGCAGCATCTCCAACGGGGCCCACTGGGGCTCTTCAACTTCCCGGCGCCAGGCCTGGCTGCTGCCTGCCACGCTGCCCTGCCGAGGCAAAGGAAGACAAAAGCTGGACTTGGCCCAACATCCCCTGAAGACCTCCAGACTGGGATCTCAGGGGTGGAAGTGAGCTTAGCTGCAGCGGCTACCCTGAAACGGCGGTTCTGGACCACGGGCTGCTCCAGCAAAGGATGCCCTCACTGGGGACGGGGGATGAGGAGCACAGACAGGGTGGCTGAGGAGGAATTTCAAACCCGAGTCCCGGGCACCTGGCAGGAGGGAGCAGCCCACGGAGCTGCTCTGGGAGGCTCTTCAGGGTTCAGGGGGCATCAGAGCCCTCCGCAGGCACCCAGCTAGGTTTCCACAGCTACCCTTCCCCTGCGGCCAAGACTTCTCCGGGGATCAGTCACTCAAGGGGCAGAGATGCCAAGGCCCTAAGGCTGTGGAGGGGGGAAAGCCGGAGAGCAGTGGAGGAGAGACCCGTGCTGGAAACTACAGGCCAGGAAGCGCAGACGGTGGGACCGCTGCTGCCCTCCAGGCGCGTGCCCCGGGGCAGTGGGACCCACCTGGTTGACACCACCCGAGTCCTTCGTGCACATCACAAGCTTCTTGGCGAGCCCGACGGTCGTGCCGTGGAAGTCTATGCCCCTGTGGGATCGAGACGCCGCCGTGGCCACATAGCCTGGGTGGCAGCAGGGCTACCAGGATGGCAAGGTGGTGGCCTGCCCCCATCCTTACGTGATCAGCTGAGCGTTGTCATGCGGCTTCCTCCGCAGCAGCTCTGCCTCCCGCCAGTGGAGGAAGTTGTCCAGTGTCACCTCCGGGTTGGGACTGACCACGATTTTGTCCTTGTGGCTCCACACCTCCAAGCCGATCAAGGCCACCCGTAGGCGAAGAGGCTGATAAAGCTGGGGCAGGAGACAACGCGGAGGGAGTGCTTGATTTTGAGCTGCGCGAGCAGAGGGAAGGTCCTACTCCCCCCGGGGAACTGCAGCCAAGCCCAGGACACCACCTCACTGTGCGATATCAGCTCTGTCACTCTCTCAATAAATAACACAAGCTGGGGAAGCCTCGGGGACAGGATTTAGCCCCGGGGACCTCTGGGCTCCCTCTTGGCCAGCGAAGGCTGGGATGCTGCTCCCACACTGTTGACCAAAGAGTGAGGTCCAAGCGAGGCAAGCAGAAGCCCCACCTCGGCGCACTGCATCCACCACCCTCCCCTCGTGAGCACCCGCTCCAGCTTGAGAGGGGGCTGTGGGATGTGGCCCTGGGGGTTACGAGAAGAAACTTCTCCCCCCCCCGGCTTCCCTTACGAGAGAGCTGGGAGGCAGCTGTCCCAGGCTCCTGAGGATGCAGGGATGAGCCTCTTTTCACATCCTCTTTGCACACCCCGTCGGCCCAGGGAGTTGGTCGCCCTGCAGCAGCCCCCCCGGGGGCCTGAGATCAGCTCCAGCTCCATCACCCTACCCACGCCAATCTCTCCTTGGCTGAGCCCATGCCCGTGCTGGCACCACAGGGCACACGTGGGAGCCGGGAAGGGCAGATCCGGACCCCTGGGCTCACCTTGTCGACATGGTTCACGATTTCCTTCATGCGGTTCTGCACTGTGCGCAAGTCCTTGTGTTTCCTGAACTGTGGGAAGGACACAGAGAGCTTTCCAGGCTGGCTTCGACCTTCTCGATGCAGTGGGTGACAGCAAAAACGTAGGTGGCAGCTCACCCCCTACCCTGCTTACCTCCTCGTTGTCCACGACCAGGACCAGCTCCACGTACCGGGGACCTTTGTGTAACGGAGCTGTTTTCTGGAAGGGAAGAGGAAAGTGAGCGCACAGAGGGGCTCAGCTCTGCAGCTTGCCGAGCCCTGTAGTTGACACTCCTGCGGGATGTGTTGGATCCTGGGGCATCTTCCAGTGTTATTCAAGGCTAGTAGGTCTTCTAGCTCTGCTTTCTGTTGTTACTTTGCTGGGTGTTTCAGACATCTTCCAACATACAATGAAAATCCCAAGCCTGCTACCGGGATAAGGCATGAGATAGGCTCTGCAGGCATCACGGAGCCCATGGGGTAAGAGGATGCTCCTGCTAATGGTACAGGATCTGAGGACTCGTTCCCACCAGGAGCTAGGCCACCGGGAGAAACGCGTGTTTAGGTACCCAGCCAACAACATGTGAGAAAGGAGCATCTCCAAGAGATGCCGTATGGCCCCACTCCTCTCCTGGGCTTCACAGGACCTAGGCTCTTGCACATTCAGCTACAGGAAGGAGAAGCAATGCAATCCTTAACCCAGCGGTAGAGCTTCATGGCTGCAGGGATTTTCGGTTCGTGGTCATATTCCAGGGTGGCACCGGGCTCTCGGCACGTGCCACGCTTCCCCCGCAGGTGAGCTGCTCTGTACACTGCGTGCCAGCTGGCTGCATCCTCCTCAAGGGGCTCCAGCAGGAAGGTGGTCTCATTCACCCGGAAAAACCCACTGCCAAGAGAGGGGGTGGGCGTCAGGTCGGGGAGATAGCTGGCAGGACACAGACAGACCCCCCCCCCCCGGGCGAGTGCCTGCGACACAAAATACAGCTGCTAGATCCCAGCTAGGAAACCACTCTACTCTCCTCCACGGTTAGCTCGGATAGCTAAGCTGGGGCATGCCAGGAGATGGGGAGCGACCGGGAACGTGCCCGCAGCAGCTGCCCTCGGAGGCTGCAGAAGCACCGGTTGAACAAAAGGGCTGTCGGGGAGGCTGGCTGCTGGCTGCTGGGCTGGGAGGGAGCAAAGCCTGGCACGGCGCGTGTGGCGGGTGGCAAGGGGAGCATTCTGTGCTTTGGACAGCCGACACGTCCTAAGGTTGAGCAAGGAGAACTTCCCAGCGCTGCCAGGCCAGGTTTAACACAGCGCTTCTGCTGAGCAGCTCTAGCCTGCGAGATGCCTTCTGAAAGGGTGTCCCACGTGCCCTGTCTGTCCTGTCCTTGTCTCCCGTCCTGCCCTTGCACGTCTCGTCCTCCAACTAGGCAAGGCTACTCTCACGTATGCACAAGCTGTGCGAGCCAAGGTCTCCACAGGCGCAACCCCTGCCCTCAACGTGAGGAGACGGCTGCCGTGCAGCTCCAGCCCGCGTTTCTCCTGCAAACGGGTCCCTGGGTGCTCAAGGGACCACCCGTCCTCCTCACACACCCCCCCTGCGAGGGATCCCTTCCTCTCTGGCTCACTCTCTTGCAATGTCTGGTTAGCCAGCTGATGCCCAAAGAGAACAGCAGAGTACGAATCTTCCACGGCAGGCAGAGCAACCTGGCCTGGGTTACTCTGCAAGGACGCTGTCTGTCGTTAAATGAAGGGAGACCCGAGGCAGCTTTTGAGGGTGGAGCACCAGCACAACCAGCAGCTGGTGGGTAAGGGGAGACACAGCTGGCCTGTACGACTTTATCAGGACTTTTCTCTTGGAAAGGCACGCAGCCATCAGCCTGAGGAGCTCGGCATAGCCCAGAGGAGATGCTGGCTGCCTGCATCGCCACGAGCGCGCCTTCGTGCAGCGCTTGGGGCGAGTTTGGTCTGGTCTACCCTGGGAAGAGAGGACGGGTCCAAGGCAAGCTGCCCAGGGAGAGCACTCCTGTCTGGACCTCCTGTCACGTTCAGGTTTCCAGTCTCATCCCGTGCCAGGAGTCAACCCCCCCCCCCCAAAAAAAAAAACGGCCGGTTGAGCCGCAAAATGCTGCACGCCTTTCCTGCTGGGCGCTGAGCCAGGGCAGACAACGCCAGCAGGAAAAGGGATGTCTTCTCCTCTTCCTCGGGAGAAAGCTGAGCTCTCCCTCCGTCGGCAGAGCTCTGGCTGGCCGGGGCTCGGTCACACCAGCTCACCGTGGCACAGCACTGCGTCTGCCGGGAGCGGCCCCGTGGCGTGCGCTGAGGCCTGGCTGGATGCTGTCCCCCAGCCAGCCCCCAGGAGAGTCGGCGGTCCTACCTGAGCCCACCGCAGGTGCTGATGCTCGCTGCTGAGTCAGCGTATCCTCGCACATGGCCCTGATAAAAGCAGTGATCCTGCCGCCAAGAGAGAGGAGAGGTGTAAAAGCTGGGGGGGGGGGGGTCCGCGCCAGCTGTCAGCACGGTGGCACCCCGCAGGAGCAGGGAAACTGCTCTTCCCAGAGCCCCCCCATACCCGAACATCTGGCTTCTCAGTGACCTCCGTGCCATTGGCCAAGTAGTGCGTCTCGGTGTAGTGCTGCCCCAGCAGCTCCCTGCAAGACGGGGAAAGGGGGGGGGGGGGGGGGGGTCAGCAGTGATCCCGGTTTTGGGGAGAGGACGGAAAGCTGTGGGGATGAGGTGGGTCAGGCTGGGTATGGCGTGCCCACGATCTCCCCAGGTTGGTTTGGCAAGGAGGGGAAACAACCGCGGTATTTTGCTAAGTGAGGGTCTGGGCTGAGGGCTTAAGAGCGCCAGGGCAGTGACACCGATCCTGGGAGAACTGGGAGTTCACAGCAAGGGTGGGAAGCGAGCCTCCCTCCGGCTGCCCCGCCATGCCCACCCACACTCACTTATTCTTCTCCAGCTGCAGGAGGTAGTCCCTGCCTTCGGCACGGATGCTGTAGAGGACGCGGTCCGGGTAGATTCTCTGCACGAAAGACAGACATCACAGACCCACTGTCACCAGAAGCAAGAGCTACAGAAGAGGACACCTCTTGGCTCCCGTCCTCCCCAGAAAGGGGATGGATGGGGTCTGCATGCGCCCCGCTGGAAGGCAGCCGCAGGGTGGGGAGCCTGGCTGCTCGCCCTAGAGGCATCCAGCAAAGACACAGGAAATCAGGAGAGAAGGAAGAAAGCATGCGGGGAATAACGTAAATCCCTGGCACATCCTGAGATAAAGAACAGGTCACCAGCAATGAAACAGAGTCAGCAAAGTCTGGTTTCCCGTGTCTGACACATGGCTGCAGATGGCTGTGCCAGAAACTGAGGTTTCCTACTCATCAGTCACAAATCTCCTTTTTTGGAGACTTACTCACAGGCTGAACCACAAAGATTCCCAGTTCCCAACAGCTCTCATCAGCAGAGACTGCCTTATCTCCGACGGATCTGACATGCAACATCACAGTTAGGGAATAACCTTCCCTTGGCTCCCGCCTGCTACTGAGAGGAGATTTTAGTATCGCCAGGTGCCAGACCCTCCAAGCATCACCCCAGTGCTGGTGGAAGGCATCTCAAGTCCAACCTCCAGCCACCATGGGTGGGTCAGTTGGGCCCTGCACCCCCCAGGATGGAGATGTCCCTCCAGAAGAAGCGTCTCCCTCCGGGAAGTCTTGTGAGCTCCACCTCCAGAGGTTGGGACACCACAGACCTCCAGAGGTCCCATCCCACCGGGGCCGCCGGGAGAGATGACGACCCCTGGCACAGCGCCCTGTGTCAGGCTGCACCCCTGGCCCCAGGAACCTCCTCAGCCACCACCGCGGCGCAGAGACGTCTCCTGAGGGCACATCCTCAGGTTTTACGGAATCCTGGGGCGGAGAGCTGAGCAAAAGGCAAAGCGAGCGTCTCCTGCAGGGCCAGCATTCCTCCCCAGTGAGGTGTGCAGCCTCTCCCCGGGGGGAGGATGACAGCATCTGCTGTCATAGGAGGGCTCAGCACTCCCAGGGGGATGATCTGCAGCCTGGCAGGAGCAAGGGCTGAGCAGAAAGTCCTGCTGGCTCAGCCCCAGCGGAGACAGGTGAGGGGATTTGCTCGTCGCTTCCTCGCCCTCGATTCCGCCTGGTTTGCATTTCTAATCTGAGGCATCAGGCTGCCGGCCGCCAAACGTCCTCTCCGCATGCCGAGCAGGTTGCCACCAGCCTGCCAGGCTGCAGACAGGAGCACCGCCGGCCTCTTAGCACGCTCGCTGCTCCCCAGCAAATTCTTCTCTTATGAACAGCGTCTCCCGCCTGACGTGGCCATCCCAGCCTGTGTCCGCCAACAAAGCCATGCTTTGTTATTGTTGGCAGTGCTGGAGCCAGAAGAGGTCTTAAGAAATGGGCCGGAAAGCACTTGGAAGAGGGGGTGGTGGGTCAGAGACCATCTCCTGGAGACAACCGCAGGTTAAATTAAAAAAAAAAAAAAAAAAAAAAAAAGGTCCTGATAAAGCTTCTCTGAACCACCCCCTCCTTATTAGCACGGCCTGTGCAAGACCTTCTAGATGGGAAGGCTCTGAAAGCACAGACAGCCCAGCCCTGCCCCTGCCCGAGCCCTGCTAACCCTGTGACCGTGCTGAGCCAGCAAAGCAGAGCTGCGGCCACAGCACACAGAGAGGAAGGATTTCTTCCAGCTGCTCTGATTAGGAGACCCAGATTGCTTGGAGAATATCAGGACGGGATGCCCCTGTCCCACCCCTGCACGAGGTATTTCTTCCCTGGGTGGGAAGAGGCAATGGGTCCCGCTGGGACAGTAGGGATGGGGCTCATTGCCACCACGCCGCGTGGCAGAGCACAAGAGAGGAGGAAAAGAAGGCGGGTGGCTGGGCCACCACCATCCTTTGCTCCTGCACTCGTTCTGCCACGTTCTGCTGCCTCCTGCAGAGCCCCCAGGCTGGGCCAGGCTCTTTGCAGCAGCTGAAGCCTCTTTGCCTCAACTGGCTGTGGGACGCAGTGGGGGAGACCAGCAGGGCTGTGCCAGCACAGGTGCCCTGGGGGAGAGGCCAGCAGCTTGCAACACCGGGTCTTACCGGGGCTGGAAACCACCACCCTTCTCTTTCCATACAGCTCTCTGAAATGCTGGAGCATGGGGATGAGAGAGGCGTCATTTCTGCAATCGAGAGCAGGTAACTACAAATCTTTTTGGAGGCCCTTCTTGCTCTTTTTTCAGGTCGCTCTCCAGGAAGAACCCAGGTGTCCTGTCATGCCCCTGGTAAGAAGACCATGGCGTGTGGGAAGGCTGGCACCCCAGGAGATCCCGTGCTGCGGGACCCAGGTCTCCACCCTGTCTGCAGGGCTGAAGGTTTTGATTTAAGCAAAGCCAAAGGGGAGCTCGTCTGCTTCAGACGTCACCAGCGCCACGTGTCCCAGCCGCCCTGACCCAGGAGCCAGCTCTCAGCCCGTGCCCATCCCAGCCAGAGACTGCTAATGCAAAGCCACAGGAGGAGCTGGCACTGAAAATGCCCGTCCAGCTACCCGTCTCCACTCCAAAGAAGGGTTTGGTGGTGGACAAGCCTGGCTGAGAACCCCCTTCCCCACCAAGGTCACTGGGAGAGCAAACTCGAGAGGAGGAAAATGGCTTGAAAGGCAGGAGACCTTGTGCCCTCAACGCACAGCAGGTTTAGGAGGTCCGAGGACCGTCCAACCCAAGACGGAATCAAGGTGCCACCCGACAGACACCACCCCCGTGGCTGTCCCAAAGCACACAGCTCAAGGCAGACGTCTCCTCCCATGCCGTGGAAAGCAGAGGGACCCTGAGATGGGTGAGCCCCCCTTTCCGGGGGGATCGGTGCAGAGCCGCCCGGTGCGCCCTGCACAGATGGAGTCTCTAAATAGCCTGGGGAATGTTTATCTCGTGGACAAGTTTAGGTTTCTAGAGCAGGGAAAACAGATGCTTTCAGGGAGTGTTTTTGAAGCTAGTTTATCAGAAGGGGTTTGAATCACAGATGAACGTGCTGTCTGAAGCATTTACTAGGAAATAAATGGCCCCAGCCCCTCCATCTCATCAGGTGCTGAAGTTGGTGCTTCTCAGTCCTAGAAAATGAATCAGTGTATTTGGCTGAATTTCACTTTAAGGCAATGAGGAAAGCATCTTTGAGGTCAAGACCATCAGCCTATGGACGTCAACCCCAAGCACTCAAAATCCCTGAGTCAAACCCCATTCCTTCCCTCAAATTACAATCTTTCCCAAGAAAAATAACACTGGTTTTCTTTCATGTGGATTTCTGCAACTTTCTGATTCTTATTTCCCTGTCAGAAAGGACAAAAAAAACCCCAAAAAGCAACAAACCAACTTCAGCCAACACAGCAAGAAAAGTGCTTACAGCTCAATGAGGCTTTGCAAATCCCTCCTTAAGCAAAGACCAGATGTCACAAGATCCCTGCAAGGCTGCAAGAGGTGGCACTGCTGGGTAACGTCTCCAAAGAAAGCGTTGGGGAAAGCAGCCCCCCGCCTCTCCGAGAGGCCATCCTGCTATCTGCAGTTCCTATTTTGACCCAAAACAGTCCGGGAAAGCTGATCTGAACAAACGCTCTAAGTTCTCCACCCTCTGGGCTGGAAGCAATGCAAGGAAACGCGCACCAGGTCGTTCTTCCAGCACAGGGCTAAGGGGATCCAGCTCCGAGCCCAGCCAGGGGCAAGGCGGGGGGGGGGGGGGGTCCAGCTTCAAGCCCAGTGGTGGGCCAAGGGTCTCTGCTGATTGCAACACCCCCTGCCCAGACCCCTGTGCCAAGCTGGTTTGGGGAGGTGACGCTACTCACCGGTGGCGCGGCGAGGTCCCGCTTCCCCCGCGGCGCCGACACCTCGCGCGGCATCACCATCTCGTACTTCTTGACATGGGTGAGCTTCCCCTCCAGCCCGGCCGTGGTGCCTGGGAAAAGTGGAAGGGTTTTGAGCCAGGACCCCCAGAATCAACCCAGTCAGGAGACGGTGGAAGCGGACAGCATGAAGGCGCAGGGAAGAGCCAAACCAGCAAGTTTTGAAATACCTGCTGGGAACACGACTCCCTGAGAAGCTCCAGAGATGCTCCCGCCGGGTGTTGTGTGTCCCCCCCCCGCCCAGCCGCATCACCCACAGAGCGCTCAGTATCATCCATGGGTGAGCAGGTCCCTTTCAAGGCTGGAAAAAACCCTACCTGGTACGGAAATAAAATGTAGGGTGGTTTTTTTTTTTTTTTTTTCAGCTTGTCATCACAGTTTGTGACTTGGTGTCTGGCAGCTGCCGGGGGTTGCAATTTGAAGAACAGGCTCATGTCTGCGCTGGCTCAGCCCTCCTCCTACCCTTTTTTTTTTTTTTTTTTTTTTTTTTTTGGGGGGGGGGGAGCGGATAATTCTGCAACAAACCCTTCGCTTTCCCTGGGAGCCCTCCACGAGTCGCTCGTGTGGCAGCCGTACCTGCGCTCCCCGGGGTCAGACGGGGCCGGCGGAGCCCGCACCGTCTGCGGGCGCCTGGCCGCCCACGATGCCCACGATGCCCACGATGCCCGAGCGGGAGCCAGGAGCCTCATCACCACCCCCTCGGCCGGCTGAGTCACTGGTGTGTGTGTGTGTGTGTGTCCCCTTCTCTGCCAGCACACCGCAGGCTGGCGGTGACAAATTTCCCCTTGCTCGCCTGAGCCCCCTCGCCGAGGCGTCTTTATGTAACGGCGGGTGCCCCAGCTGCCCCGGGGGGGGAACGGTTTGGGGGGGCGTGGAGGTCACCGAAAGTGTCCCACGGAGACGGGGCCGGCTGCGAGGGAGGCAAGCCCGGTCCTCAAAGCCCCCTGCTCCATCACCCGTCCTCGAGTGGGCTTGGGGGAGGTGACACCAGCGGTGCCGCCCGATCCCCCCCCAGTGACCCCAGGGCTCAGCCTGAAGCAGCCGGGACCTCGCCAAGCTCGGACCCATCCCAAAAAGCTGCCGGGCACCAGCTCCGGCCTCGCACGTCCCCTCCCACGCCGCTTCCCACGCGTCCCTTTAATTCCTGCGGGGAAAAGCATCTCCTCCCCCCCCCCACACACCCCCACTCTCAATCCCACCCCCCCGGGGGAGCCGGGATCTTGCCCTGCGCCCCCAAAACTTCACGCCCGTCCCGTCGGCAGAGCACGGCTCCCCGCCCTGCCGGGGCCCCACGCGCGCACGCCCCACGCTCACCGTGGACCAGCAGCAGCAGGAGCAGGGCGAGCGGCGGGGCCATGGCTCCGAGGTGCCCGCGGTGCCCGGCCCCACGCACCGCCGCGCCGCGCCACGCCGCGCCGCGCCGGCTAAGCCCCCGCCCGCCGTGACTCACCGCCACTCGCGGGACGGGACGGGGCGGGACGGGGCGGGGATGGGGCCGCCCCCGGTGCGGGGTAGCGGGGAGGTGGGGGGCGGTGGGTTGGGGGTCCGTGAGGAGGGGGGCTGCGGGAGGAGGGGGCCATGGGGCGCCGGGGTCGGGGCCGTGAGGTAGCGGGGGGGCTGTCTGTGGGGGTGTCGGGGAGGGTCCCCCACCGTCCGTGGGGCATCGGGGAGTGGGTGGGGTGTGTCCGTGAGCCACTGGGGGAGGTCCGAGCGGCACTGGGGACTGCCTGGCGGGGCTTCAGGAAGACTCCAAGGGGCATCGGGGCGCCGAGGGGCACATCTCGGGGCACTGCAGGGGTGCGCAGGGCGTTGAGGGGGTGACAGGAGGGCATCCGGGGGGCGCCTGGAAGCCCCACCTGGCCCTGTGGTGGTGGAGGGTCTGGTCTGGCTGGGCTCCCACGGGAGACAGTGGGGCTGGGAGTGTCGCGTGGGGGACCGGCGACTGTCTGTGGGGTCTGGAGGGGGTGTCCGTGGGGCACTGGAGGTGCCCACCTGGCTCTAAAGTGACAAAGGGGCTGGAGGGCTCAAGGGCGTTTGGAGCAGTGTGATTCGGGCACAAAGGGGGGGGTCTGTGGGGCGATGGGGCGTCTCTGAGGTGACGCAGGAGCTGGGGGGTGGCTGCGCTGCCGGAGGGCAGCGGTGGGACTTGGGGGGGGGGGAGGAACTGGGAGGGGGTCAGTGGGGCACGGAGAAGACGGAGCACTGAGGTGGTGGAAGGGCTGGAGTCACCATGGGGTGGGGGCTGAGCTGTCCCACAGGCTGGGGGACATCAGGGTATATCAGTGGGGCGTTTGGGACCCTCCCTGATCCCAAAGGATCGGAGGGGCTGAGCCCCCAATGTGGGGCTGAGCCCCCAATGTGGGGCTGAGCTTGGGGGGGGGGGGGGGGGTGCCCTGCACCCGGAGCTCTCCACTCCGCCACCGAGCTGACTGTGACCCCCCTCCTCGTCCGCAGACCGGCCCGAGGCTCCTCTGAAGACCAGCTGGGCCAACCTCTTGTGGGGAAGGGAGCCTCGATGAGGTTCTCTTGCACCCTGCCCAGTCACATCTTGAAACCGCCCAGCGATGGGGACCCCACCACGTCCCTGGGGAGGTGGTTCCAGCAAGTGATGGTTCTCACCGTAACGTATTTCTTAGGTTGAGATGAAACCTCTCCCGGTGCAACTCATTACCCCTTGTCTTTTCCATACGGCAACTTGTGAAGAGAGAACCAACCCCCTCCTGCAAACTGATTTTTTTTTTTTTTTTTTTTTATATATACTTTCTTTGTGTTTTGGGCCGGGACCAGCCAGGAAAAGCCACATTTAACTTTTGCATTTAATGAAAGGAAGGGGGGTCAGCCACGGAATTCAGCTGTTGCAGAGCTCCATCACCAGGGACAAGCTTCCTTCAAAATGGCACAGAAACCACCGCTCCAGTGTCTTCCCTCTTTCTCTCCATAGCTTTTCTGTAATTCCCTCCTAAATAGATGAGTTTATTAAAAAAAAAAAAATATATATATATCTATATATATAAAATATTAAAGCTCCATGCTTTCACCCTCAACACTCCTATTTGTGTCTGGTTGTAAGTAGCTAAAAAATCTCCAGTAGAGCTGTCCCCACGACAGTGGCAACCCTTGCAAGGCGTGCAGATCCGAGCTGACCCTGAAGCAGCTACGGGCCAACGCGTGGCCTGTGAAGCACAGCAAATAACCCGGCTCGCCAGGGAGCCGTGGAAGAAAACTGCAGCTCTGGGCAAGGAGGTGCCGGGCTGGCGTGCCATGGGATGCGGGGCTGCTGGGGCCAGACACGGGACCTTTTCTTGCCCGTCTGCAAGGAAGGGAGCCCCACCTCCCGGAGGAGGGGTGCCTTCCCCCCGCGGAAAGCTGCGAGGGGGCTGCACGTAACCGTCTGCATCTGTGAGCATGCAGGTGTGAGCGGGGCTTCTTGGGCTTACTCACAGGCAGGTGCTTAGAAACGCGCTGCTGGTTTTAAAAATTAACATTTCAGAAATATCTACTGCCGCCAAGACTCAACGCTTGCTGGTTAATTACGTGTTACTAATCTATAAACGGCTCCGATCTTGATTTAATTTAAATTGCACGAACAGGGTTTTTCCTGCAACGGCCACCGCGCTGCTCGTCGGTGTAAAAAACGTGTTTGATCAGCAGTGACGCAGTGAGGTGCCGGGGCAGACTTTCAGGCCTGAGATGTTGGGCACCGGGAGGCAAGCAAAAGTTCCTCCGGGGGCCCGGGACCCTCTGCCTCTCCACCCTGAGCTCGAGGAAGAGGCTGACAGGTCTGTAGATCCACAGGAGCTTAACGGAACTGGCCGGTCAACTTCTCCAGGCCTTGCTGGACTGAGAGGCCACGCTGGTGGAGGGAACAGGAAACTTTCCCATGAACCGCTCAAGTCCTTTCCCTCAAGAGCCAGATGATGCTGGCTGAGGTCTCTATCCTCAACCTCAACCTCCAGATGAAGGAATTCAGTCCTCTCGACCAAGGAATTCAGTCCTCCAGCCCCAGGACTGGTGGTCTCCATCCTCCCCTTGGGACTCTCCCCTCTGTCAAGCTGGAGGACCAGCTTTAGGCCACCAGAGCAAAGAGGACCCGGCTCTTCCCTCTAACACGCTCCAGGAGGTCCTGGCAAAGGAGGAGGTGAGAGAGAGGAAGGGCAGGTCATTAACAGGAGCTCTCAGCCCTCTATCCACAGCACCCACATATCCCCTCAGGTTCACAAAATCGCCACTGAGGTCTCTGGCACGTCTCCTGCTCACCACTTGTGGCCTGCGAGACGCTTTTCTTCTCTTCCACCCCCTACCACACCCGCTCCCAAAGTGGCTCAAGCAATTTTTGTGGCTACACGACCCTGCAAGATACTCTGCAAGTCCTCTGCTGAGGACTCGGCCAATATGATACAAACCTCATGATGTTGGCGGCTCATCGGCGCTGGACCCCAATCTCATCGGTTAGAGCAGCAACCTGCTGATGGGGCTCTCCTCCCCGAATAATGCCGCACGGCAGCCGAGCAAGATCTCTGTGAGCTGGCCAAAATTTAGTCCCCCGAAAGACTAATTTGCACCCTGGGTTCTGCTAAGAGAAAAATTAACCCTGATATTTTTTTTTTTTTTTAATGTTGTTTAATTTATTTCACAACACACAAACACATCGTTTTACAATGTAGTAAAAAAAAAAAAAAAAAAAGAGGACTTAATAAAAGCCTCTCAGAAGAGAAAATGCATGACATACATTTCACTAATATTCCCCTGTCTCTCTGGGACACCCTCCTGGTTCATTTCCAGCTCGTGCTGCCGGTGCAGAGCTCGAGGGGGCTGGTGCTGAGCGGGCGGGGGCTTCACTGGGCAGGCACGGCCAGGCGGGGAAGCAGGGGAGCTGCCTTCTGGCTGCGCTCGGCAGACATGTGCTCCAAACGCTCTGTGTAGAACCCGTTGAAGTCCAACCTGAGAGACAAAGGAACCCAGAGGTTTCGGCAGCCCAGCCGGCGGAGTGGCACGCAGCGACAAGGGGCTCACCGAGGCAGCAAGGGGGGGGGGATCCAAAAGAAACCTGAAACTCTTCCACGGGGCCAGGCAAATTTCAGGTTGAAGCGAGGGGTGTGAAGCAAAGCGAAGCACGTCCCGCCCCGGGAGGAAGCTCGCCTGGGCAGCCAGAGGCACAGAGCTCTCTCAAGCAGCCGTGCTCTCCCCGGCCCCAGCCTTCCTCCTGCCCAGCCGTGGCCCTTGGAGGAGAAACCTCTCCCAGGGCATCAGCAGAACGTGGTCACACCACGGCGGGCTCTGGACCTGACACACACACACACACACACACACACCGCCCACGGGGGATGCTGCGGCGGCTCGTTGCAGAGCCCGAGGAGGGGGGACACGTCGGTGCCCGTGCCCACGGGCGCTGCTGGTGGGTGACACCTCCTCGGTGTCCGCCCGTTGGCAACAGGCTAACACTTCACCCGTTCTTTACAGGTGTAGAAAATACATCAGGAAGGACCAGTCGCTGGTCAGCTGCTTCTCCAGAGCTCGATCACACGACCCTGGAGACGCGCCGCTCGGGGACAAGGGGTGAGGGCTCCTCAGTCTCCGCACCTCCCCGGCCGCTTTTCACCACTCCTTAATACCCGAGTTCACCACCATCCAACTCCAGCATTAATACACGTATGAAACCCACCATACTACCCAGTGCAACGACCAGGGAACGTTGCAGTTTCCATCACCACTGCCTCCCCGTTAACACCAGTGCGCGTCAAACAGATCCGCCGTTCCAGAAGACGAGGGAAGCGGTTGGGAGATGCTCAGCCAAGAATCACAAGTATTGCTGATACCTGCAAACGCCCCTCCAGAGCGGGCAACCTCGGCAAGATCCTAAAACCTGCCTCCTTGATGATCCAAAAATGATGCCACAAAACCACCCAGCTCCACGCCTGCTGTGACCTTCCTTAGGCAGACAGGTCTCTGCACCACCAAGCCAACTAAGACACGTGCAGCTCTTGAAAGCATGTGCCCTGGCACACTAAGCTGTAGATCGATATAAGCCTGTGAATCACACCAAAGTTACTCTCTTCATTTCTCAAATTAAGCTGCTCCGATGCTAAATGAATGGGCACAATATTTGAGCTTCATGTTGCTTAACAACCTTACACAAACGGCAACAAATTGTTCCTTGACATTTTTTGGTGACTGCAGAAAACAGAGCCTCGACAGATGGGATTTATCTGTTGCTCTCTCCTGGTTTAAAAGCTTACATCTCTCTCGTCCTTTAAGTGCTGTGCAAAGGAAACCTGACACTGAGTCAGGCATATTGACCAAACTTTGGTTCAAATACAAGGCCGGGGCTTGCGCACGCCCTTGCTTTGAGGATCTGTTCCACTTCTCAAGCTGCTTTATTCCAAACTTCTGGAATTTCAGATTTTGATTTGTTCCCCTTTCAGCTACGTTTTTAGGGTTAAATGATCTCTGATAACTATCGCCTAAGAATTTGCATGGTGCTTCCCCAAACCGCTTACACTTCAGTTTCTTGTTCTGTGGCTGGAACTTTTAACCACTGCGGTTTGCGTCACTTCACGTGTCCTACCGCTCTTACTCAAAGCTCCGTCAGGGCCGTTTCCTCCAAACTGGCAGGGGAAGAACATCCCATGAACGCTGACAGCGCTTGATGGGTAAGATGGCTAAGCCTCTGGAATTGAGCAATCCTTCTGACAAAGTCCTCTACGCCATCACTCTTCCCCTTTTCACTACTGGGATGCGAAGCAGTGACTCTGGAGGTTTTCTGCAGCTGCCCCCCCCCTCTGTCAGCACTGCTACTGGTGAGGCCAAGGCCCCCGAGCAGGACTTCGGCACGCTGAAGAGGTGAGTTATGCGTGAGCTTCCCCACTTTGAAGGAAACCCTCCAGATCTCCATCCTCTCTTGTCTGGTGCTACAAATATGATGGCTATGCCTCAGTTACTCAGTACTGTAAACTGAGGAAATATTAACCAGGGCCAAATAAGTAAAAGCACAGTACCAGAATTATGAATAAGAGGGGTATTTTGTTATCCATCTTACATGTTGACTATCAACCTTGAAAGCAGTCATATAAAAAGGTTATAAATTATAAGAAAACAAAGTTATGTCTCATAAACTCTTCAGTGTCTCTGTCAAATATGTTATTTCAGACAGTAACCATCTCCGCTCTGGTTCTTGGATTCCGGTTGCCATAGAGTCCAGGACTCGATCCAATAATCTCTACAGGCTGAATGAGAGCTAAATATCACGTCTGGACATCCATCGGGGGGCTTCCACTCTTGAAAACATTACTGAGCAGCCTGTAGAAGTGGAAGGACATGTTCTGTTAACGTGCAGCGCTTCAGTTAAGGGAACGGGGACGAGGTCCAGCTACGTCCAGCGTCTCGGTGAAGGCCCACGTGGTCCCAGATGGTCCAGACTGGAGGACTTGATAGTGATGACAGTCCCGATGGCATAAAGAGCCAGTATTTCCTCTGCAGCCCTTGAACAGAACTGGGGCATGGAAATACCAGGGGACAAAGGACTCGAGACCCTCTTCTGAACAGCTGGTTGCAGCGTAGGTCACCATTCCCAATGCAAACCGCTAACGGAAGCGTTTTGTTTTCTCACAACCCGCCTGAATCACCATACTTCTCCTTTGTCCTGAAGCAGGAAGAACTCACTGTAAAAACCAACCTCTCCATATTTGGAAGAACTGGCTCCAGAGCTTCCACAGCTCAGGAGTCACCTCCTGCCACAGCTACCGCCCACGTGTGGTCTGTGAAACACAAAGGCAACCGGTGGAGGATAGCTCCTGGCCACCCACCACGGATTCAGTCGAACAAGATGCACCACCAGGCTCCACAGTGCAGCATCAGCTGGTCCCACCGTCCTGGTAGATGCAGAAAGTGGGCACAAGGGTGGGGAGGCAATGATAAGAGAGGTGAATCCCTGACCCTAAGTGCAGGAGCAGTGCTGGAAGGAGGACGTCAGCCGAGTTACTGTCAGAAAAGGCCTTACAGCAGTGCCTGGCATCGCACGTGATAAAATGTGATGGAAGGCTGCAGGACTTCTGCTGTTGCATGACGTAAAGACTGGTAGAGGACTCGAGGTTGTTGACGTCTTGAGTAAGCCGAGAGCCAACTCCAGCCAATCCCACCAATGGGGAAATCTTCACATGTTCTTTGCAAGGCTCGAGGACTACGGGGTCATGACATTCTTCTGTTAAAAGAGCAGGCGACTTGGTCTTCAACACTGCGTTGGCCATGCCCTGCGTGACCTGCAATGACATCCAAGCAGCTGGATCATGGAGTTAGTTACCGTTAAGATCTCCCGCATGGAGATCCTAAAAAAGTCCGTCTGTTAGAACTCGTACTGGTAATGATAAAAATGTAAGTGCTTGATAAAGAAGGAGGCAGAACTGGATCACTGAGGAGGAGTAAATGTTCTTGCCTGGATGACTCAGCTGCTTGTGGTCTCGATCCCTGATTCCTGCCTGACTCTGGATGTTAGTGTGACACCTAGGAGTGATGGCAGCGAGGGGAGCACAGAGCTTAATCCCTTTGGTCTGTCAATTTTACTACAGAGAGATCCTCCCTTCAATCTCTGACAGTCCAATTAGGATAAACAGTGACGCCCAGGCAGGTGAAGATTGACATAAAACGTCCAAAAGGCCTCGATAAGATGCACCATCATTTCCTACAATGATTTGCAGAGATTTAGCTGTCCTGGCTAGTGCTGAAAGGAACAGGGGGGCCTCCAGTCACAGCCACAAAAAAAAGCCTCTGAAGAATTTCCAAGATGAGGAGGAGACCTCAGACTCTGGTCACTTCAGAGATGGAGTGAATCAGAATTATTAGGACTGTGGAGAAGGAGTCCCCACCTACCTTCCCATTGCAGGGACTGAGCACTGACCGGTAAGGGCAGCCCTGGTGGTAGGAAGGTAAGCTCCTATCCTGACAGGGGATGGAAGCAGGAGAATTCAGAGCACTAAGCAGTCCTGTGGCACTGCATTTCCTTTTCAGGTGCCCGTGAGTATCCCTGTCCTCCTTAAATAAGGAATGCAATCCTACAAGGAAGAAGACAAGACATGTAGTTCTGTACAGCGCTGTGGGAGCTGGTGGGCTAGACTCTGCTCCTGGAAGTAACCGTGGTATAGCAGGGATGGCAGGTTTTAGGCTTCAACCTTGGCCTCAGCTGTGTGACCACATCCCATCCAGAGCAGCAGATGCTAACACAGTAGGTCAGGGGCTGTGTAAATGCATGGTAGTTGCTGGTCAGGAAGTTCTCAGAAGTAAAGGACAACTGGAAGCTCAGTCTCCTGCTGGAATACTTCAGTAAAACAGTGTTTGCAAAGGTTGGTACCAGGAATCCTGACACAGCCCTGTCAGATGCTGCTAGAACAGGACAAGCAAAGCTTCAAGAGATAATGCATGAGGAGGGGACAACAACCTGCTTCAAAAAAAAGCATTCCTGAAACATTTTCTCTCTCTGTTTCCAGGTGTAGCACATCTCAACAGAGGTGTAAGGATTATCAGGCAGACATAAAAGACTTCTGGTACAGAAGGGCAGCAAACAGAACTTAACGGTTGCCGGTTAATGTTCATACGGATTTCCTGAAGATTAAGTTAAAGGATGAGAATGACCAACAAAAAGTACAGTTCACAAAGACCAAACAAAGCAGAGGAGCAATGAGACTACACTTAAATGAAACAAAAAAGAGAACAAAGCACAGTTAGGAGAAAGCTCAAAGTATCCTTTAGTCCTATGTGGTTAAAAAGAACTAAATAAGGATCTACTCTGATCTGTACTAAATATCAAAGGGGTTGGGGCACGAATGCCTACAGCACCAAGGGAAGAAACAAAATATATGTACTTAACCAGTTATCAGGCACATGTATGAACAAAACTACACATCACTGACAACTGATTCTAGCATATCTACCACTGAAAAGCATGACAACTTTAGATGAAAAACATTCTTCAAAGTAGGGAGTACTCCTTAGTAAACCAAGGGCTTTCCTCAGAAAGACGAAAGGAAACACTCAACACCTAAAATGACCTTAATTTCTGGCTAGTTCTGCCAGAGCTGTTTACAATTGCTTACACATGAAAATAAGGCTACCCACCATCTTACAGACAGCGTGAAGAAACGAATGGATGTTTAGGATGGCTTTGATTTCTGTGCTCTAGCTGACAGAAGCAACAAAGCAGGTAATTCTCTGGTGTTCTCGGCTCACACGCACCGTCACAGTGCAAATGTGTCCATTAGGCTTAGAAACACAGAACAAGCACTTCAAAAAAGTGTCGGTGTTGAAATATTGTACGTTCATGAAAGTCCTAGCCTCTTAAAATTATGCCTGTATGCAACATATACATCCTGCCTCTTCACCGGAAAAAACAAGTCACTGTAAAAATGAGCTGGTTTTCGTACGTGCCTAACAGTCTGCAAGCAGCATTTCTGGAGTGTCACAGCCTCCACCAGGTGTGAGGCGGCTGGCGACCAGCAGCTCTTACACGTGACTTCCACCAAGGTGACCCTCTGAATTCAGAGATGTCAACCCCTGACCCTCACTTGCCTTCTTATTCTGCGGTTACACGCACGCCTCAGCTGAACATTACAACCCGCAGGCTGCTTAGGTTTCACGGCTGCTTAACTCCTGAAACACACATTCCAGTCGCAGACACCACAAGCTGCTCCCAGCAGCAAACTCCATACTTGCAGTTATCTCTGTGTTGCTCCTAAAGCACTGGTAGCAGGATCAGAGTGAGAAGCATTCCGCTTGCACGGCACATGTGCTCAACTCAAGGTGATGCCCCTAGGGCTTTATCTGTGGTTCTTCAAAGCTGGAAGTACCAGGGCAGGCCCCTCCACGCTACACCAACCTGCTACACAGATCTTAAAAAGCCCAGCAACACCAACGTGTATGACTCTTGTAGCAAAAACAAATGATAACCTTTCCGAAGAAGGCCTTGTGCATCTCACTTTATTGAAAAAGAAACACAGAGGTTATAAACCTAGCAGCAAAGCCTAGATCTCCTTCTCCCTCTCTCTCTCTCCCTCTTCCTGCTGCGTATCTCACGTACCTGGCTTCTAGGTATTGCTGGAGGAATTTTGCTTTCTAAAAAGCTAGTAAGTAGTGATGAGGCCACAATAAAAACATATTAAGGGATGCTTATTTAAATAAACACCAGATGTGAACTTAAAACGAAATAGCCACTTATGACCAATCCCTTGCATGGTTTTCTCATCTTGGAATACTTACACTGTGTTCAGGAATCAGCTCATTCACTGTCTACACAGTGAGACAATTCTCAAGAAAACTAACACTTGCGTTACATTTACAACGTTTACAGACAAATTTCACATAATTCAAAGGAACGTGTTGTTTTTTCTAAAGCCTCAGGTTGAAATGCAAAGCAGTATTTCTTCTGATTTCACTGCTTTCATTGACAGGGCAATTATTCTTCCTGAGCTGAATTTGGGAACCGCAGAGAGAAAACTACTGGCTCACCTGTAGATGATGTTGAGCATGCTGTGCTCACAGTCGTTGGTGCTGTAAACGCTCAGTTTGTCCAAAAGGTCCAGCAGATGTGTTGAGAAATTGCTATCAAACTTGTTCATCGTTGCTTCGAAGCCAGATGTCAGGTGGAGGTTGTCAGCATGCTCTGCTAAAAGCTACCAAAACAAAGGCTTAGTGGCCCCATGTGTTTGCTGATTCACACTTGCCAAAGAGATGCAATTATTCCTTCCCTACTTCCTAACCTGCTCAGAAATACTGCCATAAAACTTAACAGTCGCTCAGCCACTAAAATAAATCTTTCAGAACAGTTGCAAGGTCCTTGGTAGTTAAAACCAGGCTATGCCTATCTGGGAGAACCCCAGAGTAGATCCCAGTAGAGCTAGCCTAAAATTTATGCTGTCGTTATTTATTTTCAAGCAGGAGGAAAAGCCAGTAAGCAGAAAGTGAGTGTTGTCTAAGCCAGGCTGTAACCTCCGGAGCACTCTGACTGCCCTGAAGCGTGATGGACCCTGCCAGCTGTGTGCCAGAAAGGGGCTTTGAGCGGGACAGGAGGCAGCCTGCTAACCACAGAGCATGCCAAACAAATCACAGTACGTGTGCATCTGGATAGAGAAACATGGACAAGACAAACAGCCCAGATACTGAAGGGATGGGTTGCAGAGAGTCACACCCAACAGTTTATTGGCTCGCCCTTCACAAAGTGCTAGTTCTGGAAATAATAAAGTTCTTAAGTTGCAGAAAGGCTGTATGTGGGTACCCACTGCGCAGCTAAAAATACAACTAAGAACTTAAAAACAAGCGCAGGGGCAGCTGGGGGAGGCAGGGTCTTCAAAGCAGACTCTGGGAACACCATCAGTGCTCCCCACCGCCCTCGAAAATGCCCACAGTTCTGCAAAGACTCCGCTTTGGGGGCCAGAGGTGCTCCAGAAACTAGGAAGGTCTATCTGCAAGAGGTGGGAGAGGCACCCTGACTAGACTGCAGCCCAGGCAGCAAGCAAAGAGGCAAGGGCTCAGCTGCCCATCCCAGGTCCCACCTTGTTAGTCAGCTGCTTCTTGGCAGTCTCCTCGGCACGCTCCTCCTCTGTTGGTGGCCCCAGCATTGTGCCGTGCTCTAAGGTGAGGCGGTCCATCTCATTATCCAGCTTCATGCTCTGGGTGAACCTCTTGGAAGGGCAAGAGGGTTGGGGAAATGGTTAGATCCCATTTTTTTCAATTATGACAAAGCACGAGGCTGACTCAGTTCTGCTAGTCCTGCAGCTAACTAACCCCCATGAAAGCTAACTCTGAGATTAAATACACGATATCAGTACACAAAGCTCCCCACAAAGCCAAAGGAAGGTGTTTTTTTTTTTTAAAGCTACGTGTTCCCCGAGTTGCTGGCTAAAGTGTGCCCACGGAGATCACTTTCCATGGGTCCCATCACCAGTCCTTGCCTGACCCTTGAAAGAACACGCTAAAAACTACAGAACCCTACAACTTACACCTCAAATTCTGCTGCAGGACTGGCTGAAGAGAGGCAATTCGGTTCATATGAACCTGATCCCAACACCGAAAAAGAAGAGCATAGAGAATTTTGTGGAGGGAGAAGCCACAGAAACGATTTGGGAGAAAGGATGAGGGTCTGAGCAGTCAGGCTCTAAAGGCTGCTGGAGGGAGGAACAGAGGCTCTTCCGCATACACGGGAGGACAAGAAGGGTCGAGTTGAAAAAAAGGGACTATTATAGCTGGCTGGCACCCAAAGCAGGTGGCCATGGTCAGCACGGAGAGGCTGTAAATACCTGCATGCAGTTTGTGAACATGACACAGACAGACATCAGCTTGGAGAAGATCTTCAGCAGCTCTGGGTTGGTTAGCATGCAGTCCTTCAAGCAGTTATCCAGGAAGCTTGTGTGGTGGCTCAGGACATCATCAATATTAGATGCCTGTAACAGGATAGTACAATAATGAAAAAAAACCCCAGGACTGCTGTGCTGCACCGGACCAAAGCTCTGACCCAGCATCCTGCCTCTGGCAGTGACCTCTCAGACGTGATTTAGTGCATGCTGAGATGCCTCTCATGTACCTTCCAGCTCTGAGAGACATCCTGAGATGGAGACTGCATTGACACTACTGCATTCAACAGCCCTTCACAGGCTTTTTACTTTTGATTTGTTACATCACCTTCTCAACCTTTTCGGATGTTTTTTTTAATCACCCAAATCCTCCAGTGGAACGGAGGCTCAGGATGATTACCTGCTTTATGAACACGCACTTCCTTTGCTTTTAAATCTGCTTGTCATGCCCACTCCCACCTTCACCATCTCAGTAAAGTCAGCTATAATAAGTGGAAAGGAGAAAAAGAACCTTTAATGCCAATAAGTTTACGAGGCTTAAAACGTACAGGTTATTTAGCAACATGTGTTAGGAGCACGATAAAAACTGGGACATGCAGTGCTGCAAGGATTTTGTAAGATTTTTGTCCGGCTTTGTTACTTCAATGGGCTGTTTCAGTCTCGAGTTTTAAATGACAGATTAAAAACCCACTCTCACTCTGCACACTTATGGGATGTGCTGAAGCTGAGAACACAAGTCAAGCTTAGAAAAGAACCATAGGACTAAAATTGCTGAGGCATCCACACCGCTCCGTCAGGATCAATGCCAAATAAACAACCCCAGAACCATTTAAACAACTAGTAGAGAACAGGGACAACCAGCACTCTCCAATGCAATGAAGATGCTAGTTGTGTTGATGAAGACAATGTCGTGAAGATGAAGACACTAGTTATATTTTCAGGAACGATGAACCTTAACTTCAAGTGGAAATGCGCAGGAGAGAAGTCTGACAAATAAAAAAAAACAGCATAAAGCACTACATGAGACCACTGAGGATCATCCTTTTCTCTGTTAAAATGCAAATGAAAGGGAAAAAACTACCCCAGTTTGTAGGCTATGGAATTTGAAGAGCCAGTTTTGCATCCTCTGTTTGGAAATAAATTATGCTTTTATTTAAATCAAGGAAGATTTTACCCAGTAGCTGGGGATATGTCATCCCCGGTAAGCAGCTCTTTTGAAGGAACTGCATAACAAAGTGTTTGCTGAAACAGCTTCGTTTGCTGGCAGCGCTGAGATGTTCGACGCACAGGTGCCCAGAACACAACAAGGCCTAGAGCCAGGCTCTTCCTGTCCCAACACTTGGCAGAGCGCATGCTCCATCTCCCAGAGATTTAAAAGTACCTTGAAGTACGCTGATGAGGACAGGAGGCAAACGTACATTTGGATTATGTCTCCAAGACTTTGCTAACTCGCCAAAAAACTTCCTCGGTCTCAGGTGATGACTTGGGGACGTGTTCACATCATGGGCAGCTTTGAGCTGTTACTACTGCACTATTACTTGGAGAGGCCCTTCATGTACAGAGCAGCAGCAGAAATGCTCTACGAAACACTGCAGCAGCCCTCAAGGTTTCAGAATGAAGAAGTGTATGGTGAAGGCACGGAAAAATTTTCTTGCCATACAGCCATGGAAACACCTTTCCCCCGTGCCAGCGAAGTCCCTTTATACCTGCTATCTCAACATCTCTGGCGGGCTAAAGAGGCTCACAGATGTTCCATAGCATGGGAAAACTTCTGCCCACTTGGGCTATCAGAAGGGTTTGGTCTGTAGACATTTCTTGGGAATGGGCTCCTCTGAAAAACAGTATAAACTGGCAAATTTGTTTTTGGAACTGAAATAAAAATGCTTCAACACCTCTCTATGTCCGAAGGAGCAGAGAAACTCAATGGCTGAAAGCCAAAGCAGAGAGGGAGTCTTTGCAGAAACTCTGGAGTCAGGAGATCATCCCTTCTGACCAGGGGATGCTGTCACTACACACCACGTGCCTCCTGAGTTTAACAGTCCCTTCTATGACACCTGCAATCAGCAGAGACTGAAAGGAAGCACTACTTGAAATCAGTATGGAAGAACCTGGGATGGTGTGACTTGTTCAAGTGTTTCAACGCAAGTAAACTGAGTATGGTATTTTTGCAAACCTAAGCTTACAACAGAATTAGGAAGTACACTTCCCTCAGAGCATCCAGGAGATTGACATATAACCTCTTCTTTTCAAAAGTCCTTGCCGAGAATGTGCAGAGATGCTCACAGTCCTAGACCTCCCACCTCCTGCGAATTCTCCGGGAAAAAAGGATGACAGGGCATCAAAAAATGTTGGTTAGCTGACCCCAGAACACAGCAGAAACTAAGACAGGGTCAGTTGTTGAAGATTCACAAGGCTCACCAGAGAGCTACCAAGAGAGCTGCTGTGGCTGAATGCAGATTGCAGAAGGAGTGTTGAGCTGTTTGGTACAACAGATAAATGTTTTCCATGGTGTAAGAGGAAAACGATGTGCAACCCAGAAGCATCTGATCACAGGATGACTACCAGGGGGAAGAATATTAAGGTGATGAACATCTGCCTCCTGTTCCCTCACAGTAGCTGGGGCACCCTAACACCAGCCCCAACACAGCAGCACCATAGTGGGTAAGGAAGCTGAGAAGGACCGTGAAGAACACCATGTCCCTTGGGATAAGGAAAATTGCTACAGCCATCACAAAGGTTATGCTGCAAAATAAGCAAGCTCGAGGAATGCATGACTGATCGTCTGCTCTAATTAAACACAAGTTCACTGCCTGGCACAGCCCTTGCCTGTGCTGAGTGGCATATGCCAAGTCAACCATCACACAAAGCTCAGGGATAGCACTTCCTACGGACCTTTGCAGGTTGTCTCCTGGCGTGGAGGAGACGGCAGGAGGTCATATTCCCTCCCTTGGCAAAGCCCTCCACCGAACTTCATACCCTCAAGCGTTTTCACAGGTCTTCACGACAAACCCCAGCCCACGCAAGGCATCCCTGCAGCTTCATGTTATGAAAGCAGCCACAATATAGCCCTCCTCAGACTGCTGCAAACACTTGAAACTGGAAGAACGCAAAATGATTCTGTGTCAGGACCATGTGGGACCCAGTGGAGACACCTGCCATGTAACGTGGAGCAGCCAGCCTACGTCTCTGCCCTTGTTTTAGGCAGCAGTACAGAAGTAACCTAAGATGCCATCTCTGCTCTTTTTTTCCTCCCACAAAGCATTGTCTGTATGCCAGAAACTAGCAGAAGGACCACTGGTGTTGACAGGTGAGGCAACCAGTGCCCTGGCTCCAGCACATGTTCCTAGGGCATGAAGAAGCTGCTGGGCTGGGCCCAGGCTGACAGCAAGGAAGACAACACATATTTGCAGCATTGCTGCAGCTTTCACTAGATCTGTCAGTGCTCAGGCATCATCCTTTGCTTGTCTAATGAACCTCCACAGTGACTCTGTACGCCCCAGATCTTTACCACAGTTGGGTAAAAAAGGAAGGTAGAGAAGGGTTTGCTCTAGACAGAGCGAGAACAGCCTGTGATCTGCTGGTGACAGGTTTTTTTTTTCCTCTGCTGTTAAGGGTGGAGCCAACATATCTGACATGAATGAAACCAGATACGAGAAGACCTTCATGGGCTTCTTGAACAGCCTATTCTGAAAGGTAGGCTCTCAATGACTTCTCATTCTTGGTTTAAAACAGGCAGGTGGGACATTAGCTGAGAATGTGTTCCTCTCTGAGATGATAAAGGCATCTGACGTGCCCATCGGGAGATAAAAACTGATTCTTGCAGTTTTTGCTAGGGCAAAGAGTTGAGTTAACTTCTGGAGAAGTCACTGACTTGGATTAGCGAACCAGAAATATTCTGTAACACACCTGGAAAATCCCACAGCTCAAAACATCCCATTTCCGTGAAAGGAACCAAAATGATGCCAGGCATGCCTTGCCCAGATACCCCCCTCGTCAGGCACAAAGCCCAGTGGGATGTGAGCTTAGCCTCTCCCAGATACCACCGCAGTGGGAACGTTCTCCAGTCTTGCGCACCTGCGGTGGGAACACACATGTGGAATAGCCACCTGAATAGGGAAGGCCCTGTTTTATAACAGACAGTCCTAACACGCCAGTCCATGGCAGCCTCATGGAAGAGAGAGCACGTGCTTCGCTTTTAAGAGAACTCTTAAGTCAGCCAGGGAATCAACTGAAGATGTCTGGACCGGTTTATGATCTTTGCACTCTGCATCCTTCTTCCTTTTCCATTATTTTCTTTCTTCTGTGTACGGTGATGTCCAGCAGAACACCACCTTTACACAACAGGGTGCAGAGTGTGAGCTGGGCATAGGTGGGAGGGTGAAGCAGAGGAAAGGGATATAGGACTAATAAAGCAGAAAGGTGATTCAGAACAGCAGCACTCTTTGCAGTGTGGTAAGAACAACAGTTCCCAGATACTTAGGTGCCTCCAACAAAACATTTAATGGGCACCTGCAGTGAGTGAAATTAGGCATTTTTTCCTTGTATTAAATCTGTTAACTTAAGATTTCTGTTCCAGCTTCTCTCAAGCACACACACTCACCAACTTCAGGTTCTTCTCAAGAATGTGCCATGTTGGCTCCATCACTTCAAACATCATGTAATACTGGATATTCTGTACAAAATTCAGCATTCGCTGCCGCAGTGTGAAAGCACCAGCAAACCTAGAGGAGATATCACACCCACACAATTTAAGAGCTAGCAAATGCCATGGAGAACTATCACCAGACTTGCACAGTCAAGCAGAGCTAAATATTTCTGTCCTAGCAAATTCACTGCTGCAACGTGAAAGGGATTGTAAAGTTAATGCAAAGCATCTCTCACTATTTTCCACATATTCAAATGGTTTTCCTTCAATTACTAAAGTCAGAGTTTTGAACCCGATGTGGACTGGATGATTACCCTGAATATTTGCTTATAGTAATCTCAAATTTTAATATTAAATATTAAAGCAATTTTACCAGCCTAACTATCAGGTGAGAACTGAGACATGCATTGGTTAGCAGGGCAAAATTTAACAAGGTAACTGGTTCATATTTCTTTCCAGCCTTACTTGTTAAATGAACACTTAAAAATATTCTATGCCTTGCATCAGTATCTTCAGGGGATCCGAGTATTTAATTAGATCACCTGCTACCTAGAGTATTTAATGCAATCTCACCTTAAAAATAGAATGGTGGGGTTATACAGAGGTTATTTCGACGTTAACTTATGCAGGCTCTGCGTTGGCAAACTAAGAACTGGCTTCAGCAAACCGGGACAGGTCACCAGAGAGGTAGGGGATACCCACCCCAGGGGTTTCGGACCACAGCTGCCCTGTCCCCTGCTGATCACAGCTGTCCTGCGAGCCAGAGGTTGCACTAGAGACCCTCACGGGTCTCCCACTAACACCTCTACAACTACAGGAGAACCAGAGCTTTAGTCAGGTTGGCTGAGGTCAGTGCCAAGGCAGCCGAGGTTACCTTGTCACAAGAAAGTGCTGCTGGCAAGGCAGAGGGTACCACCTCGCAATGTTGGGGTCTGCCTCACCCTCCAAACAGGCACCTCCAGCACCTGGAGTGCAGACCCCAGATGAAGATCCACCCTCACAGGTGGAACAAGACAGAATGATCTTCTGGGAAAACACCCCACCAATTTTACCTTATTCGATTTCTATCATGCCAAAACCCCAAACATTAGCCAAGCTGTGTGAAGGTCACAAGCCCTTGCCAGGAGAGAAGGATGTTCCTTTTAAACCACTGGGGTCCTCACTAAACTTGCTGTTACTAAAGCAGTGACCAAGACAGTATGTGCACAGATGTCCTCTGCTGTAACTCTTCAGTGTATAATTAGCTAACCCGAAAGGCCGTCTCTTCCTCTTCAAAACTTCATGCCAACAGAGGAATGAGCCAAGCAGCTCAAAAATTCTTGAGCAGACACTTCCTACTGAAACCTAAATTGTTGTATTTTTGACCTCTCTCAGCCTGTAAGGAATTTGTAAGGATCTTTTTCACATCAGAATGGTTTGATCCATGCCATGACATATCTAACTCTCAAGAAGGAAAACCAAAACTTCACATCAGATCCAGCAGAAGGAAAGGCCATACCACTTAGCTGAATGCAGGGAGAATTGCTTGGCCGTCTTATTGCTGATCCAAACGTTGCACAACTGTCTTTCCACATGTTTGCAATAGAACATGTGTCTGAAAAGCATCTGGTATCTTGTCAGTGCTTTCCTGGAAAGAAAGGAAAAACCCATCCACATTAAGCCCTGTTCTGATTGACAGACGAAGCTGTGAAGGCTGAGGCTGCTCAAAGGCAAAGAGACTTTACACAATATGTTCCTTACGCCTTCAGACGCACACAGATCCACACCGAAACAATTCGAACCAAAGGAAAAAAAATCAAATTTATAACCATCCCAAAGAATTTCTCTCCAAGGAGTCCCTCCTCCGTATTTCCTACCAGCGGGCACATCACCAGCCTCCTCCTTCAATTCCCTCGAGCTACCTGCAGAAGGGTCACGCACACAGACGCTGGGACGGAGGGCTGAAAGCCTGTGGTCACGTACCCACTGCACTAAGGCTGCAGCGATCACCACAACAATTCACCAGCACCCTCCAAAAAGATGAAGAAAAAGCTGTAACCAAGCTACAGGCAGCATTACCCCGCCAGCAATGCACTGTCAGAAGCAGATGGGGATGCTTATTTATAGCTTCAGGGACTGGATTCGGGTCTGCATTCAGACACTTCAGTGTAGGTGTCTACAGAGCTCCAGTCGATACAGTTCGTGAAACCTTACCAAATAGTATTTTCACTTCCATGGCTACCATCAGAGCTAATACACTCAGTTTGAAAAAAAAATACAGACGTAATTTCAAAAGCACCGCATCATTAGAGAAGTCTCACTGTGTCAACTGATTTTTTGAAGGGGAAAATAAGGGAAAGTAATCATTGGCAATTAACAATTCAACATCTGTCACCTGTTTCATGTAACACTGTTTGTCCCATTTGTCCTGGCTCACAGTAAGCCTGTCAGCATTTCTCCAGGGAAATGGGGGGCAAATCCCTACAGAAAAATGAACCATTCAGTCCCTCGTAACTCAATTAAACGCAAAAGAGCTTGCTCTAGCAATTCTAGCAACAGCCTGTATCTTTCTGGTTTGCAACCAGGGATACCAGAAAGCACATTTTTTTTTTTTTTTTTCTGCTCTCCACATTTGAGAAATGCTTGATTCTTGCGTGGAAATCCTCTTGTGAGAGTTCATATTCTCAGGGGAGATACTTCAGAAAGCCACAGACAAATGAAAGCTGGGTGACTAGTCACAAGTAAAATCAAGGACTAGGCTGAGAAAGCATCCTTTGATCTATGTTTTCCCACAGTTTAAAGTGAAAGCTTGATTTTCCAAACACGCCTTAGACATGGTCTAGAAGGGCTCTATTGAAGACACAATCCATATTTCATAGCCTACAAGTGGAGCAAGCAGGACTCCACAACCCCAAAGCATGCCCTACTAGTCAGCAACTTGTAACATCACTTTAAAGATACAGGCTTTCCCGGGTTTTGCTGTACGGAAACGTGCTTCAACCCCACGCAAACGCTTCTGCCTTTTTTTCCTTCAGTGAATTGATACTTTACCTGTTTATAATAAGGGACAGAGGCCACTTAACAATGTAGTCAAAGGAAAATGCTTCCAGACCGCTGAGAGTGAGCTCTGTGGGATCTGCACTGATAATGGCCTTCTCCTGTTTCGTTTCTATGGCCAATACTCTCAAGAGCTGTGTAATGAGGTCATGGGGCATCAAGTCAATCTATAAAGGAAGAGCAGGGAAAAAATGAAGCCACAGGATGCTCACAACTACTTATTGCGTAGCAACAGACGTGTGGCAGAAGTGCAAATTATCGGAGTTGCTCTCAAGGCATCAGACCACCTGGGAAGCAATAGTGAATGGTATGACTGGGACAGCAGAGCAGCAGGCACCGGAGCGGTGTCGCTGTACTGTTTAACAACCAGCACACAACACACTACTCTGACAATTGTTCCCCCTTGCCCTCGGCCTCTATAGGGTCTGTTCAGATCTCAGACTGCCCCGGCACAGCCTCCGTGATGGTTCACATCTGTAAAATACACAATCATTAACAGGCAGGGCTTCTAATCAGGTATTTTCTTGTACGCCAAAGCCAAGAATAAGCATGAGACACACACCACTGCTTCCACCTCATCCTGAGACCATCCAAAAGCACCTTCTCTGTGTTCAGTCACCAGCGAGAAAACACAGTCCCTTGTCCAGGGTGGGTTCTTCCAGTTGCTAATCTGGATGAAAGAGGATTTAACCCAGAGAAGGTCTACAGAAGGACAACCTCAATTCTCTTTTCCCTCACCGTACATTCATCAGGTTCTTACAGGCACACAGAACTTCCCAAAGCATGGCAGGCCTTCTGCCCAAACACAATTATCTTCTGCTGACATATGTTCTTACCTTTAAATCATCCTTGAAAGGATCTGTGTTGGCTGTGCTCATTCGCAGGGCTAGTTCAAGCAGAGCCTCTAGCCTCGTAGTTATGATGTCGTCTACAGGTTTCTTAAGTTCCTCTTCTGTGAGATCCATGAAGTGAACAAAAAAGTCCCCTTGATCCATCAGGAAATAGTGTTTTATAGATCTGCTCAAGAAAACAGAAGGACAGCTGATCATGTTTTTTAAAGCCTAGATTAATCCACATTAAATCTAAAGGAACAAACACAATCAATTCAGCCAGCCTCCTGGGTTTGATCACAAAATGTTCCTCTTAGTATACTACACACAGCAATAAATAACCCATTTGGACACTAGTCTTTTACGTCTGTCCCCTCCTCCCTTCCAGCTCAGTCAGATCAGGGCTGCTGCTCTTCCTTTTTTCCTTGAAAAATGCACCGTAGAAAAAAAATGTATCCACTACATTGCTAAGCGAAGGCTCATACTGCTATCCTGAACAACACCCCAACCTCCACAGTGTGCAGATCCATCCAAGAGACAGTTGCCAATTCAGAGCAGAATCTTGGGCTCCTTTGAAAGAACAAGTATCTGTGCTGATTTTTTAAGTACTCCAGGTACTTGGGTTGACTTCTGCTGCAGTAGGATGCATAAACTGTAATTTTCACTTGGCACCAGGGAGAGTTAACTGCAGTGGGCCAAGAACTTGGAAATAGCTCAGAGGAGAGTCCGAGGATTAACTTATCACCTGGCCAAAGATCACACATGATCAACTGCAGTTTTCAGAGCAAAAATAGGACCAGCACAGCCTTAACACAATGTGGCTGCAGACTCCTGATCACTGTCAATTTGGGATGATGGTCACCCCCTCCATTTCCCTGACTGTCATTACTCTCTTGAACCAAGAAAACTCCCCCAGTCATGAGGAGGTCATGACAGTGTCAACAGTTAACTGAGGACCCAACGGGTAGGGGAGGGAGGTACTTAGAGCTGACACACCCTAGAGCGCAAACTCAAATAAAAACTTGACCTGACAATCCCACTTCAAGCAGGAGGATGAACTAGAGACCTGCTGAGGTCGTTGGTCCCTTCCAACCAACGTTTCTGGGATGGTGGAAAGAGAGAGTCAGTACTCCCGCTTAACTGAGAAGTGGTTATCTGTCACAGGTCCCTGGGGTTTGATCACAACCATCTCACTCCAGCCCTCGAAGTGCACACACGCACCAGAAGCTCAGGAGTGTCTCCTCAGCCAGCTGCCCCTCCACTTGCACCCCAGCAGACTACCTACACGCAGGACAGCTGCAGAATGATCCAGCAGAGAGCCTGTTTTGAAGACGAGGAAGTGACAGGCCTCAACCCCAGCTGGACAGGCTGAGCAACACCTTAATCTGAAACTACACTGTGATAGAGGGGCCCAGCAGAGGACGAGCAGCCACCAGAGCTTTGGAAGCCAGTGCCTTTTGAACAGTCCTATTAAGCAAAGAAGGCTTGGAATGATGACAGTCGTTAGGAACAATCTCCATAACAACTGACAGGTTTCAGACAGCTCTTACAACCTTTCATGAAGCAAGGGATGTTCTCTGGTGGTCTTCACAAGGCACGTATTAGTTTCAAAGGGGTGAACCATGGCTCTCCAGGTCTTCCTACCACCTCTCTCAGCTGGAGCCATAGCATTCCCAGGTCCGAAGCAGACACCTTTGTTGCAGCTACAACTTTTTCAGACCTAGCAAAAAGCAGGACCAAAGCAATCTCACCTGGCCTGCTAGGCACAGCCACTTCAGTTGCCATTACTGCTTCAGCTTATGTCTCCTAGTCGGCACTTTCCTGTGCAAGTCACTTGGCAGGTTTGTCTCAGGAAGCTCAGGCCACTTTCTTTCACACTGGTTTCTTTCAACAATGGTTTGAAGTGGGACCTCTGGTACCAGGTCTCAGCCCAATTACAAACTATCTTACAACTAGCTCTCAACTGCATTTTCCTATCTATTTGTTGCTGCCATGGTCTTCTGGATAGTTAATAGATAGGATTCCTGTTTTCACTGTTTTCTGAAGATAGTAATAAACTAAAAGCTTGATTCACACAAGAAAGCTGGAGCTTGCATGCTAGAACACAATTGCATTTGCTATCAGCTGACTGTGTTGCAAGAATCAAAATATAGGTTATTAAAATGAACTTTAAAAAAGGACAATGCTAAGAAAAACCCTGTACTGGAACTTGGGGCTAATACACTTACTCTATTTCAACTACCTACATTTGCATGAACAATAACCATGGCATACATTTGGTGAGATGCTTAATATCAGACTATTTCTTATTCACATTCAACTCTCCAGATGATATTAGGAAACTCCCTTCCCAGGTGGGAGTGACACGCAGCCGAGGGACAAGTTACGAAGGAGGTGGGGGATGTCCATACCCGAGGGTGGGTTTTGGGACTGGGCTAGACAAAGCCACGACTGCCCTGACCTAGGTTTGGCAACAGCTTTCCAAGGAATTTGGACTAGAGACCCCCAGACATCCTTCCCACCCAACATTTCATTTTTGGAAAAAAAAAAAGGCAAATCTTACTTTTTCAGATTAACCCTTCTAATGGAAATAGAAAGAATACATTAATAATACCCCCAAGAAAAGAGAGCTAACTTCAAAAACTCATCTTCACCATCAGAATCAATCTATTTAACATGCATTTAGTAATATAAATCAAACCTTAGGTGAGCCACCAGCTCTTTCTCCTCCATTAGGAAATCCAGAAGAACTTTGCTAGCATAGTTATATGCTTTTTCTATTTGTTCCACATACGCTCGCTCTTTTAAAGTATAGATGACCTCTTTAGCCACAGGGCAGGTAACATCACGTCCACATTCTCGTACAACATTCAAGTATTTCCCTAGAAGCAAAAAGAGAGAATGACCCCTATCCATAGCTACTGCACATCCAACAGGGAAAATTTCAGACCACGTCCTTCAAGAGGAAGATATGCTGTGAAACGTTTACACTACGTTCTACTGAACGCTGGAAAGGATTTAGGCACCTTTCAAAAGATGATACAGCATTTTAAATTAGGCACCTAGTATCACGTTTAAGGAGAGATTTAGAAGTGGTTTTGTGGCAGCAAAACATCTCTGCAGATAGCAAGAAACTTTGACGATCTGGTGCTGCACTTCAGAAGTAGCTTTCGGAGGGTTTGGTACTTATGGAAGAGAAGAATGGTAGCCATCAGGTTGCACGCTTCATTTAAACACCCAAATTAAAACTCAGCATGTTCCAACCCCAGTTGCCTAGCTCCACCTAGCTAGCTGCTAGAAAACTGTACCCATGAAACAGCAGTAAGACAGCCAGTTCCCCTTGCTGCTGGACTCCTTCCCACATGAGGTTTTGCTTACAGGATTTGGGGTTCTTTTTAAATCTGATTCTTCTACTCCTCTGGGAAGCTCAGCTGGAGAGCCCTGTAAACTGGCATATCAGGATGACATTTATCTTTACACAAAGAATGGCAATGTTTATCTCGAGATTACTCTTACATCAGAAGCATATCTTTACCAACCTGTGCTTAGTATTTTGTCAGCCATTTTCTGCAAGAATGACGGAATCTGTTGCTGAACAACAGTGTATCTTTGATCCCAATACTTGTCATTATAGTCCTCCTGAATCTTCTCCTTCTGCAGCTCATGTTCCTCCACCATGAACTCACTGAACAGTTAAAGCAGATGTTTAGAAGCAGGAAGTGGTACACTAAGTATTACTTTTTTTGACCTGTAAACTGGTGATACGACATACCAGAAATAAGGCCTCATGAAAATACACACCAGTCAAGAACTGAAATTAGTCTGTATTTGTAGTAAGAGGAGAAACATTATGCAAAGTGTTTCTGCTAATCTGCAATCAATTACGACAGAATTTTATAGGGTTCACAAACCAAGCCTAAACATTATTTGGTTGTCAGTGTAGGGGTGAGGAAGCTGGCCTTTGGCTGCCCTCCCATCATTAGGAAGGCATTAATTTTAGCTATTTTAACTTGCGTTTTTCCCCCCTTAGGATTCTGAAAATGTGGGAAACAGAAATACTGCCTAAACTGTTAAACACAGTGAAATGCTTCACATGATTCTACAAAAGCCAAGAAACTTCAGAGAGTGTTGTTAGCTCATATCAGATTAGTGGACTGCATTTAACATAAATCCACCGAGTTATCACACTCGTCCCCCATGAGAAGAGGGCTCATCCCTGCTGTGATGAGGATGAGGATGTGAGAAAATACTTAAAGGGGAACGGGCACGGTAAGGTGGAATTCAAGTGGACTGAATATCTGAACTGTTGTGCTACTGACTTTTGCATATAATTTCCTTGAATTTGGAAAAATAAAGCAAGTGAGAGTGTCTCTGTATAACCACTGAATCAAAGAAGAAACGTAGTTAAACATGCTCCAGCAGCAACCCTTCCTTGCAATACCAGGTCCAAGCCCCTAGGCTATGCAGGCTCTACAGAGCAGAAGGATGGGTGCACTAAAAATGTAGAAAGCAAAGACGCAAACAGTATTTCTTAACTTTTGCATTTCATTTCTATTCCTTAACTGTTCTTTACCTGTATGGATCATTAATGATGCCTCGATATATCCACTTTTCCAGAATTTCAAAATAAGGCATGCTGGCTGCCTTGGTTAAATACAGGCACAGCTCCTGGGCCTGGCTGTCCCCTGTGTAATTGAAAGTCTTGTCATGGAGTAAGCTCAGGGTTGATCCTCCCATACACTCACCTTTATCCACAGAAGTAGCTGAAATTTAAAAACACAGATGTAAGACACAAAGCTGACACAGATTAATTGCACAAACTATGCTGTTAAACTTAATGAAGTTAGCAGTTGATTAGCTGACCACCCTAAGTCACAGACCTCCGCATCAGCTGTAGACCCCTGCTGTGAAGATGCAAGGCCATTTCACCACACAACCAAAAGCTTACATCCTGAAATGTCCTGAAATGAAAATCCAAATGATCCACAATCTAAAAAAGCAATAACCAAACCCAACCCTCCAGGGAAGGAGAACTGAACTTAGGTAGACACAAGGTACATGGTGGCTTAGAGTCCAAAAGCCTCCTACACCAAGGGGACCATGTATAGTGATCCACTCTCTAAGTGGTAAAGGAAGAAACACACACTTCAGTGGCTTGCCTGAAAAGACTCTGATCTCAAAAACACTTCTGTTCTCAACTGTAACACTGAGGTAGCCATGCGTATAGCTTGAACACCAGGACTTAGCTAGGCTGCTAGTGAAGTGTGTACTTTGGCATCACAAAAGGGACGTAGGGACAGAGGAACACAGTACTGCCAATGAGTTTTGGATCAAAGGAAACCTTAAGGTAGTTGGCTAACTGCTGTGCTTTAAAAACCTGAAAGTTTCAGGAGAAGTGATTACCAAGAGGGATCATCCAATTCTAAATTGCAAATAGAACAGATATTTACGTCCAGGTAAATTATCTGGCCTGAGTAGAGAGAAATGTACAAGTATTCTCATGCCAAAGAGTTTAACCAAAATTACTGAGGTAACTGCACCTGTGACCAACAACCTCGTGCAATGGCCCAGGCTGGGAGCAGCTGGCCGAGGAGCAGCACTGCAGAGAACAACCAGGGTGTGCTGGTGGACAATGAGCTGACTGTGGGTCAGCAGCTTGTCCTTGCAGTGATGAACACCAATGGCACCCAGGGTTGCACTGCCAGCGATTACTCCTCTCTGTCCAGCACTGCTGAGGGTCACACCTGGAACACTGTGTTCAGTTTGGGGTCCCCAGCATGAATGACAAAATGAAGAGGTCCAGCACAGGCTAATGAGATGGTGGGGGGGGTGATACCCAGGGCATACGAGGAGAGCCCCAGGGAGGTGGGCTTGTTAGCTGGGGATTGTCAAACATCATTCCTTCATTGTCCAACAGATGGTTCTAGAGGAGATGGTATGATACTCCTCTCGGAGGAGCACAGTGACAACATCAAAAGGGCAATTCCAGTTGGAGATACAGAAAGAAACGTTCACAAAAAGGCTGGTGAAGTCATGGGAAAGGGGGATGTCCATCCCTGGGGATTGTTCAGACTCGCCCGGAGGACATGGCCCTGAGCAACTTGCTGTAGCTCTGGCCAAGGAGTTGGACTAGAAACTCCCAGGGGTTCCTTTGGGTTGGATTGGTTCATGGTTATACACCCACACAGAGCTGGAGAGGCATTTGGAAAGAAGCTGAGCAGAGACAGCAGTAGTGGAAACAACCGATCCAAAGGGTTGCGAAGGTAAAAGCCACGGACTTGCCTCATGACAGCTCCGAAGGGCAGATTCATCCCTAGAGCTCTCAAAAAAGAGCAGTGCTCTGACAAGTACAATTCCCCTTAGCTTCTTCTTTAATATAAAATAACATTGAAGTGACACATGCCCTGCCTGTATTGCTACTCTGTGCAGTTTTCAGAAGTTGTCATGCACCTGCCAAAAAGTAACCACAGTATTTTTGAAATTTACCAAGTGAAGCAAGGATCTCCAGGGTCCTCATTGTGGGCTGGATATAAAACCAGAGTTTCTGTAGTGACAGAAGTCCCTGTCTCTGAAGATGTTCCAGCTGGGTAATTAGTATCATGTATTCCTTGATTAGAGTCCGCATAGCAGCAGCCAGAGCATGATTTACCTGTCCATACTCGAAGGAAGACTTCTCCTCTATAAATCTGTAAAAAGCAAAATGGAAACTCTTTCAGGCAAGGCACCTTCTATCATTTTCAGCAATTTTATGTTCAGGACACCGTACAAGCACACGAGTAGATCGCGTGTTGGAAAGCGCACCAGTCTTCACCTGGAGTTTCAGGCTCCACATTTGTTCTGTGCCCTCCTGCCTGTTTCCCATCACCACATTTCCTAGTACGGAAAGCTGTGGGAAGATGTTTCCTCTCAAATTACAAGGGAACTAGAATTATTTGCAAAACCACTATGTAAAATAGTGAAAACCAGGATTTTCAAGGGGATTGTCTTTGCGTAAGCAATAGATTAGAGGACAGGAAAAGATCTCCAAAGGAAGCAATGTGCACCCAGACACAGGGGGAAAGCACTGTTGCTAGCTTCTGACACCACATGCCACAGCAGGGCTTCATCTGACTAGATTTAGATGGCTCCATACATGTCAGTGGAGAGAGACAGATGCTTCTGAACACAAGGCATATCATCTGGGAGGAGACATGTAAAAGAGAGGATGAATCATATCCTAAAATGCTGCCTTCTCTTTGCTGATCTTTTAGAATCAAATGCAGACAGCCACGCAACAAACCTCTGCCGTTAGTGAGGTGTACCTTATTCTAAGGCCTTTTAACAGTTACTTAAGGTAGCTACCAGAAACTAGGCAGTAGTAGGTTCTCCTGCTCAGAAGCACACAAAGGTTGTCTCAGGACTGGATGCACAGAGGAGAGCAAAAAGCAGGAAACATGGAGAAATTCATAGCAGAGTGGGAGGAGACAAGGCAGAATAAGCAGACATATCCTATTTGCACTTTGTCTGAAGGCACCAAGACCAGGTTTGGACAAAGCAAAAGTAAGATGAATGAAGAAGTAAACTGGCAGCACAGAGGAGAACCCCAACAAAAAGAAATGTAGCTAAAACCGGTTCAAAGAAATTGTCATTCTTATTTTATATCCTCATAGGTTTAAATTAAGCTTGGAAGTTATCATCTGCACGATGACAGATTCTCTATTCTACAACCTGATGCTCAAGGGAGAACATCCTCCTCTGACAAAAGTCAGCTTGGTACCTGGTGACAGCAGAGTAACTTGCTGCTACAGGAAGAATCCTGGTCACCAGCTCTTTGATGGACAAGTCCAAGTTTGGATCAACTGAAAACGCTCGGTTCTGCCTGCCTACGAGAGACTGTGCTGTGATGTATCTTCCATCCACACCAATCAGAATGTACAGCAAGTCCTCCACAATCATGGATTCTTGTGAGGGTAACGGCAAGGTACCTGTTTTCAGAGAGAAGACAAAAAAAAAAAAAGAAGACAATCAGAACATGCCATAGCTCCCCTCCACTGAAATATTCCAGTATCAAGAAAACAGTTCAAATACAGACATCAAGAAATGCCAGCCCAGCAAAAAGTGCGAGCTGTAGGGTCTCTGAATGGTGTGGTCAATTACAGGCCAGCTACAAAGAAGCGTGAAGGACTCAACCCAAAATATAATTAAGTGCAACGGAAGATCGGGGAACAGAGTGGCCACAACACTAACGACAGCAAATCTTATCTCATGAAACAAGGCAACAATCCCTCTTCACTTGTAGGATTGTATGTGAGAGAACAGATGGTTCTGAGCTTGCTCGGAATGTACCCTCACAGCACATCCCAAAAGGCCCCAGCAGAAATGCACTGGTAGACAAGCTATTTAAGGGCAGCTCCAAGAATGAGCCTACTGTTTTCATGTCCCCTTTCGACACAGCCCAAATTCACATCAGGAAGAGGCTAGGGGTTTCTTGTAGGAGCCTCCACAGTTTTGGGGAATGGAAACATGAGGCTCCAACTCAGCTCTTCTCTTCCAAAAAAATACTTAAATCTCATTTGTGAATAAGAAAATATACACAGCTCAGCCGAAAGCTAGAATACAACACAGATTGATTAGTCCCCTGCTGCTCTGGTCAGGAGAGAGACAGAAAATCGGGGAGGTTGCTGTAGTTTTACTGGAGAGGATATTGAGCTGGGTGTCCCTTGGCAGGTATGACTACAGATTTTTCATCTGAGAATACAGACGTGTTACTCCTACAGTAGGATTTTATGGAGGTTGTGACTCAAGAGAGAAAAAAGACTGGGAAAGTCAAAACAGTTTAGATCCCATAGGTCAACAGTGGGGCTGGAATTCAGCGCAGGAGAAACACTGTGAACAACATAAGTTTGTGCTTGTTTTTTTTTTTTTTTATCCCGTTCTTCATCTGCAGAGCGCAAGGAGCCAAGTTTTGCTTTCATCCTGAGTGTGATGAAATCTGAACAGCAGTTCTGAACAAGTACAAAACGTAAAAAGTTAGTGCAATCTTCCCTGTATATCACATACCTATAGGTACCGTCGTGTCAGTGCTTAAACTGGTGCCAATTAAGAAATCACCAATCAGTGCAGGTCTCTCATACACCCAGGATGGAAAAACTGGAATGGGCTGACCAGAATTCTTCTTGTTCTGCTTATCTCGGAGGATTTTTCGTGTAAGCTCAAGAGGCTGTTGGAAAGAGTGAGAGAGAGAGAGAAAGGAGAAAAAGAGATCTTCAGAAGTCCAAGAAATTTTGAATTTTAAGCAGAAATTGATTGTAAACTGATAACTTGAGAACAGAAAGTGGAATAGCTGATGTTTCAGTAGCAGAGTGTAGGATTTGGTCTCCCAATACCATCTAGTCTATTGGTCTCAGTGCTGCAGAGGTCATTTTTTATACAGTTGGCCTTCATTTTATTGGAGGGTACATCAAATAACACCTTTCTGCACCCCTCCCCGCCAGCTGGGGTGCTAGGGCACCCAAAGGGGAGCAGAATGGGGACATGCACAACCACCAGGCAGCTTCCTAGTTTGCAAAGCACACCAGGAGCAGTAAGCAGCAACACCTTATTCAAGGGGCACTTGCAGATAGGCTAATTAACACCTCTGAACTTGGTCTCTGCACAGTGCCCACTGAGTAGCCGTGTGCCAAATGCAATCCAGATAAATCTACCCCCAGAGAGATGGAAAATGATAGAGGTTTTTGCTCTGAACAGGAATTGGCTCTTAAAGACCGAAATACTTTCCACCCCTGGCTCTGAGTCTCTGACAGTAAAATAAATGGAGCGCAAGATTAATTATCAGCTGAAGAGGCTTCTAAATTATACAACCTCTATGAACACTTAGAGCTCCAAGCACACAGTCACAGGGAACATGCTTATGAATGCCATTTCTTAAACTCCACAGATGTGTCTGTGAAATGGGATGCACACAGGGCCATTTTATTTTCCTCTCACAGGAGGTCTCAGTGGAGAGAGGAACTTGGGAAGGAAGCAAAATGTATGCGTGAGCTTTGCATCTTAAAGAATGGCAAGCAATGTCCTCAGGACAGAGAGACACCCCAAAAGCAACACTACATTCCTACTTATACCATGTGTGTGTGATCTGCTAGAAGGACCTCGACTTCCTCTGCTCCCTTAACAGAAACAGGACTCTCATAGGAGGGTATGGAGAAGGACAAATAGACAAGTAAGCTGCCAGCAATTCAAAGGATGGCTAAATTTCATGTAAAATAGCAGATCTCAGTGTGGGACCGAGTCCTTCACGCCAGTAAACAGCTTGAACCCCTTTATAAACCTTAAACACATACAGTGAGAAAATACTCCTCTACTGAAGTAGTATATAGTAGTTTACTTGCCAGTCACAATCTCGACACACAGACACTGTCTAAAAGATCAAAACGTGCACTTCCTCTGTCATCTTGAGCTCCAGGTCATTGAAGGAAGACCTGGAATGGAAGATCTCCCTGCGGCACTGGCCCTGTGCAAAATGGCTGTATGAACTGCTTAGGAGAAGGACAGCCATCATTACATCCTCCCAAATGTATGGGAGGAATGAACTGGAAGAAAAGCTCCACAAACCACAGACCTCACCATCACGACATCTCCACGAATCATGCATACTTATGAGAGAGCAGACTAAGAAAGTAACTAAGACCAAAAGCGTATGAAGCGTTGCACTAAGTATGGGAGACCATACAGCCCGACAGAGCCAGGTAAGATCTCAGCAGCACATGTACATGGATGACTACTATAAAATAGAGATAGTTCAGTAAGATGGAATATATGAAAGTTACACCTTGGAAATTCAGAGACATGAAGGAATTTCTGTCTCCAAGTGACAAAATGAAAGCAGATCATAGACTCACAGAATGTTTTGGGTTGGAAGGGACCTTTCAGGGATCATCCAGTCCAACTCCCCTGCCACAGGCAGGGACATCTTTTATTAGATCAGGTTGCTCGAAGCCCTGTCCAACCCAATGTTGAACACTTCCAGGGATGGATCATCCCATCTAAACCTACCCTCTTTCTGTTTAAAACCACTGCCCCTTGTCACATTACTACAGGTTCTGATAAAAAGTCTTACTCTGTCTTTCTTATAAGTCCTCTTTATGTATCAGAAGGCCACAGCGATGTCTCCTCAGGGCTTTCTCTTCTCCAGGTCAAACAAACCTAACTCTCTCCAGCCTCTCTCCATAGGAGAGGTGTTTCAGCCCTCAGATCACTTTTGTGGCCTCATCTAGGCCTGCTCCAACAGGTCCATGTCTTTCTTGCACTGGGGACCCCAGAGCTGGACCCAGCACTGCAGGGAGGGGTCTCACTAGAGAGGGCTAGAGGGGGAGAATCCCCTCCCTCGACCTGCTGGCCACACTTCTTGTGGTGCAGCCCAGGATACGCTTGGCCTTCTGGGCTGTGAGCGCACACTGCTGGCTCGTGTCCGATTTTTTTTTTCACCGGTAGCCTCAAGACCTTCTCCACAGGGCTGTTCTTCATCCCTTCATCCCCGAGACTGTACTGATAGCAGGGATTGCCCTGACCCAGGTGCAGGACCTTGCATTTGGCCTTGCTGGCCATCACGAGGTCCACATGGGCCCACTCCTCCAGCCTGTCCAGGTCCCTCTGGATGGCATCCCTGCCCTGCAGCGTGTCACCGCACCACTCAGCTCGGTGTCACCTGCAAACTTGCTGAGGGGGCACTCAGTGGCACTGGATATGTCACTGATGAAGATATTAAATAGTATTGGTCCCAATACAGGCCCTTAGAGGACACCATTCGTTACTGGCTTCCATTTGGACACTGAGCATTGACTCCTTGATGCAGCCATCCAGCCAATTCCTTATCCATCTAGTAGCCTCCTTTCCTTCTTGGCCCTGGAAAAGACCTATTTTAAAACTCCCTACTTCCATACTACAAAAGAATAAGCCAGATAGCTCCCAGTGCCTGAGAGAAGTCCCTGAAATGAGATGAGCTCATGGCACTGTGAGGGAGCATGCTGGCACCTCTGTCCCTGTGAGCTCACAGCCTATGGGCTGGGGCATGCCTGCAGTAAGGGTGTGGGCTGTGGCATCTGTCCCTAATAAAAAGGCAGGGACTGAGGCCTATTCCTCATAGTGATCGTGACAAGGAGCAGCCAGAACTCCTGAAACAAATGCAGAACCTCCTTCATCGAGGGGCTGGTTCTTCTTCACTTGTGATTCTCTGGGATGACAAGAGGCAGGGAGCTTCTGTTGAAGTTGAACCAGCTCCAGCATGAATTTGTTAACAGGTGGGGTTCAAAAAAGTTGACGCCGTTTTGGCTATAAAAGACACATCTATATGAAAGGGAACACGTTAACTTCTATCACCTTGATGATTCTTGGGACAAAACTGGTCTAAGCAGCAGCTCCAACCACTGAAAGGTCACTGAACGATCTCTCTGACAGTGCCAAGTAATCACAGGGCAGATGGCACAACACTTGTGGCACCGGTGCCAAAGCATGTATCTCAGGGGCATGAATCACCTCTCTGCAACTTAAAATTTAAATCATTGTCATTACAGGCTTCAATGACAGCCTGGATAAAACACCCAGGACGGAAAACGTGGCCCTCAGGTGTAAGCCTGGCACTTAAAAGCCCACCAGACCTAGTGGCAGTCTGCATGACTGTCATGCTGATGAACCTGCATCTGGTATCTTAAGCAATGACAGTGCTCAAATCCACCAAGGTAGAGAAAGAACTCATCTTTGAGCTCAGTGAATGCCAACTGCACCCAAAGGGCTCCCTGCACTACAGCCCTGGTGCCAGGGAAGATGGGCAGCACTAGGCATACATGACCAAGGAGTGGTGGGGGCAGCTGGGCTTTGCTGGGTCTGGCCAACAGAAGGTCGAAGAGCAGCCTGAAACTACAGGAAGGACAGGTACCAAGACGACGGGTGAAGCCAAGCTCCTCTCAGCAGTGGCAGGAGGTTCAGGTGCCCGTGGACACAAACTGCCCCTTGGGATACTGAGATCAGGCACGAAGAGACACTTCTTCCCACAGAGAGGGACTAGCCATGGGATGGGTCAGTAGGGTGGTGGGGTATCTCCCTCCTGGGGGGCTGTAGGACTCAGAGGGACAAAATGACAGCTGCCCTGATCTAGTGCAGGTAACAGTGTAGTCAGCCTGTAAGAGAGGCTGGACCGGACAATCCCAGTGTTTCCTCCCACCAGTGCCACAACCAATCTGTGGAAACACTGGCAGCTATCCTCCGTGCCCGGTGAATGAAGATGGTGCCATGAAGATCACAAAGAGAGTTGCTTGAGTGAGACCCTCATGTCCATTAATGCAGCGCGAAGGATCACTCCAGGGCTTATGCCAGCGCACTACCTCACTTCTAGAAGAGAGGTGGAGAAATAAAACAATTGCAATTATTATGACTACTTGACAGCCCTCTTGGGAAGTGGCTCTAGCAGAAACTCAGGGTCAAGAGATTTCAGCTGTGTGTGTTGATACAGCCCTACCAACTCAATGGCCCTGAGCATCTGCCCATCAGGGTCTTTTAGCAAAGTTTCATCTCTTGAAGTCTGAACAAAGTATAAATGGAGCAGCAGGGACACACAAATCTTTTTAATTGGCTTTGCATTGCCATTTCAGTTCCTTTGGTTGTGAACTGCACATCCCAGAGAACACCACGTTCTTTCCTCTTTTAGTGAGTCTACATGTAAATCCTGTTAAAAAGATCAGTTATCTTACTAGAAATTCATCTTCCCTTCATGATCCGAATCGACCATTTGACTCGGATCATCTGTGAGGATTTGGATGAGTCAGGCATGTATTTCAGTCTGTGCAGACACACATTTCATAGCGTATGCAGAACAAGACTGGTTTCATTGCTGTCAGACAGAGGGAGGGGCTTGGACTCCCTCTGTTTAGGATTTGAATTCTCCATCACCACATGCACGTATGGCCCTTCAAGCTGAGAGGCCCGTTGGGTGTCCTGTAACACTGGATGTGGAGAGTCCAACCCTCTAGCCATCGATGGCCTGAAGTGATCTGACCACCACAGCAAGCTCCCCATTTGGTGGCAGATGCATCAGCACCTTCACCAGGGCCAGGAGGGTGTTCCCTGGAAGGTGTTAGCTCTGCTCAGCCACTGCCACAGGAAGATCTTCACAGACTGAAGAAGTAACTGCACATCTGCTGAAGAGTCAGCACGGGCAATAAACCATTTACAGCCACAGCTAGAGAGCTCAACAGCAAAGGCTGGTAGGACACATCGTGAAAGTGAATGCTGCTGCGTGGCCAAGACGGCGAGGAGCTGAGTGAAGCACTCACCTCACCAATGCAGACAGGCCCCGTGTGCTAACAAGACACAGCTATGCCTCCGCTGACCCAGGGCGCAGGACTGCCACCACAGGGACCGCAGACGGAAACGACCCCAGCGTGTGATTTCTGAGCATCCTCAGAAACAGTCACATTCAGAGCCTGCTGGCTCGTCCCCTCTTAGATTTTACTGATCAGCCATCAGAAGGCAGAAACCAACCTCTGGGACAAAGGTAAGCTGCAAAATTTTACACGGAGGCATTTGCACATATTGTCCACTTGCTCACTCACCACATGTCTGAGCACCTTTTCTTCTTCCCCTCCTCCCCACTTACCACTCTTTCATCTCTGTCCAAATAACTGTCCACACAGAGCTGCTCCTGTGCCTTCTGCACCCAAAATGCCCTCATCTCAACCCACAAGCTTTTCATCGTGTTTTTCTCCCCTCTGTCCTGTTGAGCAGGGGGAGTGATAGAGTGGCTAGCCAAGGTCAACCCATCACAGTATAGCCATTTATTTATACCAATGATGATAGGAAATAGAAGTTGGGACTCAGGCAATAATCGCCCTTTTGCACTTCCTACCTCCCAGCCTAACGATAATGAAACACTTGTTTAACTGTTTTCTAAGCCTGTGTCTTGCAATGATACAGTTTACCTCTACAGCAGACTTTTTTTCTTCCTTTTTGTCTTTAGGATCACTTTGCAGCACTTATTTCAGGAGCTCAATCAGCTAAGTAGAGGGAACGGCTGTGTCCTCTCGGGGAATGATTACATGAGGCATCGTACCCATGCTACCTGAGAGCACAGAACTCCAAGCAAGGATGGGGACGCACCACAACGGCTGCTGAGCTCCTGAGCAAGCACTGACAAAAGGAAACATCAGCTTGAAAAGGGAAAAGGAAATTACATAAACCCCCGCCAGCCAGAACTGTCGTGGCCTAAACTTGACTTTAAACAGAAAAAGGTCACTTTTGTTAAGAACAGCACAAAGATTTAATATAATCTGACTAATAAATGTTGAAGGACAATTTGGATTATCTGCATGAATAGGAACCTTTACAGTTCCACTCGATGATAAAAGAGCACAGCTATACACATGAGCAGAAAGGAAGGACTTTGTACCCAAAGCTTGGGAAGAGACAGTACCTGCTGTACGCTGGAGTTGGCTGTGACACTGCCCAGCTGCTTGCGCAGCTCCTCGAGCTCCTGGAGAGATATCTTGGAAGTAGATGAGGGAATGGAAAAATTCGTGCTGCCACTGGCTGCCGCGTTTGCTGTAAGCTCTGCCCTTTCTTTAGCATTTTGTTGCAAATACTGGAGTGTCTGTACATACACAAAGAATGAGATGAATATGTGGACGCTGGTCAGCACACACTAAAGCAAAAACATATGACCATAAGACTGTTGTGCTGAATCAGACCACAGGTCTTCCTGTCCCAGGTTCATGTGTCTTAGTGGTTTATATCAAGAGGAGTGTAATTCTCAGTAGCGCTTTAATAATTAAGTAAACACCAGAACTGGTTATCTGTTGATTTCAATGCATGTCGCCAAACACTGTCATCAGAAAGCATGCTGTACTTAACATCATTGCATTGTTGCTACTGCTGAATACTTGTAACCCATCCAGTTCTAAAGGAGACACAAACCTCTTTGTCTTCTGTGAGTTTTGACAGTAGATAAACTAAAGAATCTAGATGTCTTGTATTTTTAGACTTCAGCTCATCATACTTCTTTAAAAAATCTTCAGGAGTCCGAGAAAACTCTGCTATTTTTACCTGTAAAACACCACATTAATATTAAATATTTCATGTTTATTATCACAGCGTTCAAAAGAGGAGCACTGTGCAAGGATGGAGACACGGTGCAGGCTGCTGCTGCCGTCAAAGTACCCCAAGTATGCCAAACCCAGGGACTGGGTTTTGGACTGAATGCTGCAGCCTTGGTCTCCTACTAATGATTACGCTGGAGGAGAGCGGGGACCCTGGCACTTCAGGTGATGCGGAAGGGACTGCAGGAGAGAAAAAAATGAAAGGAAGCACAGGATGTGAAGCTCAGCGCTCAGTGTGAAGCAATATAATTTTGTATCAGCAGGTTTATTAAGGGATTTGGCATTGATGAAGCCACATGTGGACACTGGGTCCACTCCAGGGGCCCCAATAGCAAGAGAGACAACAACGAACTGGACTGAGCGCGGTACAGAGCCATGGAGATGGTGGGGCATACTGCCCACTGCCCAAAGGGGTTACAGACCCTGCTCCGAGGGCCACAGCAAAAGCACCACAGGCACTGCCCCGAACTGTGACACAGAAAATCCCCGCTAGCCCAGGGAAACAGCCGTTTCTGCAGAGAGTGGTGAGCCTGGGACACAGCCAGGGCAATGGAGGAATCTCCTGGAGAACTTTAAAACACAGCTGTGCAGTCTGTTGTCGCCGCGATGCTGGCCCTGCTGCGAACAAGGGCTGGACTGCAGGTCTCCACCCTGCGCCTCCTGCCTAAATCTTTCTATGAGTCTGTGAACCGTAGCTGTTCAGTGTAAATGATGCGCAAGACTGGAATTAGAGAAAATATGCAGTTCAGGCTACAAAGATCTGAACTTTCAGACAGAGTTAGCAAATTCCTAGCATTTGCAGCTTGAGCCGATGAATCGCTTTTTAAAATTACAATAAAAAGCAGTATTATGGCCACAGAAGTATGCCTGGTCACGCGGGTGTCAGACTCTAATCCCTAATACCTGATCGATACTCAGAAAAGAAGTCAGATATTGTTCAAATAACTGCGTTTCATACACTTACTATTTCTCATTGCCCCACCTTCAGAGGACAACCCCTGTAATTAAAATCTGAAACGAGCATCACAGGCACAAAATAAGCTCCCTTCTTTGAACTCCAGCCTCCCCCCTCAGTCCTAAAAAACTTTCTCATGTTCTCCCACTGATCCCTCCAAGATGCAAGGGTTTTACCTTTTTCCTGATATATTTCTACTTTATACCCAAAATTGAGATACCAGATCAGTTACCCCAATTTTTTTACCAATGTCAACATGATTTCACCGTTATTCTCAGAAAAACTTGGGACAGCCATTACCTCTCCCAACACGCACCCAGCTCCGCACCCACAGAAGTCAAGTTATCTCACAGACGAGTAGAGGAAGGACAAGGTAGTTTCCGACACTGGCCAAGAGAACTCGCGCTGAGGAACGTTTGTCTTGAATTTCTCCTTGGGGAGGACTGAGCTCTCGGAGCTGACGGAACCTCTGTCGACAGCCACAAAGGAAGCACACCGCCTCAGGAGTCCTGCCAGCCCTCCCGCGGGGTCTGAAACGCACCTCCGCCCCGATCACGTTACGACAGCGCTTACCTTCGCGCTGTGAGCCGAGACGGTCGTGGTAACGTAAGGGGTCCGGTTCTTCTGCAGAAGATCGATGTAGACTTCAGCTCCTTCCCCGCCGTGCACGCGCAGCAGGCTGAGCAGCTCATTGACATCGTGGTGAATGCGGAACTCACTCATGCTCCCACCGGAGGCTACAAGCTCCGCGGGATGCAGGAACAAAGGCGGCAAGTTATTATTGGACTCCTGAAAATGAAAACATGCCTGCGCAAACAACATGTCCTGACTATGTTATGAGCCCGCAGGGTATGCTAAAATGCTTGACTGGAACAAAGAAATGGGAGGAAGCAAGCAAAACAGAGATACTCGTTATCGTGCCTGATTTAACTCTACCGGTATGAACCCCACCGTAAACACAGGTGAGCCAGCAGAGAATTTTTCAATCTCAAAATCACACTGGCGGTCAAAGTTACTGAGATGTCGTAAGAAGTGCTGGCTTGTGTACTGAGAGACTGCAGACACTGCTGAAACTGCTGGCTTCAGCAGCGGGACCATGCTGCTGCTTCTGAAGTTATTCAAAAGCAGTTCTTCCAAGTTTAGGGGGCACTGTATTCTACTGTCCATTTTATTAACAGAGAAGCACCAAATTCCGCAAAGTTACTTGCATTACGGCTGCAGAATTAAGAGTCTGATGGAGGCATTGTGCAAGGACAGAGTTTAATGTGAATATCAAGCATACGGACACACTTTTGTTTTGCCAAAGTCACTGAATAATTCAGGCTGGAACACATCTCTGCAAAGCTCGGTCCAACTCTCCACCCAGAACTGAGTCAAATTAGCGCAGGCTGTGCAGCGCCTTGTCCAGTCCAAGCTTAAATATCTCTAAAGATCCACATTCCCCCCATCACTTGGGGCCCGGATCCTCCTAGGGAAAAACACCTTCTCTAATCTCCAACCGCGATTTCCTGTGGTGCAGCTTACACCAACGCTTCTGGGGGTCTCACTGTGCCCCTGAGAGCAGAGTCTGGCCCCAGCGCCTCCGGGACCCCTTTGGGCAGGGGGAGATGCCGCTGGGTCCCCCTTTGCCTCCCCACCCCCGGCTAAGCAAGCCTCGGGTGCACGGCCTTGCCAAAAGCCGTCTCTCCTCTCGCCCTTGGCCCCCCCGAGGACACATCAAACCTCGCCTGCCCCCGCACCCGACGGCGGGGAGGGGGGATGTCAAGAACGTGAGGAACGAGGAGAGGCTGGGGGAGCTGGGCTTGCTCAGCTGGAAACAAGGAGGCGAAGGGGGGGGTGATGCAGCAGCATCTCCCCCTGCCCAACGGGGCGCCGGGGCCGGGCGCTGCTCGGCGGGAGGGAGGGAGGGGAGGGAGGGAGCCCCGGGGGCACCGGCACAAGCCGCAGCGCGGGGAACCCCAAAGAAACAGCCCGTCCCCGTGCGAGCGGGGCGACCCCGGGACGGGGCCCTGAGGGGTGAGGGATGCCCCGACGCGGCCCCCAGCGACCCGCCGCAGCTGCGCCTGACGGGGAGCGCGGCCGGAGCGTGTGTCCCCCCCCTCCCCTCCCCTCCCCCGGGTGCCGCGGTGGGTCTCTCCGCTTCCCTCCCACAGCGGGGGGTAGCGGGGGATGTGGGGGGGTGTCCCCGTTTCGCCCCGTTCCCGTCCCCGTTCCCCCCGTTCCCGCCGCCCCTACCTGCCCGCCCGGAAGCGCCGCCACCGGAAAGCGCGCCCCGCGCATGCGCGCTTCTCCTTCCCTCCCCCCCCCCCCCCCCCCCCCCACGCCGCCATGTTGCGGGTCCCCCGCCATGCTGCCGCTGCCGCCCGGGCTGCGCCGCCGCCTCCGGGAGGGGCCGGTCCCCACCGCTCCCTCCCCGCTCCCGCCGACCCCCCGACCCCCTTCGCCCCCCTTCGCTTTCGTCCCCCGCCGCCTCCGCCTCGGCCCCCACCACCCGCTCTTGGAGGTGAGGGGCAGCATCCTCCACCCCGGGTTCCGTCAGCGCGGGAGGGACGGGGGGGGGGGGGGCACCGGCCGTGCGCCCCCCCAAAACCCCGGTACTCCGGTGCCGCCTGGCCCCCGTGGGTCGGCTCTGGTGGGGGGGGGGGTGCTGCCCGCCCACCACGGCCTCTTTCTCCTCCTCTCCTAGGACGGGGACGTCCACAGGCACCTCTACCTCCAGGGCATCCTCAGCAGCCTCGCCGAGGCGGCCGAGAGCCCCAGGTGAGCCAGGCAGGGGAAACCCCGAAAATTGGTATTTTTGCCACGCAGCCAGGGGGGTGTTTAAACGCTGCCCGCTTGCTGGATGCGACCGCCTTTCACTGAGCGCTCCCCACAAGCGCATCTGTGATACAGCTGAAAACTCGGATTGTACCTAAACGAGCGGGTTTCAGCCGCAGGCGGTTATTTTCCCAGTCAAAACTGGGAGAGCTGTGTGGGACAGGCAGCCCCCATTAGGAAGGCTGGGAGAGAATCTTCGTCGTGCTTTAAAACCTGCTCTTGGGTATAAAATCGGGGAAGCACTTTGAGAACTGCCTGCTAAACAACGTTGGCACAAAGTTTTAATCCACAGCGGCAACTTCCAAGGTCCGACAGTTTTATTTCTTATGTTGCTGCTTGTTTATTCTTAAATGAAGCACCACTTCACAGGGCAATAATATAGGTGATGCTCAAGCTGTAATGGCAAATACAGAGTTCCCAACTCCCAGCACCATCGTAATCTTCATTCCATTGCACCTTGCATTTAGTTTAAGTTTTATTCACAAAAAATGCCACGAGTAAATAAAGTCATCTGGAGGCACGGATGCAGCTTAAGTTAAGGCTCTAATTTAATTTAAGGCATGGATGTCCTAATTTCCCTGCAGGGTGTCTGAATTCAGTTGCCACATCTCTGGGTGCTGCCAGGTCTTTGATACGCTGGAGGGTTACGAGCACCACTACAACACGCTGCACAGGAACGTCTGCTCCTACTGCAAGCGCTCCTTTCCGTCGGGGCACCTCTTGGATATTCACATCTTGGAGTGGCACGACTCGCTCTTCCAGATAATGGCTGAGAAGCAAAACATGGTGAGTCGCTGTGCCCAGCCTGTTGCTCGTGGCTGGTGTGCACGTCCTGGGCTGGCACCCTTAGAGACTGTTTGGGGAGGGCAACTGTGTCCCCAGCTGACACCGCTTGCCTTTTCCAATTAAGTCTGTTTTGTTTTTTTTGTTTTGTTTTGTTTTTTTTCCCCCCCTGCCTTTCAGTACAAGTGCTTGGTAGAAGGATGTGCAGAGAAGTTGAAGAGCAGCAAGGACAGAAAGGATCACATGGTCACTGTTCACCTTTATCCTGCTGACTTTCGGTTTGATAGGCCGAAGAAAGTAAAAAGGTAACTGCAGAACAGCGACAGCACAACTGTTTTTCCCCTGCAGTGGTGATGTTGTGCTTCTCTGCTGTTGCATTCCCTTTCCAGAATAAGCAAATTTATATCCCAAGTAGCTCAGAAATTATGTTTTCTGCTGCTTGTAAGAGCAGGTAAACTTGCAAGCCTTTCTGTGGCAATGTTTTACTTAATGTTGTAGTGTGTCTTCTTTTTCTCTGCCTGCGTGGCTCCAGGCTCTGCTCCCTTTGTGCCATCTCAAGCGTAAGCGCAAAGCCCAGCATCTCTCCGCGTCGCTTTGTGCACGTTTCCTGCTTTACTCTCCAACCCTTTGCAATATTCCAGTTCCCTAAAAGCACAAGTAAAGCAAAGGGAAGCTTTGTAAGTTTGGCGAACGGCTTGCTCAGCGGGACGGTGATTTCAAGCACTGCTTTCACCACAGGGATTAATACAAGGACTGTTGTTGTTTAACACCTTCCTCAGAGGCTGGGTGATGGGCTGCAGAGACAATTTCTTGCCTGGCAGGACGGTGTGGCCCCGAGATGGGTCAGGGCTGTGGAGTCTTTCAAAGCTTGCTTGGGTAGCCTGCTGTGAACCCTCTAGTCCAACCCGTCAGGCCCACTGAACGAGTTACGCTTTATGGACTGAAGAAAAGAACTCGGGGACAAAGCTGTGTGCTACAGTGCAGCAACCCTGAAGACTTCAGCAGAACCTCGTACAAGCCTATCACGCAGCTCTCCAGCAGCCTTTGGCCGCTCCCAGCCGTTTGTGCACCCACCCAGCTTGGACTTCACCTGTTTCGTCGTGAAATACCTTTCATTTTCTCTGCTCTGCGCTTACGTGTGGCAGCTGCTGAGAAAAGGATATCAAATTTTGTCTTTGCAGTGGCCCCAAGCACGTGAGCTCTCCCACGAAGCAGGGTGCCAGCGTGCCGATGGACGTGAGCGTGGAGACGTCGGAGCAATGCCAGGTGGACCTGATGGAAATAGGGCCCAGTGAGGACATGGAGATCCCTCAGCCTGCGGCCAGCCCCGGTCTCTCGGTGCCAGAGAAACGACTCTATAAATCCAGGTCTGTACTGTTGGCCTCCACAGGCAAAAATTCCTGGGGCAGGGAGCACCATAATTGCATTTTGCAGTGCCTCGCGCAGCATGGCTCAGGGTGTTTCTGCGTTGAAGGTGAAAGAGGTGGGATTTCCACGTATGTTTTAAAAGCCATTTTTAAAAGAGGAAAGCGTAAGGAAGGACATGGTGTGTACACGCTGTGAAAGCTGTGTCCCCTAGTTTCTGTTAGTCTTTCCACCTGTGATCTCTTCCCAGAGTATTGCGGAATGGCGTTGGTCTGAAGGGTAAGAACTCTGTCTTGAAATACTCAAACAAGTCTCGTTCCTGCTTTGGAACACTTTCCCCATCCCAGCTGGCTCGGGGCTGAACTGGTGCACTTCGCTGGAGCTGTCTGTGCTCCCGTGCAGTCGCAGGACAAGGGACAAATAAAGCAGGTGAACATCCTGCTCTTGAATTTTAGGTTTTGCAAGGCCAGCGCAGCATTGCTGGTTTTTCTGTTTGCATGTTTGGTTGGTTGGTTTTTTAATCTTTACAAAAAGCTGAAACTGAATTGCTTAAAGCTGGCTTGACTTTTGAAATCCCCCTCGTTGTGTGCTGTAAAGCCTCTATGAGATACAAGGAAGCCATCAAAAGGTCACCACCCTCCTCCTAGGACCCAGATCAGTGTCGTTTTATTCATCTTTTTCAACGTCTCTAGGCATAATGGTTAATACAGTTTTGCCTGAACTATTCTGGTTGGCAAAGGGATTGTTGTGGTTCCAGTTTGCCCCCACTGTGACGCGCTGGCAGTCTGGAAGCAGCACTGAGAGCCCCCGGCTGTGCTGGAGTGCCGTGGGGAAACCTGCCCCTGTCCTCAGCTCCCTCCCGAGGCTCTGCCTCTGTAAAACGCCGTGAGCCGTGCTGTTTCAGGGCTTTCTGACGAGCTGTGGAGTCTGAAAGCGCTCACAACACGCTGCAGCCAGCCGGGTCCGCTTTTACATGGCGTGGTTTGCCTGATTAAAATCCTGTCCCTGAGCAGCTGCCACGGTGGCATTTTAAACTTCGCTGCTTTGTCCAGCCTAGCAGCTTATAAACCAGAAAGAAACCGTCCCTTGGGCTCGATGTGGCGCTGCAGGTCAGAGGGAGAATTCGGTGCTGAAATGAAAGGTCACGCTTTTACTGCTGCTGCTCTCCTGCTCTTCACAGTCACGTGCTTCCGCAAAAAACCAACTGCCCAAAGGCATACTACATTTTGTAACACCTTACGCCCGATTGTAAAGAGAGGAGAGGCCTCCAGAACTTAAACGAAATGTGCAGAATAAACGGGAAAGCGGACCAGTATTTCACTCGTTGTTTTGAATTACACTTTGATGTCCTGCTCCTACGATACCTTGCTCTTCCCACTGTGGGAGCTTGAAATGCTACACAAGGCGTGAAGTGTCTCGGTGATCCTGCGAGAGGTGGGGTGATAATGTATATTAAAGGCTGTCTCCCTTTCCAGGATCCCGTCCACCATTTGCTTTGGACAAGGTGCCACTCGAGGATTTAAAGGACCAAGGAAGAAAGTCTGAAGGTCAACAACGCAGCGGTTCTGTGCAAGAGGTGAAGGCACCAGCTGCTGCCACCTGCAAACGTTAGCGGTGGCACTGGGGATATTTGCAGTTGTGTGTGAGGGTCTCACTCCATACAGGGAAGGCAGAAGGGCAAAAATGGGGATAGTGCAGCAGCAGCAGCTTGGGATACATCAACACCTTGGGAGGTGCTTTGCTGCAGCCCTTTCATGTCTCTGTACCACCTTCCTTCCTCGGGCAGCATTCCAGAGCTGACCTGTGTTTATATTTATCCTTCCTGAAACACAACACTCTCTTCTCTCATCCCCTCTGAAATCAAACTACAAATAAATTCACGTGCCTTTCTGCTGTGAGTTTTTATGCCTCATCAGTGCCAGGACTGCTCTGGGCAGCAGTGGCTTTCTAGACAGAGGGTTGCATCTTGCCTGAGCTTGCAAATGGCAAATGCTGTTCTGAAACTCCAGGCAGCTGTGGGGATCGCCCAGGCTTTGTGAAAAACTTGCAAGGAGTTGCTGCCAAAAAAGCAGCAGGGATAACACTGATCAAAATACACCGTGTCCCCTCTTGCTGCAGGGAGCCCTGCACCCCCAAAGCCTCCTCCTCTGGCGTGCAGGCGAGATGTCACCATTCCCTGCCAGGCCTGCTTGTACAGGGGGAAATCAAAATCCCAAGGAAGAACAGTGTAGATTGCAGCAATTAATTATGTTAATTCTTTCATTTTCTCACAGTGTTTTTAAGAACTCCCAGCGAGGAAGGCCCTTGAGACAGCACACAGAGGCGGGGAGGGTTGAACCCCACACCAGTTGCTTGCAGGAAGAGTCTCAGACTGCAGCAGAATGCTGTGCTGTGGAGGTGAGAGGAGATCAGCTGCTGGAGCTGAGACTACGCGGGATTATTTTTTTGATTTCTTGCCTTTTAGGAGAAAAAAATAGATTCGAGCAATTCCAAGACAAAATCTACTGACTGTATGGAAGCTGGAACCACTGACAAAAAATAGAAAACAGAAGAAAAAGCACTGGTCCTTAATTCTGACCTTCTCCACCTCACTGAAGTCGGCTCCCCACTCCCTGGTGCTCGCTCTGGAACCCACGCAAAAGGTTTGCCTGGGCCAGGAAAAGTGTTCTGGTGCCTTGCAGTCCATTTCCACAGGGAGTTAAAATAAAGTGACTTCCAACTAAGTGAATAAATAAAAGGAATTTTTACAAAATCGCTTCGTAGAGAATTAAAATGCCATTTGGACAGTCAGACGTGAAGAAGGAACCTCCCTTTGCTCCAAATACCCCCCAAATCAGGTTGAGGTTATTTTCCCTCTCTTCTTTCCCTATTAACCTCATCCTGCCAGAAGAAAAGGTTGTTTGGAAACACAGAGCCGGGTTCGGTGTGCTGCTGCCAGATCTCGGGGCCCTATTGAACTGTGACACTTCTTACAAAATTGTGCGTAAAGGGAAAGAAAAAGGTTGCTGAAATGGCATTTGTCCAAGAAGCTTAGGATCTGTAATTGCTTTTTTTCCTCTTCCCCCTTTCTGGGAGGAACAAAGGATGAAAACGGCTTTGAAAAATCCTTGCGAATAGGAGCAGGGAAATGTTGCTTGCAGAGACACAGGGGTTTTCCCTGTGAGTTTTAAAATGCTTCACACTGTTTAAAACTCAGCTGGTTTGTCCAGCCTTAATCCTTGCTCCTGGGCCTCTGGAGAGAGCCGTCTCCCTCCGGCAGGCCAACCCTCCTGCCAGGATGGCTGCTGCCAGAGGAGAGCTGGTAGCCCCGGGAGAGGCCACTGGCAGCAGGGCAGGCACTGGGAGGGGAGGGATGGAAGGATGGATGGATGGATGGAAGGAGAGAGGATGGAGGGATGAAGGGAAGGAGGGAGGGATGAAGGGAGAGAGGATGGGAGGGGAGGAGGGAGAGACAGGATGGAAGGGTGGAGGGAGAGAGGAGGGAAGGAGAGAGGGATGGAGGGAGAGAGGATGGAAGGAGGGAGGGGAGGAGGGAGAGAGGATGGAGGGAGAGAGGAGGGAAGGAGAGAGGGATGAAGGGAGAGAGGATGGAAGGAGGGAAGGGAGGAGGGAGAGAGGATGGAGGGAGACAGGATGGAAGGATGGAGGGAGAGAGGAGGGAAGGAGGGAGGGGAGGAGGGAGAGAGGATGGAGGGAGAGAGGAGGGAAGGAGAGAGGGATGAAGGGAGAGAGGATGGAAGGAGGGAGGGGAGGAGGGAGAGAGGATGGAGGGAGAGAGGAGGGAAGGAGAGAGGGATGGAGGGAGAGAGGATGGAGAAAGGTCCAGGTGGAGAAGGGGAGGGAGGGGAGCAGCTGGCCAGGGCACAGAGCCTCCAACAGAGCTGCCCCAGGCACGCACCCGTGTGCACTCCCCCCCCACTCACCAAATAGCAGCAGTCCCCTTGCATGCCGACCCCTCACCCCCCCCCCCCCAAAAGCCCGATCCGTGCATAAGGATTCCAGCATCTGGGTGCGTGGCGGGGCTGCACGCGTCCAGGGGTGAGGGAGGGGAGGAGATAACCCCCACGCCCCGTTTCTCCCCAACAGCACCACCCAGGACGCGTGGGCACGGCCCACCCTGCGCACGGCCGCGCCCGCCGGCGGGCAAAGTGCGGGGCAAAGGCCCCGGGCGGCCCCACGGAAAGCAGCCATGGGGTGGTATGTCCCTGCCCGGCCCCAACGGGCAGCACCGTGGGGCACGGGGAGTGGGGTGGGGTGTCAGGGGTGGGTGCTGGGGCGGGGGGGGGGGTGTTGGGGTGTCAGGCACCGGCCACCCCAGTTATGGCCACCGTGGTTTCTCTGCCATCTCCCTGCCAGCCCGGCAGCCGCGCCGCTCTGCGGCATCACCGTCCTGCTGGGCGCTGCCCTCCTCCTCTCTGCACCCGCAGGCACCCAGGTGAGCCCCCCCACCCCCCCACCCCACCCCACGATGAGCAGGCACATGGGGACGGACCCATGTGTGATCCGTGCCACCCCAGCACCCTGCTCTCTCCCTGCAGGCTCCAAGCCACAGTGGGCGGAAGGACCCGGCTGCAGAGCAGGATTTGGCCGAGGAAATGTAAGACGCACCCGCATCTGGCTTGCAAAAACCAACAAAGCAACACCCCAAATTGTAAAGCGTTTTGGGGTGGGGGGGAATAAATTTCCTTCGTTGCTTTGTGTGTGTGTGTGTCCCCAAAATTAAGGGGGTCCCAGCTCCATTTTTTTCCCCTAAATCACCCAAACTCTCCAAGCATCGAGCCCTGGCTGGCTTCCATTTGCCAGTGGTGGTGGGGAGCCACAGGTACTGCGGCACCGATGTCCCCGTCCCACCCAGCCCCTTCATGGGATAAGCAGCTAAATCAGCCCCGTTGCTCCCCGAGATCGTAATTACAGCTTCCTGGAGTGGGGGTGTCTCACCAGCGTCCCTGCACCCTGATAGGGTGGGATTCCCTTGGGGCAGGGTGGGGGATATTTAGTAACCCTGTGACCTTTCCTGGCTGGTTTTGCGCCCCGTTTCCAGCATCCTGGGCCTACGAGCCGTGGAGCCGCCGGAGGAGGGCGAGATCTCCGATGAGGTGGAACCAGGTGTAAAGGTCTTCTCCAGCAGTGCCTGGGCTCGCCAAGCCCAGGCGGGACCAGAGGAGGACCGCGACCACCTCTACCACCCCCAGGACAATGCCAGGGAGGCCGATGCCCACAGGCCGCTCCGGACGCTGTCTCTGGAGGTGCAGAGAGGCCCGAATGAAGATCGTGACCATATCCACCACGGCTGAGCGGAGATGTGCCCGGGCTGAAAAATGAGGGGTAGGAGCCAGCCCTGGGGTTTCCCGAGGGGACTCATCCCTCCCTCCCCGCCCCTGAGCCTCTGCAATAAACCCATTCCCCCCTCCACGTCCTGGTGGGCTCTTCATTGCTGCAAGAAACCTATTGCTAAGTGCAGAGCCCCCAAATCTGGGGGATCCCTCCCCTTCCTCGGGCTCGCCCCGAGACCCCAAGGAGGGTGAGAGTATGATGCCGCAGAGTGGGGAGCTCGGCCCATCACCGTGGCCTCGGTTCAGCCCAGGGGGGGGCTGAGGCCAAGCAAACTCAGCACATCGGTGTTGCACCCAAGGAGATGCCACAGGCTGTCTCCTCCCCAGTGGGACACACGGACCTATTGCTCCCTGCTCTTGCCCAGCCCAGCATCGGAGAGCAGCGTGATGGAGCAGGGGTGGGTCTCGGTGAACCCCAACAGTTCCCAGCTCAGGGGGGACCCCACAGCAAGGACGTCCCATCTCCCGGCAGCGCCAAAAAAACCTTTTAATAGCGATGGCAAAGGTGGTCCCTGCTGCTGGTTATCTCACTCCAGGCAAGTGTAGCTCGCCGCCAGGTCCTGGACCCGCCCCCCCCCCCCCCCCTCCACGGGGTGACGCGGGGGGCTGTGGGGACCTGCACCACCTCGGGGATCAGCTGTCGGTGAAGTTCGCCTTGCGCTTCTCCACGAACGCCGTCATCCCCTCCTTGCGGTCTCCCTGCGGGAAGCAGAGAGGTGAGATTGGGGCGGGGAGAGGGGGTTGCAGCAGCCCTGCTGTACCTCCTGCATAACAGGGTCGACCCCCCCCCCCTTACTCACGGTGGCAAAGGTGGCATAAAAAAGCCGCTTCTCCGTCCTGGCCCCCTCAGTCAGCGTCGTCTCGAAGGCTGAAAGGGAAAAGTTGGGGAGACCCCCAGGCTTGGGCCCCGCAGCCTCCCCCGTGGGGGTGCTCCCAGCTGGACCCCTCCTACCAGCGTTGACCGACTCCTTCGCCATGGCGGCCACCAGCTTGGAGTTGCTGGCGATCTTCTCGGCGCAGGCAATGGCTGCGTCCAGCAGCTTCTCCACGGGGAAGACCTTGCTGACCAAACCTAGGATGGACGGACGGACGGACAGACGGTGGGAGGTGGCAGGGCAGGGGGGGAAGGTCTCCCCGCTGGAACCCCCGGAGTGTCGGGGCTGGTGCACGCCCCTACCTGCCTCCTTCGCCTCCGCTGCCGAAATCCGGTCCCCGGTTAGAACCATCTCCATTGCCAGCGACTTCCCCACTGCCCTGGTCAACCTCTGCGTCCCTCCGGCGCCTGGAACCGTTTGGGGAAGGGAAAGGTACAGAGAAGGACACCTGGGTGTCCCCCCCGGGGTCCCCCGCTCTGGCTGGGCTGGACCCCCCTTAGCAGGTGCCCCCCCTCACCTGGGATGGTCCCCAGCAGGATTTCAGGTTGCCCAAACTGCGCTTTTTCCCCGGCGTAGATGATGTCGCACATCATGGCCAGCTCGCACCCGCCTCCCAGCTGGGACAGGGGAGGAAAAAAGGGGGGTCAGGGAGTGTTGGGGCCAAACTGGGGGGGGGGGGGGGTGCAGGGAGATGGGGAATGGGGGGACACAGACGACTCACGGCGTAGCCGTTGACGGCGGCGATGGTGGGTTTGCGGACGACGGCGACCTTGTCCCAGCCAGAAAGGAAGCCGCTGCTGTAGCAGTCCTGGAAGGTTTTATTCTGCATCTCCTTGATGTCTGCGCCAGCTGCAATGGGAAACAGGGTGGGACACCCAACCCACCCCCCCAAAAAAAAAAAAAAAAACAAACCACGTGGGGTGGGGAGTGCACCCTACGCTACCTGCGAAGGCTTTTTGGCTGCCGGTGATGACGATGGCCCCCACCTGCGGGTCCTTGTCCAGGGCCTCCAGCGCCCGCCGCAGCTCCTCCATCAGCCCCTCGCAGAGGGCGTTCAGCGCCTGCGGCCGGTTCAGCTGGATCAGGCCCACGTTCTGCCGCGCCCCCGTCTTCTGCACCGCCAGATACTGGAACGGGGGCCCTGCCCGCCGCGCCCCACCACCCCCCCCCCCGACACCGTCGCCGTTAGGCAACCGCCCCGGCCGCGCTATTTTAAGGCGACCTTCAGGGCGACGGCAGCGTGCCAGCGGTCACCGGCACCCAGCGGGATGTCACCCCACACCCCCCCCCCCCCCCCACCTCCGCGGGCCCCCGGTGCCGGCCTGACCCGAGCCGGCGCACCCCGGTGAGCCCCCGGCGCTGGGACTGCGGTGCGCGGTCCCGAGCCCCGGCGTCGCGGCCGGTGCACGGTGCCAGGTCCCGGGTGCCCGGAGGAGGGCCCACGCACGGCCCCCCCCCCCCCGTTCCCCGGTCGCTACCTCTCCCCCAGCCCCCCGTGGCCGCCCCGGTGCCCCGCTCACCGGCGGTGCATGCTCGCGTCCCGGGGCGGGCGGCGGCGGCGGCGGCGGGGCGGAGGAGAGCGCGCAGGCAGGCCGCCATGGCGGAGCTCGGCGGAGCTGCTTCCCCGCTGACCCTCTACGCCCCGCCCCCGACCCACTCCCATTGGCGGAGGCGGCCCCGCCCCGCAGAGCGCCGTCTCTAATTGGTCGAGGCGGCGCCGGGCCACGCCCCCTAGCACGCTGGCGTTGGAGGGGGGGGGCCCGTGGGTGGGCGCGGCGGGACACAAGTGGGGCCCGGGGGGGGGGGGGGGGAGGGGGGGACACACACGGGGTTAAAGGGGTTTAGAGGCGCCGTGGGGCGGGACCGTGGGGGGAGGTGGATGCGCGCTCCCGCCGCCTCCCGCGACCGCACGCATCGCCACGGCCGCGGCCCCGCGTGGGCGTCGTGCCCCGTTCCCCCCTTCTCCCCAAACACCCTCCCCTTCCCCGCGCGGCCCCGAGCGCGCGCTCCCGCGCGTGGAGTGGGGAGGGGTGGGAAGGGAAGGGAAGGGGAGGGGAGGGGGGGCGCCGGCGGCGGAAGCGCGGCCGGGGAGAAGGGGAGCGGAGCGAGGCGGCGGCGGTTCCCGGGCCCGGTGAGCCCCGCGGGTGGGGGCGGCCTGCGTGGGGTGTGTGGGGGTGCGTGCTGTTGGAGGGGATGGGGGGGGGGGGGGCGCAGCGTGCAAGCACCCACGGGTGTGCAAGAGCGCGCCTCATCCACGCGAGGGGGGTGGGGGTAGGAATAAAGAGCGCGCTCGGGGCGGGCGTGCGCGGCCGTGACCTGCCCACGCGTGCCCAGCGCGGCTGTCTCTCCTTGTGCCCCAGGTGCGGCGGGATGCGGCGGGGGGCGGCGGCGTGCTGGGCGCTGCTGCTGCTGGCCGCCGCCTTCTGCGACAGCGCGGCCGGCAAAGGCGGCCGCGGCGGGGCCCGTGGGGCCGCCCGCGGCGGGGCCGCCCGCGGCCGGGGGAAGGCGGCAGCCCCCCGCTACGGCTCGGCCCTGCGGGGAGCGGCGGCGGCGGCGGCGGCGGGAGCGGCGGCGGGGGCCGCCCTGCGCCGGGCCCGGCCGGCGGGGGAGCTGGAAGCGGGCGAAGGCGCCGAGTACCGCGACGGCAACTGGACCTCCGCCGCCCCGGGCTGGGACACGCCGCGGGGCTGGGCCGCCTCCTGGCTCTGCCCGCTGGCCGCCATCCTCCGGCGCTGACCCTCGTGGGGGGACCTGGCTGCGCCCGATGCAGCTACCGACCGGCCACCCCGGGGGCTGAGCCGCCCCGGGGCTAGCAGTGGCCCCCCCCAGGGTTGCACCCACCCGGCCTCACCCCGTTACCGGGGCAGGACCCCGCGGGAAGCCCCTCCACCCTCTTCCTCCTACTTTCCAGCCCCGCGGCCAAACCCCGCTGGCTCGGGGCGCCCTGCTTGCGCCGTGCCTCCGTACGTGGGTCTTTGCGGCGTTTGGAGGACGGGGAGGTGGCAATAAAGCTGGACGGATAAATAAATAAAGTAGGTGTGGCTGGATGCAGGGCGAGGGACTCGGGACAGCGGCCCTGCGACGGCCACCGCCACAGCACCCTGCCCAACGGAGGTTTTATTTTGGGATGGAGGTCCCAGAGAGGGCCAAGACCGCAGCCACGGGTTTTGTCCCCCCTGGGTGGGTGCCCCACTCCCCACAGACAGTATTGCCCCGCCTAGTGAAACCACAGGGCAGCCCCCACAGCACAGCCTCAGCCCCCGCCGCGGGGATCCCATCAGAGCCACTTTTATTGTGCAGCGGAGCGCCGTGCCGAGGCGGCCCCAGCCCAGCGCTCAGTCCAGCGTCACCCTGCCCAGGCGTCCCGCTCGGAAATCCCGCAGGAACTCGTAGGCAGCGGCCGAATAGTTGAGCGTCGTCACGTTGACGTTCCCTGGAGGCGGGGGGGGGGGTTGTGTGTGTGCAGAAAGAGGAGTCAGCAGAACCTGGCTGCTGCCCCAGGATCCCCAAAAGCCCTGCGCCCCAGGCAGCAGAGGTTTCCCCCCCGAGACTCACCCGTGCCAGTCAGCACCTTCACCCTTTGCACCCTGCCCTGGGTGAGGGCCACCTGCCTCAGCACGGCCTCGATGTTGTCGCAGGCCTCTGCCAACTTGTAGCGCCGCACGTACCTGCCAAAGGAGGCAGCTCACACCCTGCCGGCGTCGCTTCCCCCCACCCCAATATCCCTGGGGACACCTCCACCACCCTCTCCGCTTCCCCCGCCCGCTCACCCGAACTGCTGCTGCTTGTTCAGGGTGTACAGGAGGTAATCGGCCATGATGTCTTCCCCCACCAAGTGATCACGGATGGCTCCTGGAAAAGAGGGTCAAGGCCCAGCTCCCCCAACCCTGCTCCGAGCCCCCGTCACCCCTCCCGCTGTCCACGTGCCACCCATGGGCACCCTCACAGTATGTGCTGGCCTTGGGGGGGGGGGGGGGGGGCCATGAACAGCAGACCCCCCCACCCCAGCCTCAGGTATCAGGCCCAGCTGGGGCTCAAAGCCCCGTCTGGGGAGTCTGCCCCGGCCACAGCCTCCACCTCACCGCACAGTGCCAGCTTCATGCCCGTCTCCATGTCCCCCAGCCTCGGGGGCAGCACGCCAGGCGTGTCCACCAAATACATCAGGGGCTTCTCGCAGACCTGGGATGGAGAGGGAGGCTGTTAGGATGCACGGCTCGCTAATTAGCGCCACAGGTTCCCAACGTGGCTACCAAGCAAGGCGCTGAGCTCTTTCCTTAAGGTCTTGCTGGAAAGGGGACCCCAAGCGATGCTTTGAGATCAGCTCTGCATGCCTCGAGGCTTTCCGGATCTCCTGCGAGAGGACGCAGAGAGGCAGGAGCCAGCACCCACCCGTGGGGACAGTACCTGGATTCTGGTCAGCACCGCCTTGGTGATGCCCGGCTCGCCGCCAACCGCAGTGGCCTTCCCTTCAGGGAAAGGAGAGACACAGTCAGAGAAGCGAGCGACGACCTGCCCCGCCGCCCACTCCACGGCTGCACCAGTGCCTCCTCCCCGAGCCCAGGCGCCACGGACAAATGCCCTTTTTGAGGTGCAGTACCCTTCTTGAGATGCAGCCTCCGCAGGGAGTTGATGAGCGAGGACTTGCCCACGTTGGGCACGCCGATCACCAGGATGCTGTACTCGGTGCTCTGGAAATGAGGAGGACCCGGGCAGGGAGTGGCCGGTTATTGGCCACCGACCTCAGGAGCGACAGGCAGCCACCACAGAGAAACAACCTGACATTTGCCGGTGCCTCCGGCAGCCGTGCGAGCATCCCTCCAGGTGAAGAGGGAGGGTGACCTACAGACAACCACCCTGTTGCACGCCCGCCCCTGCGGCCTCGCTGCCACGTCTCACCTCGACCCTGTGGTAGCGCGGGCTGTTGCTCACCAGGTCGGCAACCAGGGGAACGATCTGCGGAGAAACAGGGAGAAAGGGCTGTGACTGCCGTTCTGCGCCCGGGCTGGCAGCAGCCGCTCGCTCGGAGGAGGCGTTGGCAGGAGGGTGAGCAAAACAGGGGCCAGAGCAGCGCCTGGGGCGCCTTGAAAAAGCTGGGAATGAAGATGGCTCTGGGCCGGCCGGTGGCACCGCGTCGCAGCGCAGCACTGGGGCCTCTCCGTGGGGCTCGGAGATCGGCACGTGGCTGCCAGCAGCAAGAAGGGCTGGGCAAAGGACTGCCGGCCCGTTTACCTTCTTGATGTTGCCGTCATGCCGGCTGTCACTGAAGACAACGTGCAAGCATCCCTGCTGCTTCAGGCGCTCCAAGACCGTCTGGAAAGGACAGGCAGAGGTAACCGCTGGCACCTGCCTGCAGTGACACCCCCCCAGCCCGGCCCCGGTGCTCACCGGCTGCCGGCGGGGATCAGCCAGGTCCATCTTGTTCAGCACCAGGACGCGCGGGCGGATGCCCAGCATCTCCTGCAGCATGGGATTGCGGCCCGACAGCGGGATGTGAGCGTCGCTAAGGAGAGCGACAGCGCGCTGGTGCGGGGAGCAGGTACTGGGGGGGGGGGGGGGAACCCACCGATCGCGGGGGGTGGAATGGATGGGGCTGGTGCAGAGCTGGGGAGGGGGACGGGAAACTGGGAGAAGGGGGTGAGCTGGAGGCGAAGCAGCCAGGAGGGGACACACACACACGGGGCGGGGGGGGGGGGTTAAGGTCCTGGCTCCCTGGGGGTATCCGGAGGGGGGGGGGGGTGAAGAGCCGTGCTGGAGGATATACGAGCGTCGTGCACCTCGATGAGGCAGTCGGCGCGGCGAAGGGAGGCCCGCATCTGCCGCAAGCCTGCAACACAGCGCTGGGTGAGCGGCGGCTCCGGGAGGAGGAGGAGGAGGAGGAGGAGGAGGAGGTGGGTGTCTGTGTGTGCGACCTCCCGCCCCTCACCTTTCGCCATGTGCCCCGGGAACCAGGAGGCCACATCGCGGCCGCCGAAATCAAAACGCTCCCGGAAGCCTCCGGCCGCCGCCGCCGCCGCCCGCCCCCTCATGATGGCGGCGGCGCCGTCCCGTCCCGCTGCGTCACTTCCTGCCATCTCCCCGCCCGCGCTATGGCGGAGCCGCGGCCGCTCGGGCCTCCGGGGGTTCCGGCGGCGCCGGGTACCGGCGCCACGGGGGACACCGGCGCCACGGGGGACACCGGCGCCACGGGGGACACCGGCGCCACGGGGGACACCGGCGCCGGGCCGGACCGCCAGCCTGCTCCCCCCCCGCCGCCGCCGACAGCCCCGCAGCCGGGCCCGGCCCAGGCGCCGCTGGACGACACCCGCTTCCTCATCTCCAGCACCAACTGGTATTAACGCCGCAGCCCCTTTTCCCCACCGGATCCGAGCCGGGGAGCCACATCCACCTGTGATAAGTAATAGGAGAATTTTGCTTTCGCTAAAAGTAATTAAACAATTACTTCTTAGGCTAAAGCTATTATTAGTACAACGATCCAAATTTTAAGGAAAAAGTCACATCCACCTGTGATAAGTAATAGAAGAATTTTGCTTTTGCTAAAAGTAATTAAACAATTACTTCTTAGGCTAAAGCTATTATTAGTACAACGATCCAAATTTTAAGAAAAGTAAAAGACTTTACTACTGGGAAAAGGGGGGAATTGATCTGAGGAAACACCAACCCAACAGCCCCCCCTCCTTGGGATGCTCACCAGATGGTCCATATCACAGGGCGGTAACTCCTTTGCAATGGAATGAGAAAGAACAGAATGGGCCATCTCTGGTATCCCTTGTCCTTGAGATAAGAGGGGAACTGAAACCACTGAGCCAGAAAAGACAAAGGAGCTGCAAACTGGCCCAGACTTGAAGGATAAGGTGTACAGACCACAGGACTGAAGAAAGAAGATGGTAGAAGAAGCCAGGAGAGGTGCCAAAGGTGTTGAAACCGGCAGCTGGGTGGATAAAAGGGGGTTTGAAACTTAAACAATTTGGTGAGTCTGGACGGAGCTGTGACTCCTCGGCCACCCCAGCGCTGCATTTGCTCTCTTACCTTAATAAAGATTCATTAATCCATATTTGGATGTGATTGGCCTTAATCTACCTATAACACACCCACCCCCGGAGAGAGAAAGGTCTCTGCGCCCCGCCGCCGGGGAGGTTTGTCAAGAAATGAAGGCACAGGTTTTATTTTCCAGCCCCAGGGCCGAAGAGCTGGTTGAGCCGCTCGGCCTCTCGCCAGCCGGAGAGCAGGGCGCCGTGGGTCGTGGAGTAGAAGGTGCGGTGGGTGGCCTCGCCGGCGAAGAGGAGCTGCAGAGGCTGCGGCGAGGCAGGAGGTGAGCGCCGGCGGCCTGCCACCACCCCCAGCCCAGCGGGGACGCCGGCTCCAGCCTCACCCCCCTGCCCTTCGGCACCCCCGCGGATGCGTGACTGAGGAGCGGGCGCCTTCTTTCCCTTCGAGACCCATCCCGTGCCGCGAGGAACGCCAGAAAGTGGTTGGGAGGAGCTAGGTCTCCCCAAATCTTATGGAAACGGGGTTCCCCCCGCCCCCGTGGAGCTCAGCAAAGCGGGGTTTGGTTGGTGACCCGAGCACCGGTGACCTCTGAATGAAGGAGGAGTGGGGAATGCCACCTCCCTGTGCTCCTCACGGGGTGTCCTGTTCCCAGCCCTGTCTGTCTGTCCCCATGCCTGGGGAGGGGTCCCACTCCCCCCCCCCCCCCCCCAGCTGCTGCATCTCCTGGGGCAAAAGCAATTACCCTGAGGTCCTCTGGGTCCTCAGGCAGGGGCTGAGCCAGCACATCGATGTCGTCCCCTGAGCTGCCGACCGCCACGTAGCTGTAGGAGCCCCGGGTGTAGGGAGCGCTGTGCCACCGGGACCTGAGCACGCTCCTGGGAGCGGGCAAGTCCGGGTTCCCTGCGGGCGTGGATTTTAGGTGGGATCCAGAAATCCCATGTGCGCGTTTCCCCGGCGGAGAGGGGGGGTTGGGGTGATGAGGGTGGTACCTGTTAGTGTGCGGAGGACGTGTGTCATAGTGCCAAGCACCACCGCGTCGCTCAGCGTCTCCATGTACTCTGATTCCTTCCCTGAAATGAAGCCGCAGAGGACGTGCCCGTGCCTGGAGAGGGAAGATGGGGCTGAGGGCTGCCTGCTGACCCTCCCACTGCTCACCATGCCCTCCCTGCTCTCAGAGTGCCACTGCCTCACGGGCCACCAGCGACCCAGAGAAGGTCTCGAATCTCCCAACAGGACCGAGATGCTCCTTCAGTTGCCTGGAAGATGCCCCTTTGCTGATGCTCCTGTCACCTACTGCTCTGGCGGCTGGAGGACCACGAATCCAATAAGCTTCTTGAACCAGTTGGCCTCCAGGTCAGCACTGGGCTCCTTGAGGGGTGACTCGTCCTCCCACACCGCTTCGAGGAGCTGCTGCTGGGGTTCCCAGAAAGGCTGCTCGAACTCCAGGAAGATCTTGTTGTTGGTGCCAAAACCCAGGCGGCGAATGGCCTCTGCTTTCCGCTCCGGCAGGGGTGGCTCGAAGAAGTCCTGGTGGCGTTCCTTGAGGAAGCCTGCAGGCAGAAGATTGGGCAACTCTGTTCTCCAGCCTCCTAAAGGGGGTCTGAGGTGCCCTCCCCTCCCCAAACCCCTTCCCGGCCTCCCCTGGTCCCACCGGGGCTCCCCTCCAGCCCATGCCAACCGGTTGGAGGGGGCGGGCAGGCCAAGGAAAGGAGCTGGTGTCCTCACCCAGCGGGACGGTGATGATGACGTGGTCGGCGAGGAAGGCGTCTCCATCCTCGCACTCCACCCGGACGGGGAAGTCCTGGGTTTCATCCCCTTCTTCACGGAAGGACCCTCTCCACCGGATGGTCCTCACAGGCTTACTGAGCAGGACCGTGCCCTCCGGCAGAGCCGACAGGATGTGATCGGGCAAGCTGCTGTAGCCGCTGCGGGAGGAGGTGCTGATGGGGATGGGGTGCCCCCTCAAAAATGCTCTTCCGTGTCCCCCCGCTCTGGAGCCAGGTGCTTACCCAGGGAAGGTGCAGTCCAGGCCGGGCAGGGAGACGTACTCCCCGAAGGGCTCCAGGGCCACCAGGTCCATGCTGTGGGTCCCACTGATGCAACACTCCAGCTTGAGGCAGGCGGCAAGGATGGCCAGCTGGAGCCGCCGGTCGTCCTCGTCACCCCCCGCCAAAGTGGGGACCCTCCGGGCGATCTCCGCTCGCAGGTACTGTCCCACGCTGGGGGCTGGCGGGTCCTTGGCTCCCCGAAAAGCGCGAGCAGAGGCCAGGAGGGCGTCGAAGAGGTCGCGGGCTTCGCTCACCGCCTGGCGACTCAGCGCCCTTCCCGAGCTGCCGTAGGTGACGGAGGGCAGCGGGGGGTGTCCCCCCGCCTCCGCCCGCTGGTTCTCCTCCCGGGCAGCCTCGGGGCCCAGCAGGCCGTAGCGGGTGGCCAGGCGGAAGACGGGGTTCTCCGGCGAGGGGCCGTGGATCCAGTGCGCTCCCATCTCCACCAGCCCTGACGCTGAGGGGGAGGTGTCACCCCAAGGCGTACGCGTGGCGGGACCCCCAAAACGCCTCTCCCACCCCCCCCCCCCCGCGGTACCACCCCCCCCACACCCCCCCCCCCCCCCCCCAGCCATTTCCCCGTACCGAAGGGACGGGTGTGGACGCGGCCCCCGGGGCGGGCAGCCGCCTCCAGCAAGCGGAGGGAGCCGTGGCCGCGGAGCCGCTGCGCGGCCCCCAGCCCCGCCAGCCCGGCGCCCACCGCCACCACCCGCCGGCCCTCCATGGCGCCCGTCACCGCCGCCGCCGGCCTGGGGAGCACCGCCCCCTCCGCCCCGGGACACGCCCCCTCCAGACCCCGCCCCCTCTAGACCCCGCCCCCTCCAGACCCCGCCCCATCCAGACCCCGCCCCATCCAGACCCCGCCCTGTCCAGACCACGCCTCCGACTCCGCCCCCTCCGCTCCAGGCCACGCCCCACCCCTCCACACCCCGCCCCCTGACTCCGCCCCCTCCGCGCCAGGCCCCGCCCCACCCCTCCAGGCCCCGCCCCCCGAGCCTCGTGGGCACGAATAAATCTCTCCCGCCCCAAAACTATCCGGCATTTTTTTTTTTTTTTTTTTTTTTTGGCCAGCGATCGTTCCTGCCCCAGTGCTGCCTTTGGGGTGTATGTGTGTGTGTGTGTGTGTGTGTGTCTGTGTCTGTGTGCGGGTGTATTCCTGCCTCCTGCCCACCCCGGCGGTGTTGGGGGCATGGGTACCCCCCCCGGGCAGGACCCACCGTGTCACCCGACCAAGCTGGGGTCACCCCACTGCTGCAGGCAACTGGAGTTTCTCCCTGCTGCCCCCCCCACCCCGGGTACGGGCAGCCCCGGGAAGTATTTACGAGACGGGGGTGTCGGAGCTGTGGTGCAGGCTCCTGAAATCCCCGTTGAACGTTTGTTTCCGAGGGGTTCTCCCCGCCTCTGGTTTTCTGGCGAGCAGCGGGGTGGGACTGCGCACCGCCATGGGACACCAGGCTGGTGGCAGCTTCGTGGGGGGACCGTGGCCCCGCGACCCGGCCCCAGGGGCATTTGCTGAGCCATGTAGATGTCCCCAGGGACCTCCAGCCACTCAGCCTTGGGACTAAATGATGCAGGCGAGCATCCGGCTTGGCCCAACTGAGCCCTGAACCCCCTCCAGATGCGGACATTCCACCTCCCTGGGGACCTTTACGGGGAAAGAAGGGTTCCCCACATCCAACCTCAACCCCCCTTGAGCTGCCAGCAGGAGCCAGGGCTCCTCCTTGCATTGCCTGTTGCTGCTGAGAAGGGTTTGGCCTCATCCATCCCCTCCACCCCTGCTTGTGCTGCGATCGGGGGGCTGATCTCAGACACCCCTGGCTCCCGACGGCCAGACCCAACAAGCCCAGCTCCCGCCCATCTCCCTGTGTGTTGGGTGCTCTAAATCCTGACCCACTGGGCTGCCACCGTGGGGGGCACAGCAGGGTCCCCACCTCCCCCTTGCGCAGCCCAGGATGCAGCTCCACCATCACCCCGGGGCCCTTCCCAGGAGGACTGCCTGCCCTGTGGCTCCTGCCTGCCCCGACGCCTCGGTCAACCCTGGTGTTGCCCTGCCTGCACAGTGCCACCGGTCCTTGAGGTGCTCTCAAACAAGGAGGACAAACCCTGATGACCAAGTGATGCGTGGGAAGCACCATCGCCACGAGCGCGTCAGGCCAGCAGGAAGGAGGGGGAGCAGCAGGGGATGTCCCACCACCTCCTCAGGCTGTCCCAGCCAGGAGAGAGGGGCCAGGCCACCAGCATCTCCCTGCGGAGTCCCCGCTTTACTGGGACCCCTCCGTTATCTCCAGGATGCCGCTGTAAAGGCACCCAGGGGCGTCCAAACCCCAGATGAATTCCCAGTGGTTCCAGTCAGAGATGTGGACGTAGGTGACGAGATGGTCGATGCAGAGCAGCAGCAGGCAGACATCCCTCCAGTCAGCCACCCAGTCCTCCCCCCCCCCCGCCCCGATCACACCGTGGTGGGCACGGGCATCTCCCCCACCCGGTAGGAGGGAGGTGTGTCCTGGAAGGGACACAGGGGGCTCTGAGAAACCGCTGTCATGGTCAATCCCTGCAAGCCAGCCCGTCCCCGCACCACCCAGTACAGCCCCTGGCATCTCTAGCTGCCAGCATTGCCGCTGCAGCCTCCTACCTGGTGGTACATGGCTGGGTTTTTGCTGCCATAGTCAAAGGCTTTGAAATCTCCCAATTTCAACATCTAGGAGGAGAGAATAGACCTGCAGCGGGAGGCCAGTGAGCACTGCTGCGTAGGTCCATCATCTCCTGGCCTCCTCGAGCGGCCACATCACAAGAGGGTGCTCACACGGAACATTGCAGGAGAAGGTGGCATCCCTGCAAAGCCAGACTTCCCACGTTTTTTTTTAAAAGGGCGATGCTTTGACCTCCAACTCCATGCTTGTCTCTATCTATGGGTTGGCAGACCAAGGTATTTCATGCAACTCCTTGGCTGTCTGGTGCAACGCTCGTCCCTTTGAAAACCTGCTCATCTCCAGCTGTGTGTGCAGGATGCTGCTGGAGGACTTCACGTTGGTGAGTTTTCCTTCAACAACCTGATCGTCCTTACCTTCTCACAACAGTTCAGGCTCAGAGTACAGACACGTCAGTGAGCCCAGTTACTATGAGAGTCGCTTCTATGCTAGGGGTAAAAGCTCAGATACCTGCACAATAGTTGCATTGATTAAAAACACCTTTTTTGCCTTCTCCACTACCTATAATTTGGTTCTGTAAAAAGGCACCAGCGTGGGGGTCTCCAGCCTGACCCAATTTCCATCAGGGTCAACGCTGCAGCAGGTTGCTCAGACTGGCAGCATCTGGCCCTGTCACCTCCAGGGCCCCTTTGGGCAGGGGGAGATGCTGTTGCATCGCCCTTCGCCTCCCCATCTCCAGCAGAGCAAGCCCAGCTCCCCTTGTATGCCCTGTCCTCCACCCACCATCACCATGGTGTCACTGGACTCACTCGGCTTTGGAGATCTCTAGGGGCCCCAAACTGGTCCCAGCATCCAGCTGTGACTTCCCCATCCCTTCCTTTACCCTTCCTGGCACAGCCTAAGGTGCACACCTCAGTGTTCCCTGGTCCCCAGAGTGGCCAGGGCAGCTCATCCTGCATCCAGCTCCTCTTCCGTACACCTGATTTCTTGCCTTTTACTTTCTCATCAACTGCTAATGTCCAAGATCCCTGAACTCTCATGTCTGCCCTGGACACACCAGACTCTCAGGGAAGGGACCATCCCAGGGGTGGAGAATCTGTGTTTCAGGGAACCTACCTGGGCCTAGTGTATTACATTTTTGACAGATGACCTATCCGGATAGTGGGATGTGTACACATCCAGTCGCATCTGCAAGGAAACATATTCAAGCTATCACTGCTTTCCAATGGACAGGAGCGAGGATGACAGTTGCCAGATGATGCATTTCCCAAACCAGCCACTGCTGACTCATGCTGCTTGGAGAGTTGGGTCAGGTTTAGGAATATAATTTTCATTAAAAAACGGTTGCTCTGAGACAGCTCCAGGAGTAGAATGGTGATGGAGAACGAGGTACCCCCGGCTCCTGGAGATACCTCATCTGGGCTCAGGGACTATGCTCAGGACATTAGTGTCTACCTGTGGTCATCCAGAGGCTGCTTCAGCAGACCTGATGTAGGGTGGGTAGCAGCAAGGGCTGCACCCCAGGGGTGCTGGTGGGAAGTAGAGCTGGTCTCCATGACAGGCAGCCCTAACTCAGAGATACTATCAAGTGACACGTGGCCATGGACATTCACCCAGCTGAGCCGTGGGACTTTTCCTATCTGGAGAGGAGAAGCAGCGAGAGAGGGATCTGGCAGAGGGACACGCTTGGCCCTTGCAGGATCTGCTTGCCCGTGAGGCTGGGCAGGCTGTTTGGCAGGGAGGGGACAGAGCGGGTGGTGGTGGGGGGGTCCCAAGCGGTGCACCCACCATGTTGAGGTTCTTCTCGTCGTAGCCTCCCAGCAGAAAGAGGAGGTAGGCACGGGGCTTGTGCAGCAGTGGCTGCCTGCACAGCTTGGGGAGAAACCTCCACAACTTCCTCACCCACAGCGAGGCGTCCGTCCTGCCAAGCAGAAGCTGCAGAAGCAAAGGGCAGGGTTGATTTCTGGCATTTCCCTTCCTGCAGCCTAGCCCTTGGACTGCCTCCCCTGACCTGCTTGTGGCCCTGTGGGCTGTCCCACCAGATTAGGCTGTGAGGGGATGCGTGGCACCGAGTGCCCGCAGGGGTCAAACCCATTTCTCCTTTGCCCTCCTGCCTCGCTGAGATGGGTACAGCTCGTTGCAGGTGGTGATGCTGATTGAGTGCACACCAAGGAAATCAATACTCTGGACTCTTCTCTTTCCTCCCACGTCCCCCAAGCATTTGATTAATTTTTCACTGTCATTAAAATCAACACAGTAAAGCTGTTCTTTTCCAGGTGGTCTGTCTGGCAATTCAACAAGCGCCCCTGTAGAAAGACCAGTTTCCACACCTGAAGATCCCACAGTTGGCAGGCAGGCATGCACTCAACAAAGTGACTCATGCAGGACTGCACCTGCACCTGAATCGTGTCTCTGCTTAGAAATCAGCAAGAATTGTTTTCTGCCATGTCAGATAGCCCTGGGGACTGTGTCTGGGCACAACCCCTTTTCCAGCACCACTGTGTTCAGGGGAGGAGAGCATGGAGTAATCTCCTACCTGAAGCATCTTGGATTGCTTGTCCAGAAGGAAGGACATTTTCATGATGGGATTTTTGGCATGCTTCATTGTCACTGCTGGAGCTAGGGCAAAAAACATTTTGATTTTCTGAGCCAGTTCTGGCATGGATGAAAACGCAATGAATGCTGAGGAAACAGAAAAACAACCTGAGACTTGGTCGATCTTTCTTCAGGTGCTTAATCTAGGGGTTGACTTGGATCCGCCGCCCAGATCTGTTTAGCTGACTTTATCTCCAGTTAGAAATCTGGGATCTCTTGCCACCTTCCTGCTTAACATTAGTACTAGAGATTTCCAAAAGGAGACAACGTCTTTATTCCTATGGTTAGAAGTGACTGACAAGGCATTTCGACAACTTCCACTGATGGGAAGTCCTGCCCCATTCACCAGGTGAAGGGAACAGCACTGTTATCTTCCATCAACCACTGCTAAGAGGTATCATTGTCACAGAGATTATCTCATATCCCTGATAGCCCAGCCGATGAAAAGAAGCATCACACATTTCATTGGAAAGCAGAAGCTGTGACCTCCGTCCAAAATGCCTTTGGTTTTGAAGTGGAACACTGCAATTTGGTTTTCCAGGTTGAACTATAGCTGCAGCAGGGAGCTTATTGAGGTCACCAGGAGCTTTCTTACTACCCTAAGAGCATGGTGGGCTTCCCAGATGTCTTGTATGAAAAGCATGGCTGTGTGGGACTTCTCGCTGCAAGACACCTACCTGGCCTGCCTGCTCAGCAGCCCACAAAGGTGGGACCTCTCTGCTTTCTGCTTACAAACAACCAAAATGAATGTTTTCAGGGTGGTCCAGGCAGTGTGATGCACAACACCTTCTAACGCACTGATTGTGCAGCCCTGCGAATAGCCAGCATAATACATTTCCTTCTGTCCAATCTTCTGCAGAACAAAGTCGATCGTGGCTAGGAGGTCATACATTGCCATTTCATGAAAGCTGAAACACAGGAGTAGTGTGTTGGTTATCAGGTAACACCAGGAGAGCAAACTTACC